CCAGTGAAGCGTAGAGCTCCCCTCTAAGCTCTGTGACGATCCTACGAAGGATCCAGATTACCTTCTTTTCTCTTGAGATTGCTTCAATTCTTCCTGGAGTATGCGGATTACCATTTTTATACTTCCATACAGGGCGCGTGAACAATCAGCAATGAATTATCAATTAATCAATCTAGTTTTTGAGTAAAAAGTCCACAGATTGTGATACATTGGATTTGATATTGGAAAAGACATGGCTTACCAAGTACCTTTTCATGTGCATTTTGGAGGACAGGGATGACTTATTCCTGCGTGCCATTTTACCATAACTATCTGCTGTAACAGCAAAAATTAGAATTATGTCGGACATAATTCTAAAAAATTGGAACATTGTAGTTAATCAGGGTGGTGCTAACAACAGAGAGCGATTTGAACGGTAGGCAATTTCATAAATGTCATTAACTCGATATAAGGATGATTGGAACAGGCTAAAATCTACAATGTGGCATTAATAACTGGCGCGCTATATCGCTGCATTAAACGATTAAAGTATTGCTAACTATGGATATTCTAAGTGATCTAGGCAGAGGGGAACCGGCACAGCCAGATTGCGTTGTCTTCACTTTCAGTGACTAAGTTTCACGATAGAAAAATTGACCTTATGTATTTAAAAAAAAGGATGCACAGTTCAAGCAATAAATCGATCGGCTGCTCATATGATATTTGCATTTAAAGGAGGGCCCAGTGCAGTGACCAGTAAGTCTGTTAAGGCAACATTTAGATCTGAGATAAGCTGAGTCTTGACAAAGATAAGTGAGTTCCGAGAAAGTGCACACGGATAAAGTTATCAAGTGACAATGATAAGACTAAGTTAGGGTCAAGTCAACAGAATGGCAGCTGTAACAGAAACAGTTCATTGGATAGGGGAGTAGGGGATTATGACGGAGTGAAATTTATTTAGCAGGGCAAACAAAAACAACTGACAGCACTGAGCAAGTGAACTGGAAAATTGAGGAACAAAAATAACAATGGTTGTCAGCCCTTTCCGTAGCAATCAGGATTTCCCAGGAGATCGATCAGGCAATCAGGATTTCCCACGAGAATGCTCGAGCCAACGCGCGCACTTGTGTCACGTGACGGCCACGTGACGCTCTAATCGTTGTCACGTGGTACAGAAGGGAGGTTCCTAGAGCGTCGATCTCGACAAGAGGGAGTTTCTCACGGTTTATCTTCAATAACTATCGCTATTTTTATAGTAGAGAGTTGAAACTTTCACCAAATGTTTCCCTAGACATTTCTGCATGGTAACTGTGTCATAGAATTTTAATTTGGGGACCCAATTTTGTGCAACACTCCGGTATCTGACGACCGGTCGCGGACGTGGTTATTGTATTGTCAACTTCTATTGCACACTGAGCGAGCTATATTTTTAGTACAAAGATAAACTTTACACCAGGTGAAAGCTGAGACGTTTCTCTTTAAGATGATCACCTCACATTCTGTGTATCTGTGACATTGAGATAGTAACGAATCAAAACGTCAAGTTGAACAGGCTACAAAATACGCGCTGAATAAAAGTCCACCCCAGGAATCCACCCCACGCGCGTAGGGTGATTGGTGATTATGTCACTGCACAAACCTTTATTAAACCTACAATTTCAAATTTATTGTACTATGGTTTCTACTTTTTTCAAAACATTCATTTATTTTATTCAAACAATATAATGAGCTGAGTTACGTGCCTCTGAACATGCACACAACCACACGATCAAGCGTTAATTGACGATGTCAATTCATCTCAGCTCGGCGCGGCACAGTAGCGCATCTCGCCGATCTAGAGAGAAGCCTCATTGAGTGCGCGGCGCGGCACAGTAACGCATCGCGCTACAAGATCAAGCGGCTCCTGAAAAGTAGGATTTAGATCTAAGTCTTTTATCACTTATCAGGGACCCTCCTCATTTAGCTCTTGATTGCAATTTTCTTATATTATAGATTATATATAGATCAATTTATTTTATATATATATATTATATTGGATTCAGTTTACACAAAACTTATTGGGCGCGCGCGCTCAGCCTGTCATTCCGCCGAATCTTTATTCGGTATTATTATGTTTATGGACATAATAGCCTGGGGTCCTCAGGTAACACAAAACATGAACATTTCGACGTACACATTGACGCAATATTTATCAGAAAGCAAAAAGTATAAAATAATATGTGCGTGCGCGGCTTGAGCCGAGCCGCATAAGAATGGATGCGCGCGTGAAGGGGCTGGAGTACGCTTGTTCATTGTTTATTATTTATAGATTAATAAAATATTGCATTGTAAATATTCTGAATTGACGATATATTATGATCTTAAAGTAAATTTTATAAAGCAGGCTTTGGATTTAGGTAAGATTATAATTTATTTTAAAAACCACGGATAGTTTTAAATTTACTTTGTTGTATAACTAACAAGTTAATCCTGTTTTCATGAATGCGCGGCTTTGACGGCCAGTTATTGAATTATACATAGAATTGAACTTAAAATAAAAATGCGGACATATTGAAATTCAAAACTTTTAAAACGGAGGCTTATAAATATATAATTACATTATGATTGTAAAATAAAGGATACAATTTTAAATTTGTTTCACTAAAATTTGTCTCACTTAAAATTATTTAAGCAATATGTTTAAATATGCCAATAGTAAATAGTAATCATTTTATCTATTTGACTGAACCTAGAGTAAATACATTGTATGGAGAAAGATCGTTTCAGAAAGTTTGCCCTGAATTAGAGTAGAGTAGAGTAAATTAAGAATCGCATGTCTTAATTGGACTCCTTTAAAGTGTATCTGAAACGTTTCTTATTAAACGTGCCTATGATATCAATTGATCATAAAACATTTAATTTTTCAATGGGTGCGAGAAAGAACTTTGTTAATATAGAGTCTAGATTTGAACTTAGAGCCACAAGGCCAATGGTGATTTTCAAATGTTTCTTCCAATATTTGAGATAGGGAATATATTGAGTTTTTGAAGGGTTGTTTTTAGGGTCATTGTGACTTAATGTGTATACTGTTTGAAAAATTTGTATAAAATTTTTCAATGTTTCTACTGGAAGTGCATACCCTTTATTTTGTGATTTAGTGTATCAAGTCTTTATAATTTTTCCATGGTTTGAAACCTAAATGTGGACTGCTTTTCAGGTTTTCTTGTATCCTGACTTGTTTTCGTGGCACACCAGTGCATTTTAAGTTGTAGTGCCACTATAATCTTAAAGTTTAAATTGTTATTAGTATAATAAATAATAATAAATACAACTTTTATAAACCGCCTTATAGCTAAATCATATAACTCGATATAATTTAATCCTGGAGATAAACTCCAGTGCTTTCTAAAGCGGCTCTTACATTAACTGAGCTTAGTTTAATTGAAAATTAGACATGACAAGTTCATTTTACCTATGTAAATGCAAAATCAATCAAATGCTAGAGAAAAGAAGTATGTTTTAAGTTTGGTCTTGAAAGATGTAACTGACTCAGCTGATCTTATGTCGTATGGCAAGGAATTAAATACTTTAACTGCACAGTGACTAAAAGCTTTCTCTGTGTTTACATAGTTAGGAGAGGGCGGAAAACTAAGGTAAAAATAATCATTATCAAGACGTACATTTTTAAAACTTTGCTGCCTAGGAGATATCAACTCTTTTAAGTAAGGAGGAGCTATATTATTTAAACACTTGTAGGCAAGTAGGGCAATCTTAAAATCTATTCTAAATCTAACTGGTAGAAAATGAACTTTCTTAAGTAGTGGAGTAGTGTGTGCCTTTCTTCCTCTCCCGAAAATAAATCTTACAGCAGAATTTTGCACCTTCTGTAAACGACTTAAATCATAAGAGCTCAGTCCAAAATATACGCTATTGCAATAATCAATTCTAGAGAGTACTAGAGCATGAACAAGCTGAATCTTAAGGTTAAAAGACAGTTTTGATGCAATAAACCACAAATTTCTGATCTGAATATTACATGCTTGAACCACTGACGTAATCTGATCACTCATTGAAAGATAACTGTCCAAATACAGCCCATGATGTATGATCATTTGGCTGAGTCAATTCGAAGAGACTGAATAAAAGTCCTTAGGGCATCCCCTGGGGTTGATGGCACCAGTGCCATCCCCCTGAATGACATCTGTTTAAATTACCATTATACCATCAATTTAGTAAACTGTTAGCTGAATGACAGCAAATTACTGACATCCAGTGAGCAACAAGCAAGGTTCAATAATTGTGGTTTCTTAGATGATCTGTTACTTTGATAATTTGGGAAGTATCAGGACAAGTTATTCTTGAATAAAAGGAATCGATCACATTTAAAATTAAAATAAATGATTATCGTTGGTTTCATCCTTATGTAAGAAATAAGCGAAATTTATAAATCTTCATTCCACTGGGAAGTATGGATAGGTTTTAAGTTATAATGTATTTGATGATATTTAATATAATTGTGTTTTTAATATTATTTTGATAGGCTGATGAGTTTCATACTGAGATTTCTTGTAGTTATCATCCATTTTTCAAGTCCTTTGTTAAAAAACCTGCTAACCTTTCTTGGATATCTGCTTGTTAGGTGCATCTGTTTATTTAGTCAGGATTTATTTTATAGTTATTTAATTTGTTTTCTTAACACTTCCTTGTTTCACCTCCGTCCAAGGCGTAGATGCACGTTCTCATTAATTAAGTATCATTTACAGCTGAGCATAAGAGTTAAATTTACATTATTTTACCTTTTGGTGCTGTTTAAAAATAACATTAATTTATTATTATTATTACTATTATTTGATAGATGAATAGATCATTACTGTTGGTGAGGAAATATTAATATATCTTTTTGTGTTGATATTTTATTGCAAGATGTGTGATGACTGATGATCTGATGTCATAAATTGTACTTAACTTTACTTTGCTCCATTACCCTACATCCAACATACATAATAATACTATGTACTCTAAAATATTTATCTACTTTTTAGGATGAATTTGTTATTGTTTTCGTGTCTAGCTTTGGCTCTCATTCTTGGAACCAAAGGAGCTGAAAATGCCGAAAATGCCGAAAGTGTAATCCCTTCAAAAACAGAATATGAGCGATATTTGGATCAGATTCTTTTGGTTAGTTAGTAGTCAGTATTAAAATGTTGCAAATCTACATTTTTGCAGAACTACTGATTCTCGTACTACAGTTTAAAATTGACATGGTTGTTTTATTGACCTTTCCAGTTAATAGGATTTCAGAAGGATTTTACAAGAAGTATACCTACTAGATAATATTATCAGGTGTTTGAAAAGGATCCCAAAGTGAAGGAAATCCTAAAGAATGCCACTCCTCAAGATATAAAGAATGGTGTGATAGAGAAGACCCTACGCAGACTACACCCGGACATCAGAAGTAAACTGGACGAGGTAAAACGGAACATCATCATGGAGTACAGACAGAAGTTAAGGAAAGCTAAGATGGACGACAAGGTGCCTGATGATCTGTACAAGTTCCAGGACGAGGACCTCAAGCATCTGCTCAAAGAGGTTAACTTGTGCAATATTAATTCAAAGCAAGCTCTTCTGGTCGTGTCAATGGTTAATCTTGTCTTATTCTGAGTGCTTGTATTTAAGAATATCTACAGAAAAGTACCACCTGTGGGCATTGTTATATTGATTTAGCACTCTAAACAAGATACCTTCCACATTGGGCCTGAACAGGGAACTGTTGTGCAATATAACGAAAACTCAGACTCTACAGTATACATCCTCATTTCTTACATTCACTTTTTAGTTTAATAATTCAATTAGTGAGTAGTGGTGTCTTGTAGCAACACACTATCCTGGTCAATAATCGGATTACTCAGACTAGAACGTGAAGAAAAGTAGCGCACTGTAATTAATGTAGTACTATAATACTAGTGTAATCATACATATTAGCATGGTTACTTGGTTAATGAATCATTAATATCACGATCAAAATATCATAATTTCTACTCTCCCGGTTGTAGTAAAATCATCACATATTTGGTAGGCTTGGATTACTTACTTAAGTTAAGGGGAGATACACCAAAAACGTTTTTGCTCCGAACATCGATTTTATTTTATATTATGGTTAAATAGACAAAAAGAATAAGATTTCACACCTTCAAAATTTTCTAAAAATATTCCCTTATCGAGAAAAAAAATATTTTTCTTTTTCGAAAATTTTTAAAATTTAGAGAAGTCTGTCACTGTAATACCGATAGTTCGGCCATTTTAAAAGTTTTTTAGCTGATTTTTTTACTGAACATTACTTACACTCCGTACAAGACAACCCTTTAAAAGGTTATATAATTGAACAATAAATGACCAAGTTACAGACCGAACAAGGTGAAAAAAGAAAAATTGGGATTTTTGCCTACCACCAAAGTTGTACATTTTACCACTCGCCCAGGTCATCAGATATCGCTTCAAAAATTCTTGTGAGTGTAGCTGATGATCATATCAAACTTTTTGGAACAGGATTTCTCTCAGTTTTGAGTTTTAAGGTATGAAATGTGGCCTTAAACGACTTAGTAAAATTCATCGTAAAAAAGGGCCAAACATGGCAGAATTAAGGCTTAAAATGCCTATAACTCAAAAAGTATCAGTTTTTTTGAAATAACTTTTACAGAATCGTAATCAGCTTGAGAAGACGAATCTTTTAGTACGAAATAGGTGATTTTAGAAGACAAATTGTCTTAAATAATTTTCCAGCTCGAACACAAGGGTCCCCCCTTGTATAAATTTTGTACAAATTGTACACATTCTTTACAAATTTTGTGTCTTTAACTATTATCAATTTGGTACTAAAAGATTCGTCTTACCAAGCTGATTACGATCCTGTAAAAATTATTTCAAAAAAACTGATACTTTTTGAGTTATAGGCATTTTAAGCCTTAATTCTGCCATGTTTGGCCCTTTTTTACGATGAATTTTACTAAGTCGTTTAAGGCCACATTTCATACCTTAAAACTCAAAACTGAGAGAAATCCTGTTCCAAAAAGTTTGATATGATCATCAGCTACACTCACAAGAATTTTTGAAGCGATATCTGATGACCTGGGCGAGTGGTAAAATGTACAACTTTGGTGGTAGGCAAAAATCCCAATTTTTCTTTTTTCACCTTGTTCGGTCTGTAACTTGGTCATTTATTGTTCAATTATATAATCTTTTAGAGGGTTGTCTTGTACTGAAAGACGCGAAAGAGGAGCTTACTGCATGTAACCAGGAAAATAATGGTGTTGTAGCCTTGTTAAGACAGAGACTATGCAGATACTTAACTAGGGACTCAGACCAGTCATGCGACAAAAGTGGAGAGTTCTTATACTCCCCTGAACCGCCACTCTCTGAAACTGCCCCGGTTCCAAACAGCGTTGTATCTCCTACTGAGTTCTGTTTTACCAGCTCACTGCCCAACGCTAAGGATTTCCTGAGATCAAAACTGGATAAACACTCCTCTACACAGCAAGCATCCAAAACTAAGAGGAAAAGACAACAAGCTGACACCAAGACTGATCTAAGCTTTCAAGGACTTGAAACTTACATTAAATCACTCGAATCAGCTACAGAAAATGAACTCACAAAGGAGCTCGGATTCCTCAAACTGAGCAGTGAAGGAAGCTCAAAAATCAGAAAAAAGAGGATCACTCAACATCTGAAGAACCCTAATCAACTCTCCGCTGCTAGCAGCAGTGCTACATCTGAGCAACTCAACGATGTGCAGAATAGACTGGAAGTGATGGAAAGATCCAATGTGTCAATCAGCTCTATTCTTACTGAAATTAAAAATGAGATGAAAGAGCTAAAGCTCACGATAACAGAAAAGACCTCTGGAGCCAAATCGACTGGAGACTGTCAAATAGCAAGAAATTGTTCAAGTGGCACTGATCTCCTTAAAAGCCTGACAAAAGCTACCCAAGACACCAGTCTGCTCCTCGAAAAATCAGAAAAAGGTCTAAAAGGGCTGACACAAACCCTAAAAGACACTATGACTGTAAAGAAAGATCTGGATGTCTGGCGTCAGAGCGTTTTCAAAAGGGAAGAGAGTGACAAAATCAACGAAATCCATAACATCATTTCGACCCCTAATTTTCAAGAAATCCTCAGTATCAGCCAGTTAGACCCAGGTGCAAATGCTAGCCAAGACCATGTGAGACATATCCCCAGGTCTCCGGCTGACACGAGGACCAACAGGGACACCCCTGGGCTATCACCAAATCAGGGACGATCCTCCTACAGGAGAGAGGGTATAGAACCCAGACAGAGAGACAAGAGAACAGGTGTCTTCCGGGCAGATAGACCAAAAAGAGCAAGTAACCGGCCTGTTCCAAGCCAAAAGAAAATTGTTCTCCTCTGTGACTCAACCATGAGAAGCTTTAAACCTGAAGAGTTTCCGAAAAGATACAACGTCTCTGTAATTTACAAACGGAGCCTGAAAGACCTTCACTCAAGTCTCGAATCAACGGTCGAACAGATTTCCAATCTCAACCCAGATGCAGTGTACGCTCACCTTGGTACTCAGGACATCATAGATGGTACCGAGCCTGACTCCGTGGTGGGATCACTAATAAAATCTACCGAAAAGATACTTAGACAGACTTCGCAACACTGCCAACTTTTCATCTCGCATCCCTTTCTCCGCGACCATCCTGGAGAGGAATGGAGTAAGAGTAGTCGACTCATCACTGAAGCAATCAGAAATCTTAAAGGTGACAGTGAGAAAGCTGATTTCTGGATGAGATCAAGGGAAAACAGAAACAACAACTTCTACTCGGGGGGATCAGATATCCCACACGACTATTTGTTTGTCCCAGATCAACCTCATCTGAATGACAGAGGTATCAGAGTAATCATGGGCAACTTCAAGACAAGCCTCAACAGTACATTTAGCAGAGACCGCACCTGAGTACTAGTCTCTCATTCTCAGCTTATCTAGTCCCCTCCCTCCTTTTCTCCTTCTCCTCTTGCCTCTCTCATCCTTTATACAAGTTGACTGATGAACTTTGTCAACGGTATAATTTCCTGGAATGTTGCAAACATTCATGGTTTGCTCGGAAACAAAATCGAGGATCCCGATTTTGTAAAAATCATCAGTCCGAATGATATTATCTGCCTTCAAGAGACCGGATGCGAAGTGTCTCTGAAAGGATACAAATCCTATAGTGACATCCGAAAATCTGGTAAAGGTGGAGGAGTAACTACTCTGGTTAGGAACACTATCCTGGAATATTGCTCTCTGGAGAAATTCACACTTACTGCGGACCACTCAATGAACATTGTAATTGTTAAAGTTACTGATCCCTACACCAATATCAACACCTTTGTTCTCAATAGCTACATACCACCTACAAACAGCAAATTGAAAAACCGCACTAACTGCTCCGAAGCAAATTTTGATGCCCTCCAGGAAAAAATAAGCAACATCAAGGATAACTCCAGTAATGAGCTCATACTTCTTGGAGACCTTAATGCCAGAATAGGGGCATCTCCTGAATTTCAGATATATGACAGAGCGGATGAATTCGAGCTCTTTCCAGAAACTGGCAGGCCCTCCGACTTCATGGTTATACCAGATGTGGCACCTATATCTCAAAATAGGAACAGCCAGGACAAAATCACCAATAGACATAAAAATCTTTTGCTTGACCTTTGTGGATCGCAAAACCTCTTGATCCTTAATGGACGTACCATTGGTGACTCTGCCGGAAAATACACATGCTTCAAATGGAACGGAAACAGCGTGGTGGACTACTTCATTGCATCAACATCCTTTCTTCACCGTGTCAAGTCCCTCTCAGTGGGCGAGCATACTCTGTTCTCCGACCACAATCCTGTTCTACTCAGTCTCTGGCATGGACACGGAGCCCCTCAAAGGAATAGTCGAGCTCCCAATAGCAATTATCAGGAAGCTCCTTTTCGTTACCGGATCACAGAAAACAGTCTAGTCAACTTCACACACTCCTTTGAACAGCCTGAGTTCATCCAAAGAATCTCCCAGCTAACCAAAGATGCCGAATCCGCCCCAAAAACCCATGAGGCAGTCGAAGCACTGAATAGGCACATTACAGAACTTATAAATGATGCCGCTAAAAATGAGCTTGAAATCTCTAAACAGACCCAGAATCCAAAACCCAAGTTCGATTCATGGTTTGACGGCAAGTGTCACACCGCACGACGCCTCTTCAAGCGGTCAATAAAGATTGTCGATAATAACCCTGACAATCAAAGGATCAAAGCTCGACACCGTGCTAACTGCAGAGGATATCGAAAGATTGTCAATAAGAAACGGGATGACTTCTTCAATAGTCTTAACAAAAAGATTAAAAACGGTAAAACCATATCCTGGAGAGACTTCAAAAAGCTTAAGAGCTACAAGAAGGAAGAAGTCCAAACTGACTCAGAGCAACTTAAAAGCTTCCATCAGTTCTACGCTGAGCTCTACTCTGACACTCATCCAACTGTAGACTCACTCACCAAAAGAGCTCTCCTCGAAGAAGCCAACACCCTAGCCGAGGGATCTGCCCCCAATGAGTCGCTGAACAGCGCATTTACACTGGGTGAGCTGAACGCTGCACTAGGCAAACTAAAATCCGGCAAAGCATCTGCTTTTGACCACATAAGCAATGAAATGCTCAAGGGTTTGAACGTGAAAATGAGGTCCCTCCTCCTTAAACTCTTCAATCTGTGCCTTGAGACAGGAACCTACCTCTGGAGCAAAAGTGTGATCACACCGATTCACAAAAAAGGGTGCATCAGGAACCCTGACAACTATAGAGCAATAGCAGTATGTAGCTGTATTGGGAAACTGCTCTCCACGATGCTGCTATCTCGGCTTGTCACTCACCGCCAAATCTCTCATCCAGATCCACCTAATCAAGCAGGCTTTACCAAAGGAAGTCAATGTAATGACCATATATTCACGCTGATGTCCACAATCGAAAAATACAAGAAAGTGAAAAGTAAAATATATGCAGTGTTCATTGATCTCCGAAAAGCGTTTGATCTAGTGTGCAGACAAGCCCTCCTGTTCAAACTAGCCTGCTATGGCGTCAACGGCGGCTACTACGACATCATCAAAGACATGTACAGTAAATCAGAGGGTCATATCAAGATGAATGGTAAAATCAGTGAAGCATTCAAGATCCTCAAAGGGACTGAACCAGGACATCCACTCAGCCCCGAGTTTTTCAAAGTCTACTTTAAAAAGCTTTCTGACCTCCTCAATGAAGCCGTTGTGAACTGCCCAACTCTCGCTGGTATCTCAGTGACTCACCTAGCGTGGGCTGATGATCTAGTAATCCTCGCCCTAGATCCTGAATCACTCCAAAAGTTGCTTTCGATCATTGGGGACTACTGTATCGAATGGGGTCTGGAAATCAACATCTCCAAAACCAAATTCATGGTCTTCAACGGTAAAGGACCTGACATTCCAAACTGGCGTCCTTCTATTCATGACAGAGATATAGAGATGGTCTCCAGCTACTGCTATCTTGGAATCATTATAAGCAGCACAGGGAAATTTCGGCAGGCAACTGACTCTCTCTACCGTAAGGGACTCGGAGCTTACTTTAGCTTGAGAAGCACCATAGACCGGAGATACATTGACGCATCATGCCTTAACAAACTATTTGACACCCTTGTCAAGCCTATTCTACTATACGGTTGTCAAGTTTGGGCCCCAGTTCTACCCACCGTCAGTAAGGTCCTCTCTTGCTTCAGCAAGTTTCACAACCTTGATCATGCAGTCTCCCACATCGCAAAACAGAAACTGGAGCAAGTGCACCTACGTCACCTCAAATACCTTCTTGGTATTAACAGAAGGGCAGTCAATGCTACAGCCTGGGGAGAAACTGGCTCATACCCAATTATAATTGAGATGTTGAAACTGAGTACTAAATACTTCAAAAGAGTTATGAGCCTTCCCTCAACACAACTGGTCAAAGCTGCAATGACTGAGCAGATTAACCTCAAATTGTCATGGTTTGTAGGCATCGAATCAGTTATCAAGTCATTTAACAACATCGACCTTCCTGACAGGAATTCATCATCGTTGCTCAACGCAACCTTCCTCGCGGACTCCTGCAGCCCTGAATTGATGACAGAGAACCTGCGAAAACTATTCCGTGATTCCTGGGGTTCTCTTGTGAAAGATTCTAGAAAGCTATCATTCTACAGTGAAGTCAAAAAAGAATTTGGATGGGAGCCATATCTAAACCACGCTAGGTCTTTCCAGGACAGAAGGGCAACCACACAGATTCGGTCCAGTTCTCATCACCTTAGAATTGAAAGGGGGAGGTACGACAAAACTCCACTTGATGAAAGGACCTGTAACTATTGCGAGCTGAACATCAACCAGCTAATCATCGAAGACGAGAACCATATGCTCCATTCCTGCCCCCTAGGGAAAGTTCCAAGGGACAGATTTCAAAGCCTCAGTGGAAATCTAGTCAGCATTGACGGAAATGATAGCTTCAATCTTGCCTCCACGTTTATCTCGCAACCCGATTGCATGGACAAACTCAGCGATGAGGACGTAAGTTTGATCAAACTCTCGACCAGCACCATTAATAAAATCTACAGACTAACCCTCAACTTCAAAGAAAGTCTAAATGTAGATAACTAGCTTCCTCTTTCAGTCCTTCCCTTCTTCCTTTCTTTTTTTCCCTTTTTCTTTCCGCCTTTTTTTCTTTTCCAGCTTTGGATCTGTGACGGATGTGATGGATTTCTTGCGGTCACTTTTATCCCTACATGGGCTCCCGGCCGTGCGTCCATGTAGGAGCCGTGGGGCCTTCCGAGTGATAGGGTTACAGTGACTGTTAGTAGGGAAAGTATGAAGGCTATATCAGTAGACACAATTACCGAACGCAGGGCATTGGCTCGACCTCCAAGACAGGGTATCCGTGAGGACCCTGGTCGTAATCAGCTCTGCGCTGCTCCAGTGTATCCTGATGCCTGAAATCTTGGACACTGCCTACGTACGGGGTAGACAGCCACTGATGATTTTGTCTGTGAGTTTTTCATCACTTCCTGACATGAGTCAGACCTCAGCTGGATCCTTCCTGTTTAGCTTTTTCTGAGCTTCCCGCTCGACCTCCTTCTTCAATCATCATCATCAGTTAGAGCTGCCGTGCTCTCGAACTTTCCCTTCACACTCCACCACGGCACCTCCTTCGAGGCCTCTTGCCAGGTAACACCAGCTCTCAGACATAGGCAAGCTTACCGCGCACGGCGTTTTTTCTTTTTTGTTTCGTCCTTTCCGTGTGTGCCGTTTTGTGCCACCCTCTCTGCTGTTCCTGCGCAATTGCGCTCATTCGCTCTTCAATGGGCTGTTCATTTGACAGAGTTACTGGCTGGCACTCCAAACATCTTCTCACTCACAATCACCATCAATCAAATTCAAAATTATGCAATCAATCACTATACATCCACGATCATATGATCAAAACACAAAACTTTGTTATATACTGTTTCTGTTTGAGATTTGAATAACGTTACTGTAATGTTTCAAATTATATTTTAAATGTTCAAATGTTCAAAAAAAAATGTACTGAGTGTAAGTAATGTTCAGTAAAAAAATCAGCTAAAAAACTTTTAAAATGGCCGAACTATCGGTATTACAGTGACAGACTTCTCCAAATTTTAAAAATTTTCGAAAAAGAAAAATATTTTTTTTCTCGATGAGGGAATATTTTTAGAAAATTTTGAAGGTGTGCAATCTTATTCTTTTTGTCTATTTAACCATAATATAAAATAAAATCGATGTTCGGAGCAAAAACGTTTTTGGTGTATCTCCCCTTAACTGGGTTTAATTTCAGAGACACGACAGATTAGCAACAATGAACGAAGAAAGAAAGCGACAGTTTAAGAAATACGAAATGGAAAAAGAGTTGAAACACAGGATGGCACTCCGAGCAATGAACGAGTACGATAGAAAAGTTCAGGAAGCACTTGACGAGGAGCAGAAGAAGAAGAAAGTGGATCACGCTAAGAACATCAAACACCCAGGAAATAAGAAACAGCTTGAGGAAGTTTGGGAGGCTGAAGGGTTTGACAAGGGCTCCTTCAACCCTAAAACATTCTTCAAGATGCATGATGTGAACAATGATGGTGAATGGGATGACTTTGAACTTGAGGCTATTTTCGAAAAGGAGGTCGATGAGCTGTTCGAGGTAAAGATTCAACTTATATTAGTTTATTCAATGAAATATCACCCCGTTCGCTTAATAGCTTAAAATAGAAAAATAAAATAAGAAATTTTGTCTCAAGTATCTGTAAAAACCAATCTCTGGCCCCAGGTCCTGGCCAACATCCTGCCCCCGGTCACCCCCCCCCCCCCCCCTACAGTCTTATATCTCGTCCACGAGTTGACATGAGAACAGATATCATTCCAGGGTTTGGATGATATTGACGAGGAGGAGAAGGACGAGGAAGTGTCCAGAATGAGGGAGCACGTGATCGAGCACATTGACAAGGACGATGATGGTGTTATCCAGCTGAAGGAGTTTATAGATTACGCAAACAGTCAGGATTTCGATCATGAGGATCCGTGGGATGCTGCGTTTAGTGCGGAGTTCAGTGAGGAAGATGTAAGATTATTATAGTGGTTTGTTTATTTATTTATTAAATTAATTAATTAATAGTGGTTTATTATAGCATTTACCCCTAGCTTCTGTAGATATCGTTAACATACAAACTATATTACGGCTATTAGCGTGGCTATTTATTATACTTGTCGTTTCAGTGTAAGGTTACTTTTTAAAGTTATATTTAAAAGAACTTATGTTTAAACAAGGGCTCTACATTCCCTGCTGAACAGTTCAACTAGCTCTATTCCGGAAAATTTTTAACTGCATTATATGCTAAACCAATAGGATATCAATACAGAAGGTTCAAAGTAGTTTATTAGACACTCGGTAATATTTTGGATTCAAAACATTGGACAAATTAAAATTAAAGATGGCACGAATTTTAAGTCATTTAGAGAGGAAAAATTTCCTCTCGATACCCAATGATTGAACTGCTCTTTGCGGACTGCAATTGTCAGTCGCTAACCAAGAAATTTCCTCTCAGATGCCAAAAATTCCTCATTTTTCCCAAATTTCCTCCCAGATATCTGTTGGGTTTGCCAACTTTGTGGATATGGGCTTTATTCAGGAGGCTTTATTCAGGAGGCTTTATTCATGAGGCTTTATTCAGGAGGCTTTATTCAGGAGGCTTTATTCAGGAGGCTTTATTCAGGAGGCTTTATTCAGGAGGCTTTATTCAGGAGGCTTTATTCAGGAGGCTTTATTCAGGAGGCTCTATTCAGGAGGCTTTATTCAGGAGGCTTTATTCAGGAGGCTTTATTCAGGAGGCTTTATTCAGGAGGCTCTATTCAGGAGGCTTTATTCAGGAGGCTTTATTCAGGAGGCTTTATTCAGGAGGCTTTATTCAGGAGGCTTTATTCAGGAGGCTTTATTCAGGAGGCTTTATTCAGGAGGCTTTATTCAGGAGGCTCTATTCAGGAGGCTTTATTCAGGAGGCTTTATTCAGGAGGCTTTATTCAGGAGGCTTTATTCAGGAGGCTTTATTCAGGAGGCTTTATTCAGGAGGCTTTATTCAGGAGGCTTTATTCAGGAGGCTTTATTCAGGAGGCTTTATTCAGGAGGCTTTATTCAGGAGGCTTTATTCAGGAGGCTTTATTCAGAAGGCTTTATTCAGGAGGCTCTATTCAGGAGGCCTTATTCAGGAGGCTTTATTCAGTAAGTTTATTAGGAGTTTCTTAATCATTTGTTAATTTTCCTCCTCTGCAGTTGGGAAATTACGAGAGAGATATGGATGAAAGAGAAAAAGAAGATATAAAAGCTCAAGCTGAAATTGAAAAACAGAGGAGGTAATTATGATTTGTTAACAGCAGTTATTTTCACATAATGTTACATAATGTTACATAATGTTACATAGTGGTACATAGTCTACAATAACTACATTCTAATCTCCAACATGTCTGATGTCACATTAAGTAGTAAGTAGGCTTCTAAGTTAAAACACAAATTATAAAAACTTATCTTTTGTTGATACAAATATCTATGTTATGAGAGGCCGTTACATTAAAAGATCTTCCTGCTTCCAATTCTCCAATTCCATGAGCCCGAAATGTTTTAGATATGGACAAGACGAGTAGGGGTGATCAAGCTAAAAATATAGGATGCAGCAATGTTAGACGCAGTTTCTAGTTATAATTTTATTTCAAAATTCAAATAAACTTTACATCAATGTATTACAGTTATATTCAATAGAAAAGACCACAATATCTCCTGTGAGGCAAAAACATGGAAAAAGAGAGCTAGAAAAATATTCATGAGACTCAACACTACCAGACTGCAGCTGGAGTGAGAAACATTATGTAAACATCTAAGTAAAATTTATTTCGGCTGAACCAAAACACGGTGGTAAAACCATAATTACATTGGTGCCGACCCTACAGTACATAAAATCATTAATAAATAATCAAGAGAACAAATTAAAATGTATACGATACCTTCTTGCCACTACTACACAAACTTACACAACATAACAACAAAATAACATAATCATACATATATTATAATATACCAATCTTACTATATATAAAGCGAGACGATATATACATATTTATTTATCCGCACCATTTTACTGACACCACGGCATCAACTTTAACACGGGTTTCCGCAAAAACCGTACAAGATATAAAACTGAAACTTTTTTAACTGATTCAAATGCTTTAATGGCCTTCAAATCAGCATGAAAAAATCGAAAATCGGCCAAGGAATAAGAATTTTAGTACCCAAAATTTGAACCCCCAAGTGGTGTCAAAAACGCGAATTAAATAGGTAATAATTATTTTTACTGGGAGACTTTAGGGTAGGAAACTGATCCGGCCACCAAAGAGCCTTGACACCAGTCTTAAAGGTTTGACGGGTTCCTGCTAGTATATCTAACCACTCTAACCACTCAATGGACCTTCACGTACTGCGTGACGCGCTAATTGTTTCATAGAAGATATCATCTACGTGTCAATGAAAAATGTTCTCGTATTCTAAAAATAGACTGCTTGATGAATCTAGGTACATTGCTTACTTCTGGAGCATGTAGTTATATGAAGTTCTAATATATAGAGTAGTTATCTAGTATTGAGGTACATTGAGCTATTGTGCACAAATGGAATGTTGATCTAATACTAGTGCAGCTCAACAATGCAGCCCCATCAATTGTTCCAATACAATAAAGGTGTGACACTCTGTGTGACACTCTGTTGACACTCTGTGTGACACTCTGTGTGACACTCTGTGTGACACTCTGTGTGACACTCTGTGTGATACTCTGTGTGACACTCTGTGTGATACTCTGTGTGACACTCTGTGTGACACTCTGTGTGACACTCTGTGTGATACACTGTGTGATACTCTGTGTGATACTCTGTGTGACACTCTGTGTGATACTCTGTGTGACACTCTGTACGTGACACTCTGTGTGACACTCTTTGTGACACTCTGTGTGACACTCTGTGTGACACTCTGTACGTGACACTCTGTGTGACACTCTGTGTGACACTCTGTACGTGACACTCTGTGTGACACTCTTTGTGACACTCTGTGTGACACTCTGTACGTGACACTCTGTACGTGACACTCTGTGTGACACTCTTTGTGACACTCTGTGTGACACTCTGTGTGACACTCTGTGTGACACTCTGTGTGACACTCTGTGTGACACTCTGTGTGACACTCTGTGTGATACACTGTGTGATACTCTGTGTGACACTCTGTGTGTGATACACTGTGTGACACTCTGTGTGATACACTGTGTGACACTCAATGTGATACACTGTGTGATACTCTATGTGATCAGTGATACACTGTGTGATACTCTGTAACTTTGTATATATCATAACTATTTGGTATTGCTTATGATGTATTATAGCTTCTTATCCTGACGGAAATAGTGTGCAATAATTGGTGGTCTCATTAAAGGAAGAAGAAAATATTTGCGCACTTTACTTAACTGTGTAGTACAGTACTGTATTAACTGTATTACGCAAAGTTACTTAACTCTCTTATTTTAACTCTCTTCTAAACTTGTTAAAGTTAGGTTAATGGGTCCTCAAATGTACAGTAATTTGTATAACTATGTACATACCTATATAACTATGTGCATTGTACATACTTATATAACTATGTGCATTGTGCATACCTAATATTAGGCTATACATAATTGAATGGGGGTTGGCAACACCACTTATTAAATTATTAAAGTAGTGTGTTATACATAATACCTCTTGTTTATAATATACCTATATATATATTATATATATATTATATTAAACAAGAGGTTGAGTAACAAAGGGTACGATAATGATGTAATCTAAGAAACATGAGAATAGTACTAAGGTTTCACCATTTAAATTACAGTTCGCAATTGTAGAGGGAGAGGGAGAGGGAGAGGGAGAGGGAGAGGGAGAGGGAGAGGGAGAGGGAGAGGGAGAGGGAGAGGGAGAGGGAGAGGGAGAGGGAGAGGGAGAGGGAGAGGGAGAGGGAGAGGGAGAGGGAGAGGGAGAGGGAGAGGGAGAGGGAGAGGGAGAGGGAGAGGGAGAGGGAGAGGGAGAGGGAGAGGGAGAGGGAGAGGGAGAGGGAGAGGGAGAGGGAGAGGGAGAGGGAGAGGGAGAGGGAGAGGGAGAGGGAGAGGGAGAGGGAGAGGGAGAGGGAGAGGGAGAGGGAGAGGGAGAGGGAGAGGGAGAGGGAGAGGGAGAGGGAGAGGGAGAGGGAGAGGGAGAGGGAGAGGGAGAGGGAGAGGAGAGGGAGAGGGAGAGGGAGAGGGAGAGGGAGAGGGAGAGGGAGAGGGAGAGGGAGAGGGAGAGGGAGAGGGAGAGGGAGAGGGAGAGGGAGAGGGAGATAGTTCGTTATCTAGAGGGAGATAGTTCGGTCACTTGTCAAGGCATGAAAGCTTGAAAGGTTATTCGGCGAATTTTCTTTGAAATAAAATGATGTTTTTGTAAACATTTTGAAAGTTTATTGATTAAAAAAATTATGTAGACAGCTAAAGGCATGGTTAACAAGTTTTAAAGTTATTGTTTACTATATTTGAAAACATGAAAGTAATAACATTTGAACAATTCTGATACCGGTGTTGTACAATTTTTTAAGAAATTAATTAAGGTAATAATTTGTTGTAATAACTAATACAGTTCATAGACGTAAGGGGCTGCCATATTGCAGTGCACACTCTAAAACCTTGATAATGTAGCCCAATTAGAAACATGTATATTACTTAACACTTTAACATGATTCCTCTGCCTCATACCTTGAAGTAACTGCTATTCAATAGTAGTGATTACACTACAAATCAACTGTGTGAATTTAGTGTGAACACGGATATTGAAATTGATGCACTTTGTGCACTGCACACGTTTTAAAATTATAACCCACATTGGTTTAATCTAATCATGATTAATAAAGCTGTGATTATTCTTCTTTCAATCTGTTATTGATCTGTATGTTTCACATACCGTTCCTTAGTTTCACATTATTACCAGGCTGGAAACTATAAAGAAGTACGAAGATGAGAGTAAGATAAACATGCAGATGTTAAAGGATCACTCGGAGAAACTTAAAGAAGCTCTTTTAGCGGCTAATAAAGCTAAGGACCTTGAAAAAGCTAAGAAATTAGTAGCAGATGCTCAAGTAAGTAAACTAGTAACAAATAAGCTGATAGTTGAAAGTTTAGTAGTGTTATAACAAGTAAGCTAACAGTTGAAAGTTTAATAGTGTTTTGATAATTTTACTAACTGAATTCCTCTTGTTAAGTGAAGCGGTTTGTATGTGGTCTAACTATTCCCTTGAAATTCTTCGTATGTTTGCATTTCATGTTTATTGAATATTTGTATGACATATTTATTTAGTTTAAACAATTTCTTCAGGTCAAAGAAGGAGTTGCAAATGTAAGTGTTTTAAAAACACTCCAGTAATATTAATAATTTGTTTGGGCACTTTTAAGCATTGAACAAACTTTTCTTCCCAACAATATTTGATAAATGTAGCATCACAATGATTTCTATTTGCGATATTTGATTTGAAGTTTGACGTGTTTTATACCGATCGTCGTTGATGACATGTTTTGAGCAGAATATATTTTATATTTTTTTTTTATCTCACACTTATTTTACTTCGGAGTATTCCAACAGCCAAATTGTTACACAAGTGTAACTAGCCAATTACAGGAAGCCGAAGGATTTAATTAGGCCAGTGACGGTTAAGGTAGTGTGTACCATACTTTCTTCGCCCGAGACTTCGCTGCAATGGACAGCTTCTCATTTAACCCTCACACACGATTTCTCGAATATTCGGCTGAGTAGACCGGGGGGCTGCATAGACCACTCAGGATCTTTAGCTGAATGCCGACGACACTCACCCCACGACTAGGCAGGCAGTGGGTTTCGAACTCGCAATCTCACGATTACAAATCCGATGATTAACCAACTACGCTACCTGGCCGTTGATTAAACATATTCTTTGAAAGTGTTACTTCCATAACTGTTTACGGATTAGTAACATCTGGTAAGGTGCCAAACTCACCTACTGCTCATAATATGTGTAATTTAAAATGTAAGCTCATTAAGATAGGAAGAGGGTGCCCGTCTTAGGTTTCAAAAGTAGACGATTTCGCCCTTAATCTCATCATTTTTATCATCAGCTAGCTCTACAAAGTTCTACCAAACTTAATTACATTCTCATATTGATTTAATATCGGAGCACCATTAAAGCCGATTGCATGTGTGTATAAGTTATTCGTATGATATGATTTATTGACTATCGTATCTCACCAAATGACAAATGCACCAAATTTCTTCCTCTTCGAATCCAAGTCCCAGAACTAAGTACACTCTTAGAACACTTAGCCAGGTGCAGTGGCCACTTTTTTGAATTTTGCTGTCCTAAAGTTTTGAGCGGTCGGTCTTATGGGCGTTTTTACAGGTTCTGTGTACTGGTCTATCTTTAGTACCAGGAAATGTTAGGTAAATGTGCGACTATATCATGACATACTTTCCTTCGTCGTCAAAACAGTCTTATATCCAGTCAGGCGGTGACGTATGCCAATAGGGCGGGCTCTCCCGTCCTATCCAGACACGATAGCTGACCTTGGTTCTTTGTCTAGTCCTGTGAATGTGCTGATTTGTCTTAAAACGTTCTTGACGACTAAAATCCACCTTGATGGCAGAATGGGCCTTATTTTCGGTCACCATCTATCAGATGAATATCTGTAGCGCGCGGTGGTCACCAAGCATTTCGTAACCCTGACGTGGGCGCAGCACGCGTGTTTATATTTGTATTATTGTAGTTCTCAACACCGTGAATAATGTAATACGTAGCACACCAAGATTGGCTTCCCTTTAAATTACGTTACATTATCAGCCCTATTATTATCACTTTTTATATCACTTTTAGGACCAGCAATTGATGTATAACATATGAGCTTTAACTGGGGTTCCATGCGAGGCGTAATAATTTCAGGTGAATCAGAGCCACGAAAAATAGATATTGAAGGGGTTACCGTAATCGCAGGAATGACTTTTGTTTTTTGAATGTAACAAAATTTATAAATCCCAGTCAGCTGAAGAGATTGCCAGGGAGCATGAGATTCGAATAGCAGATGAACAGCGACGGATTAAAGAACAACACGACCAGCAAATACAGGCTGAACAGCAAGCCCATCAACAGAGGCTGAGAGAGGCAGAAATTCAAGCCGAGCAACAAAGACAAGAACAAGCAAGGCAAACAGAAGTCCAGCTTGAACAGCAACGCCAAGAAGAACAGCGACGTCTAGAAGAACAGCAACGAAATGCTGCGATTCAGGCTGAGCAGCAACGAAATGCTGAGATTCAGGCTGAGCAGCAACGAAATGCTGAGATTCAGGCAGAACAGCAACGAAACGCTGAGATTCAGGCAGAACAGCAACGAAATGCTGAGATTCAGGCAGAACAGCAACGAAATGCTGAGATTCATGCTGAACAGCAACGAAACGCTGACATTCAGGCAGAACAGCAACGAAATGCCGGAATTGATGCTCAACAACAGCAAGATGAACAAGCAAAGCAGGCGGATTTGCAGCGGGAGGAGCATAAAAAAGAACTGGAAGCTCAATTGAAGTCCCTAGAACTGGAGAAGGAGAAACTGAACGTTCAGCAATAACTAGGAAACTCTCTAGAGTTAATATTTACATCTAGGTAGTGGTGGCCTCGTGATGATGGCTGTTGTATGGCAATTGCAACGCAAAACATTTTGTAAATCGAAATTCTATTATGTCAGCTGGGTTAATTTCATGTAGATGACCCTAGAATGATGAATAACATTTTGCACGGTTGCATGATCAGTTGCATGAGATTTGTGTCAAAAGATTATTGTTATTCTGTGTTTTGGGGATAAAATTTGTGTTAACAATTCAAATTAACAATTCCTTAGTTTACCTAAAATTTAAACATTTAAATGCCCAATTTTCAGGCGTCGCCGTAAAGTCCAAACAAGCTCAGCAATCCCGTCCCCTGTTCGAACTGCAACCGACTTAGCTGTTGTCTTTTCGGAAGAGTTTCTATCTTTAGAAATCGGAAAATAGGGAACTTCTCACATTGATATAATCTGTTCCTAATTTGTTAATTTATCGCTAATTGTGATTATTCCGTTATTTCCAACATGCAATTTTAAAATCATGCACAGGATTTTGATAATATATATTTTAATACATGATATAAATGTTGATTTTATTGAAGGGTTTATAAAATGATGAATTAATTAACACTGAATAGATCAGGCAATAATGCAAACAAACCCACCCTCTTTTTACAAGAATATTTGGTATTACAAAATTAAGTATTAAGTTATTCGCAGTTTTGATGAATTATTCGTTTAAAAGCAGATGTATCATGGCTGGGTTATAAAAATCCTCCCTCTAGTTTCATTCATATTCATTATTCTGGTACTCAGTCTTTGCTGCAAATTTTTGGTGGGAAATATTATCTTAATAATGCAAGAAATGTAATCTGTAATTAATTGTAAGTTTTACTAAATACTAGAAGCTGGTTTGCATTTGCAATAAATATAATTTTCGCCGGAATGATGTTAACAGGGTTAATAGGGTTAACATGATGTTAACAGGGTGTTCAAATATCTGACTATCAGGGAAGGTGTCCTACACAAATCACTCGTAAAGATTGATGCTACAATAGTTTAGATTACAAATTTACAAGGGTCTCCTTAAATTAATTATGCTCTGAAGTGAGTCCGATCGTTCAGTTTTGTGGGGATTTTCAGTTAAAATGTTAACCATTATTATCTTCTAACCAGTTGTTAAGTGGTTAATCTGTAGCTCCTGCGTGCTGATCCAGGGGGGGGGGTCCAAGGGGAACTTTGGGGAACTTTGGGAAAGTCCCCCAAGATTTCTGAAGTTCCCCAAAAAAAGTTCCCCAAAACTCCCCAAAGTTCCCCAAAATTCCCCAAAATCATTCAAAATTATTCAAAATTATTCAAAATTATTCAAAATTATTCAAAATTTCTCTAATATACATTAATACCCGTTAATGTTAACATGTATGTTATTATAAGGTATAATCTTAACTTACTTGTTGATACTTGCAGCATGATAATTTTTTTGGCATGATAATTTTTTTGGGGAACTTTGGGGAATTTTGGGGAACTTTCTGAAGTTCCCCAAAAAAAAGTTCCCCAAAATTCCCCAAAATTATTTGTTTCATTGATGATTTTTTGGGGAACTTTGGGAAAGTCCCCCAGGTTTCCTGAAGTTCCCCAAAAAAAAGTTCCCCAAAACACCCCAAAGTTCCCCTTGGACCCCCCCCCCCCCCCCCCCCCCCCCGATCCAACAGGGTGCAACAAACAACAGACTAGTGCTGTCTGGATTGTTTAACAAAGTTGTTTCTTTCGTATAGTTTAGTCTTCGGGTGAGACACTTACATTTTGCGTAGACACGTCACGTTTCTTACCTTCTCTTTCCTCACCGGAGCCCCTCGACTCAGTAACAGTCAGCTGTAACACTCAGCTGTAACACTCAGCTGTTACTCTCTGTAACTCTCAGTTACTGAGTAGCACAGTCTGTTACTACCAGCTGAAACTGTCTGCTGTGATTTTCACATTTTACTCCTGTTCGACGTCTCATTCTACCACTTTTCCTTCCCCCGATCAGTACACATATCTACACATTGATATCCACCCTGTTGACTGGCGCTGAAATTTTTTGTTGCTGAACTACATTGACTTTAAATTCTAATGGCACAAATCAGTAGTCGTAATTGGTTGAAGGGCAGTTTCTTATTTTCTGTGGTGATGGAATTGGATATCTTCACCACAAATGGACCCATGGCCTCAGTTGATATAATACCATACGATAAGTGCGCCAACTGCGACTGATCTTTTTATGCTCCTCCGTGCTTTGTGGTAGTCAAATTATCGATTTTGAACATTGCAAATTGAAAGCTATCAACCGGAACCCAGAATCAGATTCTGCAAATGAACAGATGTGATGTCCGAATCCACCTATGGAGCAGGTAATAAAATTAAGCACATTAGAACCTGTACTTCATTACCATACTGTGATTCACTCTTATAGCCGTGTGGAGTGGTCACAAAGTCACAAACCGTTCCAGATGTCGTGTTCTTGAAGCGGGGACATCTGTTCTTGTATCTCCGAAAAGGTAGTTTCTTGTCTGTGGTCCTAGTATTAGACTTAGTCTGAGTCCATGTTGTACTCGACTTGATCTGGATATTGGATACTTGTTTAGCTTTAGTGTCTCCTTTGAGTTTGAGGTAGTAAATTATATAATTTCTTTGTCTAAATTTTTAGGTTTTTCTTTATCAGAACGTGAGAGGCGGCGTTTACTTTGTCTTCAACATTCAAAATTGTAGGCTTTGTGTTAATGTCACTCTTGGTATGCGAGATATCCTTCTGAAGCTGATGCTTTGTTAACTCTTAGTCTTAATAATTTTAATTCTACATTCTGAACTGGTGGGTTAATCTTATTCTTACCGGCCATGATATAAGCACTTTACAATTGTTTGAATAACTTTAGTTTACCAATTGCCGAATGTTTTAATTACGATATTCGATGACACAATACCTCTATTTCTAAATAAAACTCACGGAAACTGAAAACCACTCTCAGCATTACATCATTGTGCAGGAAAAAATACGCCTTCCCCAACCACTCAATATAGTATGCGTCTAGCGTCTAGTGTTATACTGGCCGGTAGTTGGAATGATTTCCCACCACTACATGCTGCTAAAAAGAAGATTTTAGTTGAGACTGTGGGAGTGAGAGGTATAAACTAGAGGACGAACTGTTTTATCGCCCCGAACACTTCCGATACTGATAGTACTATCAGTAACGTGATCTTGCGTGTGTCGTCGTGGTTACACGGCATCTTGCGTGTGTCGTCGTGGTTACACGGCATCGCGTTTACAGACCCCCCGATATGAGGGCCGACATGGCTTTTTTATCATTGCTACAGACGTTCTCCCAGATTATAGAATTTAATTAAAATATTTATCACCTGTTTTCGTTTTGCTTTCCCTTTGGGATTTGGGATTTCCAATTAATCATTATAATTATATAAATTAAAGGTGCAGTTTTGCGTTCGAGCTATTTTTACAACATACAAGTACAACGAGTTGCCCCGACCCCCGTGTCAGTCTTGCGTATTATTACTAATACGATGACATATGCCGATATAAATAACCTAAACTTTATGCAGCAGTCAAAACTCAGAAGTCAGCTGCCTAGGTTTAATAAGAATTGCCAGTGAGCTAATAATTATATTAATAATAACTAATAATAATAATTATCCTGATGGTCAAATATTTAAAGACATAGCCACACCCGTACTATGTACTAGCCTTTGCCAAATATTCGTCCCGCGGAGGTCGATAATAATCATTGGATCAAGAATGAAGAAAGCTGTGCAACATCCAACATTAAATATCGTTGCTCTAACTAAACCAGAGCCCTCTCGCTTGCAGTAGCGCGCGACCGCCGTAGTACGCGTAGGCACATGGCTATGTGAATAAATATCGCATTCTTGATGTTTTGGTATAATTTGTTACAGGGGTGTAGGAATGATTTTCTTCATGGGGGGGGCCAAATCCTAAATATTTTTTGGCGCTTCGCGCCAAAGCCTGAATTTCGAGGGTAAGGACAAAAGGAAATTGCAGCATGTGCGGTATCGCGAGTTTTCACGCTTGCCGCGACAAGTCGCGATTTTTCAGATCCTGGCCTTACGACGAATCGCGATTTTTTCAGTTCTCCGTGTCAAATTGCGCATTTTCCTTTAAATCTGAGGACCAAATTCGCATATTTTCCTTCAAATCTGTGGGCCAAATATCACGTTTTCTATAATTAGTATTAGATCCAAAACCTTCCGAATGAAGGTACGGACTTCAAAAAACCGAAAAATATATTTTCGGCTCAGAATGATCAGGGTAGCATGAAACATAAACAAAAGTAATTTCCAGAAAAACTTTGAAAAATTTTGACTTAGAAAATGTTCGGTACGAGTCATTCTCGATACGTACCTCTGAAAGCAGAGCTCCCGCTTACGAGCTCGTATTGCGAAGGGGAGGCCTGCCTTCCGAGATCGCATCACAAAGGGGAACCCTCGAGTCCAAAATCGTATATCGAAGGGTAGGTGCGGACTTCGAAAACCGAAAAAATATTTTTCGGCTCAGAATGATCAAGGTAGCATGAAACATGAACAAAAGTAGTTTCCAGAAAAACTTTGAAAAATTTTGACTTAGAAAATTTTCGGTCCGAGTCATTCTCGATACGTACCTCTGAAAGCAGAGCTCCCGCTTCCGAGCTCGTATTGCGAAGGGGAGGCCTGCCTTCCGAGATCGCATTACAAAGGGGAACCCTCGAGTCCAAAATCGTGTATCGAACTTCGAAAACCGAAAAAATATTTTTGGCTCATAATGATCAGGGTAGCATGAAACATGAACAAAAGTGATTTTCAAGAAAACTTTGAAAATTTTTGACTTAGAAAAATTTTCGGGGAAAAAAATTTTTCCCAAAAATTTTTAGAAGCCTAAATTAAAAAGTTGGCCCTTTTTGGCCCCTTGCCCAGATTTCATGGGGGGGGGGCGATGGCCCCCCCTGCCCCCCCGCTTCCTACACCCCTGAATTTTGTTATGATTATCTTCTCAAGTTGTCGCGGTATAACTCCACCCTTCTAGTCCTCTGATATATAATTTCCAATTCATATGGAGCATCTGGTCGACCGTCGACACTTGACGGTCTGCCTATGCCTAATATTCAAGAAAGCTGTGCATAACATTCAACATTAAATATCACATTCTTAATGTTTTGGTATAAATATAATTTGTTATGATTATCTTCTCAAGTTGTCGCGGTATAACTCCACCCTTCTGATCTAGTCCTCTAATATATAATTTCCAATTCATATGGAGCATCTGGTCAACTCTGCGTCGACCGTCGACACTTGACGGTCTGCCTATGCCTAATATTCAAGAAAGCTGTGCATAACATTCAACATTAAATATAACATTCTTAATGTTTTGGTATAAATATAATTTGTTATGATTTAGATTATCTTCTCAAGTTGTCGTCTAATTTCGTAAATTTCAAGGTACTCCACCCTTTACTTCTCCACCCTTTACTCCACCCTTTACTTCTAGTCCTCTAAATGTAATTTCCAATTCATGGAGCATCTGGTCGACACTCGACGTCCTTGTTACTCTTATCACATGCCAGTTAATAGTTATGTAATCATTTGTTACTCTGAGCTTACTCTTGCGGCTTTGACGCGGGTTTTTAGCTGCATTATCATTCAATTTCATTTGTGACTCGAGCAGTTTATCTTCTTTTATCTCAAATCACAATTTAGCAGAAAATGGCAGGTGCTTTAATATTTAATTCTTCTGTATATACATGTGTTTTGGTTATTATCATGTCTTTGAGTTTGATCTTAATGCGACTTGGATTATACTTCTGCATACGTACCGATATTTAAATCTAGGACTTTTGCTTTTTATCGAAAAGCAAAAGTATCAACATATTCAAATGCTTAATGCTATTGCTATCTATTTAAAAATTAAACAAATTTTACCTACTCGCTGCTCCTCACTGATATATTATCAATTATATAAAACATTTTGTCATTGAGGTCACCGTCAAGCAGCAGATTAATTCTTCATTATGTACCGGTCACCGGTGGTTAAAAGTTTGGTGGCGACCACATCATGTCATTTAGTTGTTAAACTTAAAATCTATCAGACCCCAGAAACTCTTTTTAATGTCGAATATTTCGAACATTTCAAACTTTTCGGAGAAATTCAAACCGCATCATCCGTCAAACTACATTATTATAATAGTATTAACAGTCAATTGACTGATTATTATATCAGGCCTGGGCCGGACGAAACCTTCAGCAATGAAAATGAAATCAAGCTTGTTCATATATTCATTTGATATCACATTATTCATAGATTCATGTGGACGGCCGGTTGTACTTGTTTCACGTTGCGACCTCAACTATTTTTCAGTAGCGAGACACGCGCTACGCGTGTGTCAGGCTAAGCAACGTCTAGAAGGATGAACAGCTGCACCCCCTTGCCCTTATTTCTCAGAGTTAATAATAATATATATATCTGTTTCGTCAGATTCGATATTAATATTTTACTGAAAGCTTTGTCCCAGGATTATAAGTATGACAGGCATATTAATTTGTATATTCCTATTGATAGAAGCTACTGATCAGTAATCTTTTCTTAAACATTATCTTATTTCACTACAGGGACAGCCACATGAAATGATAATCATTTGTAGATTAGAGCTGATTCAACTAAATGGCAGATGCTGGATAAGGTTTCGGCCTCGATTTCAGTTACTCAAAGTCAAGACTCAAAATGGATGATTCTGATATTTATAGTGGCGTGATTTAGCGATTAACAAATTTTAAAAGAAATCATACCATCCAGCTGATAAAATAAATAATCGTCACGTACGTCTGACCAGATATACATATTGATTATTGAGCAGATGATCGGCTTATTTCTCAATACCTGTCTTGTTTTTACAATTTATACTTATAGTTATAGAATATGGTAACAGCTTTCTTCTTGTACCATGGTAACAACTTTCTACTTGTGTCCATGGTAACAACTTTCTACTTGTGTCCATGGCCTTAAATAACTTTTGATACGACTACGGTCACTCGATATTATCTGAAGAAGCAATTTTCACTCGCAAATTGAACTTTCAAAAAGTTGGTAGAAGCTTTGATAATTGTGAAAAAAGTGTATCATTCCAAACTAATATAATGGAAAAGCCTCAGGTCTTAATTTCTAACTTACAGAAGCCGAAGGTCCTATAGCAAGGTCCAACAATGCATATGTCTTAATTTCTAACTTACAGAAGGTACTATAGCAAGTTCCAACAATGCATATGTCTTAATTTCTAACTTACAGAAGGTCCTATAGCAAGGTCCAACAATGCATATGTCTTAAATTCTAACTTACAGAAGGTCCTATAGCAAGGCCCAACAATGCATATGTCTTAATTTCTAACTTACAGAAGGTCCTATAGCAAGGTCCAACAATGCATATGTTGGCAGTTCAAGAGAAGCCCTCCGACCAGTACTGCCAGACTCTGACCAGAGTGCTGTTCAACTCTGGTGTAGCTATAACAGTGCTGTCATGTGTAGCCCTATTCCTCAACCTGGGTATTCTGATCGTGTACTGGAAAGCAAGGAGACTTCTTACTCCTCAGTACTTGGCTATCATCAATGTTGTGGTTTGTATTTGGATCAAGTATTCTTAATCACCAGAATTTCAATTAAGCGACGATACTCAATACTAATAGTATTTCTCTAAAGATGTAGCCGAATATATTGACGTTGCCATCAACTACTAGTTTAATTCAGGTATCCGACTTGTGCAGTGCAATTGTTGGAGTCACGTTCAGAGGTCCAGGAATGGTGCACCCTAGGTAAGTGCCTAGAAGTTTAAGAAGTTAGTAATTAGTACAGATTAGAAGTGGCACTTCCACTGCCAGCATGGTTAATTTCATATTATGTTTCTCTCCGTTTGTTGAATATTTAGCGTAGATTAGGAAATAAGAATGCAATCATAAATATGAAGCAGCTGCAACTGTACAGGTGCACAAATACGTTACCTACTTTAGATTAATCCTATGGAAATTAATAATCAGATCTAATGGTGTCTAAATAATGGGGAATTTAATAACAATAACAACCTCAGCCTCTTCTACGGCGGATCAGCCTGTCCTGATGAAACAACTGCGTCTGACTCCGTCTCTACATTCTGCTTCTGGTCACCTTACATAGCATGGGCATTTGCTTATCAGAACGCTTGTGCTATCGCTATTCTCTCACTCGATAGGTTCATTGCTATCAGCTTTCCATTCTGGTAAGTTTTATTTTAATTTGCAATTAATGAGTATATTTATATAATTACATGAATAGTTATAACTATTCATGTGATACTGATCTAATGAATTGTGTTATTAGCTTATTTCGTAAATTATTATTATTATTATCTATTAGCTTATTTTGCAAATTGAGTTTTTGAATTCCCTACTCTGATAAGTGATACTCTTAGTATCAAAATCGTCTAATTAACCACCAACTAACCATACTAACATCACCTCGTAATGTTTACTGATAAGACATGAACCCATTGTAACTTGCAGGTACAAAGTGATGATAACGAAGACACGTGCACGAAGGATAACTTACATCACTTGGGGATCTATCATCTCATATCTTGCTTTACATGCAATACTCCTTCATATTGGTTACACTACTGTCGTGTAAGAAATAAACTTTCTCTTTCTCTTTTGCTTTACATGCCATACTCCTTCATATTGGTTACACTACTGTCCTGTAAGAAATACACTTTCTCTTTCTCTTTTGCTTTACTTGCCATACTCCTTCATATTGGTTATACTACTGTCGTGTAAGAAATATACTTTCTCTTTCTCTTTTGCTTTACATGCCATACTCCTTCATATTGGTTATACTACTGTCGTGTAAGAAATATACATTCTCTTTCTCTTTTGCTTTACATGTCATACTCCTTCATATTGGTTACACTACTGTCGTGTAAGAAATATACTTTCTCTTTCTCTTTTGCTTTACATGCCATACTCCTTCATATTGGTTATACTACTGTCGTGTAAGAAATATACATTCTCTTTCTCTTTTGCTTTACATGCAATACTCCTTCATATTGGTTATACTACAGTCGTGTAAGAAATACACTTTCTCTTTCTCTTTTGCTTTACTTGCCATACTCCTTCATATTGGTTATACTACAGTCGTGTAAGAAATACACTTTCTCTTTCTCTTTTGCTTTACATGTCATACTCCTTCATATTGGTTATACTACAGTCGTGTAAGAAATATACTTTCTCTTTCTCTTTTGCTTTACATGCCATACTCCTTCATACTGGTTACACTACTGACATGGCGAAGCAATGGGCAATCCAACTACAAAGTATAGTTAACGTAGCAGTGTTAGTAATAAACTTGTGATAATTGTTGAACAAGAATTTTGATTTTAGCCCAGATTGAATTAACCTAAGACTAAGAGCTACAGATTTATTTATGTCTGAGCATGTAACCTACATTCGTCCAATCCACACGATCTTATTACCTGGCTTATTCTTAACCGAATCTCTTCGTTTGGATATGGATATCTGACAAACAAATATGTAATTTAGGTACTAAATATGTTTGTACAGGTGGGTGCCAGCTGACGGTAGGTGCATGTACAGGGTACAGTCAGATTCCCAAGACATAGACTCGGAGTGGAGATTTAAAATATTTGAAGACTCAATCTTTTTCATTTTCCCGCTGGTGGTCACTGTGGTTTGCTACTTGTTTATACTAGCTAAGGTATGTAGTCATGTAGATAGTGTTTAGCTGATTGTCAGCCAATGCCATGGTTACATAATATGTCAATTGTCATTAAATAGAGGATATACTACTAAAGTAATACCACTAAAATTAAGGGTCATTATGTGTAATAAGAACCTCCAAACTGTGCCACTAACTTTTGATCATTAACTCCAGCCAGCCGCAGATCTCTTATTTTAATCGATTCCCATTTATTCCCTAACAAATTCCATCAATTTGCAGGTTCGACCTATAACATACTAAAGTGGTTCCACTTCAGGTGATAAAATCACGGCATCAAAAAGAGGAGCTGGTGGCGGTCCAGACAAAACCCTTGTGTTTAACGTTTTGTATAGTGGTATCGAGCTGTGTACCTTGGATACTGTACTTCATCTCAAACTACATGCAGTACAGAGTTCATCATATCAATGGTTTATAATTTGCACCACTTAGCATATTATAATTATATACTAGTAACATAATTATATACTAGAGTACAATTTGAGCCACATTTAAACTAATTTTTAGTTCTATCACTATGAAGTTTCTCCTTTATATCAAAACTAGTGTAACCCGGCCTACGGCCGGGATTTCACTGCCGCAGTTAAAAAGGGTAGGAGTAATTACCCGCTGAGTCAAAACCCGCATTAGGTGACCCAATAGTTTCTTAAACAATAATCTCATAATCAGTTATTTCTTGTGGATAATTAAGTCATTATTAGCCATGAGGCACCACACTCCATGATCATAAGGTCTGAACACCGAGTATTACACCTCATCACTCCCGTCTTGAACCGCTTTCTATTTTTATTTAAATCGTTATAGAAATTAACCCTTGTTAACTCCGCACCACACCCGCATATTATATTTGAAAACACGCATAACATTGTCGTATGAACTCTCTCTCTCTCTCTCTCTCTGCAGTCCAAACAGACCCCAAACACTAACAGTCCCCCCTCCCCTAATAAGCTTAAGGTATAACATTACAGCGAATCTTCCAGGCTAATCCAATTATGACGCTACTTAAATGCAGCTATAACATATTACACAGTAATGAGAGAGAGAGAGCAAGCCCCGTAACTCTTGCCGTTCTGCTCACCCAGGAAAAGTTACCGGTTGGTGGTGGTACTAGAGTTGGTTTAATTTAAACAGACGGCTCGACCTCGCGCGCAACAACAAGCATGATTTGCACGCGTGGCGTATTCCAATGTTCAAGTAGCTACCACGTGACACAATTCAGCCAACCAGAGTACAGGAATCCGCAAAGTTAAAGTTGCAAACTTTTGAGTGGCCCGAAATGGGACTTTTCTTGAGATTTTGAGATAACTCAGCAATTACGTTGTCTTGAATTTTCCTCCTGGAGAGGTAACGTTACTTTTAAAAGGGGAACATGTTACAAAAAACCGGAAGTCTCTAACTCATTTACTTTCAAAGTTAAGCCCCATCCGGTCAGGGTTTCTGGGTGCAGTTGACTGACGCCGATTAGGGTGTTTTGGCCGTTCTAACTTAAGACTTTTAAGAATTAAAGCAGCCGTATTGATCTTCCAAACCTACAACTTTCAAGGGCTAGAATCCGCTGTATTTTGCTGTTAAAAAGTTAAAACACAACTTGTACTGTTTTACTTCATGATTGGGGCCGTAATTCAAAAGCAAATTTGGCAAGAAGTGGTGCTCACGGTCTCACTTAACCGAACGTCACTTATCGCTCAGTTAAGAGCGACCAAGGTCTTGCGACAGACAGCCTGCAGGCATATGATCCGAATACGAAATATCCTTGTGTTCGGCATTTATTAGCCCTATAAATTGGTTACTTCTTACCCAGGAAAAGTTACCGGTTGGTGGTGGTACTAGCTAGTTGGTTTAATTTAAACAGACGGCTCGACCTCGCGCGCAACAACAAGCATGATTTGCACGCGTGGCGTATTCCAATGTTCAAGTAGCTACCACGTGACACAATTCAGCCAACCAGAGTACAGGAATCCGCAAAGTTAAAGTTGCAAACTTTTGAGTGGCCCGAAATGGGACTTTTCTTGAGATTTTGAGATAACTCAGCAATTACGTTGTCTTGAATTTTCCTCCTGGAGAGGTAACGTTACTTTTAAAAGGGGAACATGTTACAAAAAACCGGAAGTCTCTAACTCATTTACTTTCAAAGTTAAGCCCCATCCGGTCAGGGTTTCTGGGCACGCAATTTTATGTAACATTTGTGGTACAAAACCATCAATTAAACCACTTACCATTGGCCGATTTTTAAAAAAATTTCCTATGGGCTTCATCAGAGTTTTGTCGACACTATACCGAAAAAATCAGTCCCGTAACTCTTACCGTTTTTTTTGTATAACCGACCGGAAATTACACACGGACAGACAGACAGACAGACACACACACACACACACACACATTCTGGTGTTATTAAGGTGATGTTTGAGAGAGGATCTACCCGAGAGGTCTGCTCAGTCTGCTATTATTTCAGTTATGATAGTCAGCTACATATTCTTCTACGTTTCACCGATAGTGAACCCGATTATATTCTCAACAAGGAGTAAAACATTTCACCATGTCTTCTGGGACCGGGTCATAAGATCAAAGTCTAAAAGGGTGAGAGTTTCTTATTACTGAACTTTTATTCAAATTTCTGATTGTTTCTGAATAGACTCAGTGAAGACAGATAAATAAATAAATTCTTATTTCCATTAGAATCTGTCTTCACTGAGTCTATTCAGAAACAATCAGAAATGTGAATAAAAGAACTATCAAATCATGAGACTCAAAAACACTACACGAATCCACCAGATTATCACTGAACTGTTTAAATAAATACAGTTTTTATCGAATCTAAACGATCAATTTGTTAGTATTACAATAATTCAAGTGCTATAGATAAAAAACTGACATCAAAAAGTCAAATCTTCATGTTACAGAAAGAGTCGTACATAAAGCGGTACAAAAGGCACAAGTCAGGATCTTCAACTACATCCTACCAATCAAGAGCAGCTCCCAGGATTTCTAATAAATCACGTGACATAGAACCGAAACTTCCTCCGAAAACACTGCAGAATTTAAAGCCGATAAATGCACTAGATAATGGGCTTGTCTTGGAAAATGAATGTAAGGATGTGTTATATGTCGGGGACACTTTTGTATAACACTCTGGAAAAGTGCCAAAGAAGAAGAATCAAGGACCGGACGGATTTTACAACAGACTTGCAGTGCAGTTCATATCCATCACAAATTCATTGATATGACTATTAGTATTAAAGTGCGTAACTTCGCCTCTAAAACAGGTGAAGTTTGATGTGATTCTTTCTTAAAGCCGGTGGAAGATATTGAGTTTATTTGCTTTACTAAATTAACATTTAAAGTTACAAATTAAAACTTTGATGTTACAGCCATGACACGCTTCTGATCCTTTAGAAATGTAGACAAAAGTAGTCGGTTTCAACCGTATTTCAACCGTACTTCAAAATAATGTCGATGAGGAGGGACTGCTTCTATATTCTATGGACCAATAGAATTGCGATTATAACTATACGTTACTAAACTTAAATATAGCGTGAAATGATTTTTGTGGTTTCTTTGTTGATTTTGCCATAATATGTTAATTCAGCTTTCATTTCAGAATGTTAATTAAAATTAATGATACTCAACTTTTTGATAAAATTATTGATAAATGATTGGTATTAACAAGGTTTGTTTTATAAATATTGTCTGAAATCATTAATATATAATCATCATTCGTTGCATACATTTAAGTATTCCAAACTTTGAAAAATGGATAGTCAAAAAATCCGAATTTATTATTTTGAAGTCGATACTAATTAATTAATGGAAATTATTTAGAACATATTATGTTTAAACAAGATATAAATCTTTGATATCTTAGAGTTATTCAAGAGGACATAAAATACATCATATTCAATAATGGTCGCCTAAAAACAGAAATAAACAAGAACTTAATTAGCAAAATAACAAATTACATAACTCCACGTCAGTTTTCAAAACAGTCCAAACTTCAAGATACAACCCTAACGTAGTTAGCGGGAAATATTCCCACTTTCCCGTGAAGCCGCCCTTCCCACCAGTCAAACTCTAGCGGTGTCCTTGTCAGAATCTCAATTCGATCACTCTTCTGAGCAGAGAAACGGGAAGTTAAAAAGTGGCAACTGGAGTTTTGAGAGAAACGAGACCGGTTTGTAATTTCTACATTTTATAAATATAACGAACACCTTATCTCACCTGAAAGGAAATATCACAAGTCATCTCCCCACTGAAGGGAAAGATAGCCTCGCCCCATATTCTGGGGGGCTGTTGCTGGGGTGAGGCACCCGAGTCTGTAACGGTCTGAGCGTTGTAGGACCTTTGTACAGGAGGAGGGGGAGCCGGGGTCCTCTTAGGTTGGGGGGCTGGACCTGGGGAGACGGTGCATTACGCGTCACGTGACTAATGTCTATTGTTGCTATGGTTACAGTTACGTTAGTTACTAGTTACGTTAGTTACTGAAGTGTGCTACAGTTACTATTTAACATTTTCAATCGGTGTAAGTTTAAATCTATCACACGTTATAACTAACCTTTCTTATTAGATGTGGTAGGGCGGGAGGGAGCCGCTCTAGGCGGACCTTTACTACCGTGAGTCTTCACTGAGGGCTTACTCTTTGGCTTACTCTTCGAGAGGAATTTGGACTTACCTGAAGACGTGACATCTTAGAGATTTAAATGAAAAAAGTCTTTCTTAAAAGAAGAACTTAGTTTTTTTGGACTTTTCCGATTGTTTCTAACAACCTTCCTAAAAGAGCTTATAGCTGCAATCAGTTCCTAAACTGTTAGCATAACAAGTGAGAATGAAATGAGAGAAATTATCTTATTATCATCAGGAGAGATATCATGATAACATACCAAGAGTAAGCATGTCTTGTATCTGCTGAATATACATGCTCAGTACACACACACACATGCATCACAAAGTAACAGGTAACGTACACTAGGGAGACACTTAACAAGTAGTAACATATGACAGAATACAGTTTAACGACCACCTACAAGGGTGGGAACACTTACCCAAGGGCATCTTGTCGCTGTATTATACCAAGTTGGAGGCTATGTAATTAGGCATCAATAAGCGGGGTATATAATAACCGGTGATAACAGTGTGTGTATAGAATGTGTACTGTTAATTTGCTATTAACAACTTGTCAGATTATTATTATATAAAACTCAGGAATTGTATTCAATGTATCGGTTATTATATAAATCAGGCAAAGTAGTAGGTTAAAGATGCAACTGTTAAAACTGTACAATTCAATATACAACTAGCCGCTTGCAAGAACGGCCGGCCAGGATATGTGATATTCTTAACGAATGTAATAAGTAATATGTAATTAACAACACATACAATAAACGTACCAAGTATACATTGCACGCAGTAAACGTAACCGCAAATTCTGCCGAATATCTATTCATGATCTTACATATTATGCCAAAATTGAAAATTCGCCAAGTAATTTAATCGCCATAATGCAGTCTAGACAGATGCCGAAAAAAGTCTTGTATTAAGGAATAAAAAACCGACAAAACAAAACTAAAACTTTCAGGAACGATAAAATGAGACTCTCAGAGTACAGGAGCAGTGAGCACGTACTAGAACAAAGTTTAAACACACCGCAGCTGTAGAACACAACATACAAACCTAGCGTGCTGTGATGGAACACACAAAAAGCCAATTATTCCATATATGGTGATGTGGTAATCCCATCCGTATATATATGACAGTAGTAATACAATCTGAATAAAACATGTAAATACGGCAGTTCCACGGTACTTGTGTTTCTACACCGGGTAATGTTCATAATTAACTCATTAGCTGATTACAGTCCTGGGCCAGTAACCCTAATTACAGCGGTGTAATGTACCAGCGCTGTTCCACTGGACATTTATAAGGTAAAAGGACAAATAACACGTACCTAGTGGTAGTTCTTCTCTACTAGAGAATATTCAGTAAAATATATTGAAATGTAGAAAAATGTGTTATTAGTAAAATGAGTAAAATGTGTTATTTGATCGCTGCTGAAATGTTGGTTGACCTCAGCGGTGTGTAAAATAGTAGGCTAATTCCAACTAGCGATAAAGATAAAATAGTTGTCACGACGGAAATTACGTTTTAAATGTTATTCGATGTTTTACCTCATATATAAAATAAGCCGACACCCGAGGTACAGAGCGGTACAGAACGGAACAGAGAGGTACAGAGCGCTTAGACAACATCTTTATAAATAGTTGGCATCCTTCAAAATGATTAAAAACAGTGCATGTGCTGTGTGCTGTTAGCAACATGTAGAAACGATATATAATATATAAGGACACGTTCATTTGAGTTTGAGGATATTGGTAAATATAAGTGACCCTATTAAAAGGTACAGTGTAGTTGACTTTGTCACACTATGAAATTACACAAACCCTTGATGGTTAGGATAATCGTCTCATCCTCTAGGCTAACTTTGTCACATAACGATATCTTAATCAGGTGATAAGATATCGCTTAAATACGGCCGGCACGGAAATGTGTGTGGCGGTTCCTCCGCCCTGCGGACCACATAAAGGCTAGCTTATATAACATCTTAACCGAAAGTAAGAGTACTTTCTTGACGAAAGTCAAATACAAGGAAATACTTTCGAGAAAACCATAGTATATAGCTAACTTTAGCAGGGTAGTGTTGGTTATGTGCCTAACCTGGTGAGCACAGTGGATATCCTTGCTGTACGGCTAGTTAAACAAGGAATTGAAACTGTGGGGCTCCGTGCAGACCAACCTACCTGTGGCTAAAGCTCTAATATACAAAACCAATACATGGTTACATTGTCACACTATAAACATGTGACAGAGTAAATATGGACCCCTTGCTGCCGTTTTTGACCAAAATTTTGAGTGTCCAGTTGATTGGATGGGTACATATGACCATTACCTACCGGGTGGGCCAAAAGTCAGTACCCATACGTTGGCCTTAATAGCTCCGCCGTCTTTTATATTTGACAGCTGTTGCTTTGCAGATGGCATACTGTACTTACTGGTTCGAGGATTCCGTCGTCAAAATTTGAAAATTCGAATATTTTAGACCACGCCCATTCAATATTAAAACACCTATATTGTTTTCTCTGAACATGCTGAACGCCTAATTTTTTCAGAGACGGTAGATTATCAAATGTTGCATATGATCTGAAAACATGAGGCAAAACGAATTAGAAATGACGAAGTTATCAAGCATTTTCTGTATCTCGTTAACAATATTGACTGGGTGATTATGTGACACCGTGACACGACACCTTAATTGGGCACCCTTACCAATTCCCATATTGTTTAACGGGGTAGTTAACGGGGGCACCTTATCACGTGATTAGGTAAACCAATCACCTGATCACACGTAATGAATAAACTCGTTATGCTTCATATCTCGGTCATCTGAGAAGCTACAGTTCTAATTCTTTCAGGACAAACGTAATTCGAATGGCCAAACACAATTCAATAACATTTAGCTTGATCTGACTATCCAAACTATCAAATAAATTTGAAAATGAACCTCCATTTGAAAAAAATGAACGCGAATATTTTTCGAGTTGACAAATTCCTCGAACCAGTGGTGGTACTAAGTCATACCAGAAAGAAGTATTTAAATTGGGCACTCAGTGACTGAGCTATAAAGGCCAACGTATGGGTACTGACTTTTGGCCCACCCTGTACATATTTGACGACTTTTTTCGTTAGATGGTGCACTCAGGTTTACTGTGTCACACATTTAAGAAAATATGTGAAGAATGTTTAGGGAACCCTGATAAGAAATGCTGAGTAGTGTAGGTTTATTTAATGGCCTGGAAGTGCTAGGAATTGTTATTATATCATATAGTCGCAAGGAATTAAAACACAGAAGGCACAAACAAGTTTACTTTGTCACATAATCTTGATGATATCTGAACATGTGTGAAATTGAACAAATAATGATATACCAGCTTAAACCCTTTGTATTACGTACTATGGATCAAACAACACTGCTAGTACCATGCACCAGTCACATAAATCATTATCGGGTGGTAATATGTTAACAGTGTCACAATTAAACTACCGCAACATGGTCAAAAATAGGGTAATTTCGTCACAAAAAAATTATTATAACTCTGTCAGCTCCTTGCTGGCAAAATAACTAGTTTATCGAAATTTGTTTGATGATAAAGTTACATAGTATTCTAATAGAGGTATAGTTCTTCAAAATAGGGGCAAGACATGTTTACTTTGTCACATCAGTTATTATAAGAGTTAGGTAATCGTCATCAGATTAACCGATCTTTTTCGTAGTATGGATCGATTAATATAGGCAATAAAGCATCCTAATTCCTATGCTAATTTTAACACACTATCTTGATATTGTTGGGGCAGGAAAAGTTAATTTTGTCACATTTTTAGTGACTTAGACAAATTTAACCTGAAATTGTTAAACTTAAACTCTGATGTTCTGGACAATATTCTACCAATCGTTTCTGAAAGAATGTTGAATTCTAATACAGTTATAGATAAATAGATCTTCAAAATAGGGGCAAGACATGTTTACTTTGTCACATCAGTTATTATTAGAGTTAGGTAATCGTCATCGCATTAACATATATTCTTTTGTAGTTTGGATTGATTTATTTAGGTAATAAAGCAGCCTATGCTAATTTTTACACACTATCTTGAAATTTTTGGGCAGGAAAAGTTAATTTTGTCACATTTTTAGTGACTTTGACAAATTTAACCTAAAATTGTTAAACTTGAGCTCTGATGTTCTGGACAATATTCTACCAATCGTTTCTGAAAGAATGTTGAATTCTAATAAAGTTATAGAATATATAGATTTTCAAAATAGGGGCAAGACATGTTTACTTTGTCACATCAGTTATTATAAGAGTTATTAAAGGAGACTATTTCATTATATAATCATTGTTTTTAACCTATTTGCGATTTCGTATAATTTTTTGTGACAATGTAAACATCAATTGATCTTAACTTGCATCAACTACATTGTCATCATGTAAAGTTTTCCCGCCTTTCAAACCAAAATCAGATATAAATAATTCGCCCAAAATGTTAAAAATTCCACATATATTGTGACAGAATTAACCTCATTTCCCAATAACCAAGTGCCTGTATTAGCTAACTTTTCAAAGCAACATATTTAAGGGCTATGATTGGTACTCCATACTTGGTAGATCAACCATCAAATAATGAGTAAAAAGGGTTTTGAGGACACATCACAGTAGAATAGAGGTATGGTATTCTGAGTGTGACAAAGTTACCTAAATATTGCCTTGTAACCGTTCAATCCGTGCCCTTTAACCAATGTTGTATCATAATTGTTAGATTGACCTAATCTACTATGTTTTAGGCCAAGGAATGGTAATTAGACAACTGCAGTTAATTAAGTCACACAAAATGTGACATTTGATACATTTTAGTGCCTAACAACAATAGATTTTCTTTCTGAGCAGTGCATATGGGAGTATGGGTTATGTGGCTAATGTTCAGAACTTCTGAACGTGCTAGGTTGATAGATGTCAAAATTAAGCCACTATCGTCAAAAACGCTATTATTTTTATTTACCAATATCCTCAAACTCAAATGAACGTGTCCATAACAATTCAAAAATATGTCGTGTATATTGTATAAGACAAATAGTATAATTTAAACGTTGGCAGGGTCCCATGAGTCCACATTAGCAGTACTGATTTACTCAGCTTGATTGGAACAGTCTTGAGAGTTGTCTCCTAGCGGTTAGCTCATCACTTTTCCTCTAGATTGGAAATAACTTTACTCGGATTTGTATAATTCTGTAGTACTCTCTAGTATACAGTCTAGTTACTGCTCTCTGGGTAACTAGACGATGCGAGGAATAAATCTAGATAAGCTAGATGAAGGTACGGGAGGAACTACGTCGATCACGTCCAAGGGCCAGTCAGCGGTACAATCTCGTTTGAAGTTTGTAAGTATCGATGAGTAGCAGTCAGGGTCCAGGGATGACCGGAGATTGGCCCTCGCCCCTCATGCGTAACAATAAATGTATAGCTAAAGATTAATATTAATGTGTAATGTGCATTGTGCAATGTGCAATGTGCAATTTGCAGTGTGCAGTGTGCAGTCTGCAATGTGCAGTGTGCAGTGTGCAATAAAAGAATACAGTATTGCTGTTCTGCGTGTAATAGAGCTATAAATATTAAATATCCAACTTAAATTGTAACAGAAGAAGAATGTATATAAACCTTGGGGGAAGGTGCTGGGTTCGACATTTTTTATTCAAATGTTGTGGTTTTAGGCGAAAATACATTGCCTATGAGTATCATTAGAACAACAAACATGCACATATATTAACAACATAGAAACATGCACATATATTAACAACATAGAAACATGCACAATGCACATATATTAACAACAACAAACATGCACATATATTAACAACATACAAACATACACCTTACATGCACTGCACTTACGCCTTCTTCCGTCTAAAACCATTGGCGTTATCTAAAGTAAACGGAAGAACATAATAAAGCATAGCAGTTAATTGTTAAATGATCAGAAACTTGAGCATCACGATAAAGTTATCAGACAGCATGAAAATCAGCAATATAAACAGCTACTATACATCATCGGTATTTGGTTATCATTATTTTCCTTTAAAAAGCAATGAGGAATAATTTATAGTGTGACAATGTTTACATTTCACTGCCGGCCGAATTTAAGCGATATCTTATCATCTGATAAGGATATCGTTATGTTTACCTAGAGGGTGATACGATTATCCTAACCATGCACATGGAGGGTTTAAATAATTTTATAGTGTGACAAGTTTTACCTCATCGTGCCATTTAATAGGGCCACTAATATTTACCAATATCCTCAAACTTCAATAAACGTGTTCATTGTCCAAATACCTATGAAGCTGATGGAATGTGAGGAGGAGTTAGTTTTCTGGTCTCTAGAAGATGAGGAGCTTGTCTTGTTGTGGTATTTGTCTTCAGCAGCTAGTCCTTTCTCTGCGTTCTTATTTGCGTGCTTGTTTAGACCTTATGGTAAAGGGGAAGTTAGAGGGTAAGATCTGTTAGTCAAACTGGATTTTATTAATATCAGAGCACAGGTTCATGAATGTTAAGCTTATATGGAAGACGTATATTATATTTCTTGAGCACCAGAGCAAAAGGAATTGAGTTGTTTACATGTTTAATGATGATGACAGTCCGAAATAAGAGGAAAATGACGGCAATAATTCGTGAAGTAAGTGAGCGCTAATTGCTTATCTAATAATTAATAAGGTCACCTTTAATTCCGTATTTCTTCTCCGCAGCTTTACTACCCACATCGACCGCTTGTTGGAAGGCTTTTCTTTTAGAGTTCCGTGTCAATTCTCTCAATACCTAAAGAAAAAGAAACAGATTTCAAACCTCGAAAGGATCAGTTGAGTATATACCTGTAGAAACTACGGTTGAAAAAGATGCCAGTCCATCATTCATGGCGGGCATAAACGAAGTTGACTAATTGACTAAGTATCATGAAAAATAACTATTTGTGCCGTGTGAGCAAGGTCCAGCCACATAAAATGGCCTATTAGGGTTAATGATTCCTTAACAGATGATACCCGCACAACATTTCTTAGAAATATTGAATAGGTAAACTTAGTGATGAGCAGCGCGGGGTTCAGTTGGCTATAAACCTACTAATGGTTCACATAAAGTATGTTAAAATGTGTAGAAAACTCACATCATGTAGTACATAACACTCGGGAGGAGGATCAACTCTCCCTGATAAGATGTCTTCAGCTCTAACACCGGCACCATAAGACCTGGGGATCAGTACTGAGTATACTCTGTGAAAACTTTGAAAGTCAAACTTTAATTTGAGATATTGTAGTTCTTAGCTGTGATCTCTTTTTTATCTTATTAATTCAAGACAAAATTTATTTCTGTCGTTGCTATGATATTGGCACGTTTTTTTACTCGAAATGAAATGAAACATAGCATTTCATCAACAATAAATATTAAATATGGACATAGAAATTTACAAAGCGGCTGGTCTAGTGAGAAAATGGTATGAAGTTGAAACTCCAAATTCACGCTTTTCATCACACGATTTCAGAGGTCTTAAAAATCGTTAAAACTTTCTCAACATTTACTGTAAAACAATAATTCGCCGTTATTAATTCTCATAAAATAACGTTCATTGGGGTCCTCCTTGACCTTCTTCTTCAAGTTGAGAACCATTGCATTGTGTTCAGCACGCTCCTCGGGCGACCTATCAGGTGAAATAAACACGGTTTTATACTGCTCCGTCAGTCTGAGATCCCTGGCTTTGACCAGTATTCGGTTAGTGGATCCAGTGCTTCCTAGCACCACTTTTACAGGCCTACCTTTATCAGTTGATTTGTCACCAACTCGAGCAGCTACAAAGCGTAGTTTTTCTTCCATGTGGTCAAACATATAACCTATTTTCTCTTTCAGTTTCTCTTCCGCATCTTCCTGCAGACCAAAAATGACGATATTTTGACTGCGATCTTCTTCAGCAAAGGTAACCATCTTTCTAAAGTTCTCTGTCGGAATTGTCATGACTGACTGTGATCGTGAAAGTTTGCGCCTCCGTTTAGACACAGCGCTATTGTTGAACTTACTTTCAGCCTTCACGGGGTTTACTTGTGCCACTTTTACTGTCATCTGAGTTGGCTCTTTATCCTTCAAGCTCAAAAGTTCCCCTTGCAGCTGAATAACCGATTTTTGAGATTTGATGAGTTCACTTTTCATGTTTTCAATCTCAATTCTCGCTGTTGGGAAAACATCACTGTAATTTTTAATACACTGAAAAACGTCAAACAGATGCTTCACCAATACTTCCTTGTTTGGCTCTTCAAACATCTCCATCGTAACATCACTATCATGATCACAATTTATTGTGTTCTTCATTTCCTTGACCAAATGACCAAAATCAACAGCAGCACAAGCGAACTTAGCTAGATCATATCCAGACCACATGGTGGAGTCTTCATTACCCATCATACAATGTGTGCAGTTACTTGAACAGCACCAAACACCCAACACAGCAGCCAAGTTTACAGCGGCAACACAACACAACAAGTAAAAGACAGCTCGATATCACCAAGCACACAACAACAACAGTGCAGGACCACCTCAAACCAACTACATTCACCAACCAACTTTTAAACGGGCAAATTTGCATAAAATTTCACTGAAGTTTGGCACATTAACTTGATTAAGGCATAAACGATGTTTTACACCAATCGTAACACCAAACAAATGGTGATTAACAGTTACAGAAGCTGGGAACTATGAGATCCCGCCTCTGATTTACAGACTAAACCTACTTCTCGTTCGCTTTCCGTCTCTCCAACACGAGGGTTGTCATGGTAACACGAGGGTTCCACCCAGGTTGATACCTAGGTACAGACCTTTAGCCTTAGCGTAGTTAGTTATGTGTTACCATGGTTACTAGGTATGTGTTACCATGGTTACTAGGTATTGTTACAGACTAAACCTACTTCTCGTTCGCTTTCCGTCTCTCCAACACGAGGGTTCCACCCAGGTTGATACCTAGGTACAGACCTTTAGCCTTAGCGTAGTTAGTTATGTGTTACCATGGTTACTAGGTATGTGTTACCATGGTTACTAGGTATTGTTACAGACTAAACCTACTTCTCGTTCGCTTTCCGTCTCTCCAACACGAGGGTTCCACCCAGGTTGATACCTAGGTACAGACCTTTAGCCTTAGCGTAGTTAGTTATGTGTTACCATGGTTACTAGGTATGTGTTACCATGGTTACTAGGTATTGTTACAGACTAAACCTACTTCTCGTTCGCTTTCCGTCTCTCCAACACGAGGGTTCCACCCAGGTTGATACCCAGGTACAGACCTTTAGCCTTAGCGTAGGTGTACATCGCCGCTGGAGCCCTCACCGTCATGTCTACTTCTAAATCCCTGTGTTAATTATGTGTTAATTATGAATTGTCACGTGATTAATTCACTGAATTAATTATGAATTATCTCTGAATTATTATGGTTATCATGCTGATTGATCATGATTATCGTATGGTAGTTACTAATACGGCCGATATTTGTGGAAACTTGGCACATGTCCAAAAAAGGGCAGGGGTCTCCACCACCTACTATGTAAAGTCTAAAGTCAATGGAAACGTTGTTTGACTTTCGTAAACTCAGCAACGACCGTAATGGAAATTTTCGGTGGGCAGGGACCGGGAACAAGATTGTCTGATTTGAGCCGTAATAACCGTAATAACCGTAATAACCGCAATAACCGTAATAACCGTAATAACCGTAATAACCGTAATAACCGTAATAACCGTAATAACCGTAATAACCGTTATAAACAGGATTTCAAGTTTGAAATTTGCTGGGAGGGAGTGGCCGATTCTGACCGGAACTGAAAATGTTAATTACAACTGTTCATTTTTAATCGTATACAAGTCCACATATTGTACATCTAATTTTACTTTATGTGTCACTGAAAATTTGATACAATTATACACAGTATTGTTTTCAACTTGAATAATAAGGTAAGAGTGAGACATGTGTCACAGCAAATCACATATTTTGATGCCATAAATATCATGTAGCTATATCGTACTAGAAACACATTCAACAAAGGGTTTCCGATAGAAAATTACACATAATATAATTAACCTGCCTAGAGGCACATAATATAATTTACCTGCCTAGAGGCACATAATACAATTTACCTGCCTAGAGGCCCCACTGCAACTGAAATGTTTCCACCAAGCATGACATTTTTTCCTTTCATGAACGCTTTGACGGCGTTAGATGTCATGAGCATCATTATAATCGCTGTCATCTGAGGAGGAGGATTTAACATTTGGATGGTTACTGCAACTGATTGGGAATCGATTTTTGGTAAAATACTACAATGGAGTAGATAAGACAGGAGATAAGACAGTTACAGGAGATAAGACAAGAAATAAGAGAAGAGACATATTTGGGTATATCATTAATAACGTTTAATAAAATATATTTTGGAGATTTGACCCTGGGGATTACAGGGGATATACTCCCCATTTTTGGATGAGACAGAGTTTTATCTTTATATTATGAAGGTAAGCCTAAACTACACATAACAGTTCAATATCTATTTAACTTTGGATTATTTGTTGCCAAAAATGAACAAAATCGCCTATATCCCAGTTCGGGACATTCACGAAACTAATTTCGTTCAAAATTACTGACACGTTTCAACAAATGAGGTTCCCCTCCCCACTCTCACCTCAATGCCGAAGTCGAACCCACCACTAATTCCTACAATACCCACTGCGGAGGGGGCGGACCAACCTGGAATATCAACAATGTTAATATATTCATTTCAGTTAGTTGAAATTTAAATAACCAGAATTATGAGGAACATACAAATTATAAGGTACTTGGACAAATATTAGGATGGCAAACTTGTGATATCCTGAAGATCAAAGTTAAAACGATGCTTCCAATCAAAGTATGATTTTGAAATCTGTGATTCAGCATCAGATCAGCTAAATAAGTTGCTCACCAAACTTACCACCAGAGGGTGTCTTAGCAACCACTATCCCTGATCCACCACGAGCAGAGATAAAGCAGCCCAACCCACAGTAGCTTATCATGGCTACTCCTTTAGCTTTGGCAAATATGGCCGCCGGGATCGATTTATCAGGTCCTGAAAAGAGGATTCGTCAGTTTATCATGATGGTAAATTTATCACGATGGTACATTTACCATAATGATGGTACATTTAACGTAATCAATATTTTAGCAATTTTTACCCTCCTCCCCTCCGTAATCAACCGTAATCAAGTTATTCAAGACCCAACACAACCCTCTCCCCCCAACCCCCCCGTCATTGTTATGATATCCGGCCAAGCACCTTCTAAACTACTAAATATTACAGCCGGATATTCGATCAATTTCTAAATTTTATCACTACCAAAGTAAAATTGAGTGGAGTTTGAATTAAAATATTGTCAAATTGTTATTATTTTAGAGGGTAAAAAGAAAATTTTGATTACGTAATCAACGACCAAACCCCCCCCCCCCCCCCCCCCCCCGTAATCAACCGTAAGCATTTAGAACCCCCCCTCGGCTGATTACGTAATATGTGAACGACCCCTAATCTGAAATCTAATTGTGAGTGTAGCACATGATCACATAATGCTGGGCTCTTTGAGTGTTATATTACAAACATCGCGTGACTCTGCTACTCTCGACTGTGTGAGATCATCATTCTGTGTTGTTCCTTTCTCTGTGCTTTGTTGTAGCATTGGATCTTAAATTTAACTTACTTTTTCATTTTCGGTCGCCGAACGTGAGGTGCGATCTGTGCCAGTTTTTGATAATTGCTGCCTAATTATATTGTCCGATTTTCTTAATATAACCAAATAGTCGCTCCCTACTTTTGTACTATCAAGACGTAATATACATTATACAAATTATTGAAACGTATATTACTCCCACTTCTAGTTATGGAAGAAACAATTCTCCTAATGCTGAAGGATGAAGATCCCCTAAATGTTTCGAAGCAGTTACTTGTTGCTGATAGCGAAACGTTTCGCTATCTAATAGAGGAGATGCATCAAGTGGAACTTGAATTTGATGATTTCTTGGCGGAAAATGTAACGTTGTTTATCACTCTGTTGGATGATAGGGAGCTGGGCAATGTACATAACGGAAACTTCATGGAACTCAATAAACTTGCGGAAGTATTTGTAATAAATTGGATGAAGGAGGAGTGCAAGCAGTGGTTAAAGAAGAAGGTGGAATGTGCAAGGACGGATGAAGAGAAACAGTTTGTGTTTGAAGAATGTATTTACACTCTCAGGAAATGGGATAATAAAACTTTGATGAACGTTTTATTGTCAGAATTAACGCATCAAGACAACTCGTCTTTTGTGTTGGAATATATGACGGGTTTAGATGAACAGGACACCGTTCAAATAGACAATATGATAGTTCTCGGAGGGAGCAATACTGAGCCGTTCCTCCGTACTATTCTGGTGAACTTGGAAGGAAAGGTGAAACTGGACGAGAATTTGAAGTATCTCTTCCAGCAGATGAATCTAGCCCTGAGTTTTGAACAAAACAAGGAACTTTATCTTGAAATCTGTGAAAAAATGCTAGCCCTACCAGACATATCGGTAGATGATTTGAAGTTAATGTTCCGTCTCTCAACAGAAACAATTTCATTAGTCAGTTCCCGTAGTGAAGAAAGAAGGCTGAGAACTACTGAGGTGATTGATGGGAAGAAATATAAAGACTTAGTGATCAGTTGTAAAAAGATAACAGATATCACAGACACAGTTCTGGGTAACAAGGTGACGTCTGTGTTTGTAGTTGTTGAACTGCTGCTTTGGGTTTACTACTACAAAACACCCAGTACAGAGGAGACACGAGTATTCCTGACAACACTAGAGGAATGTTGTAAGGAGAAAAAAATGCAGAAAGTTTCGAAAGGATTTTTGGGAATAGTAATTAATGCTTTAAACTATTCTCCAAAATTACAAAAGGTTGAACTTATCGCAATTTTGAATGAGATAACGAACAATGATAATCTCTCAACCCACCATGAGAACATACTCATTAAATGTAATAAGGAAATCAACGTGTCACCAATAACAGGACAAAGATTAGTCAGTACTGTGAAACATGCCATGACAGGAGATACGAGTTTACCAGTAGGTACTGTATTCAAGTCTCTCTTTACATTCCGACATCCCAGCACAGTGGAGTGCAGTGTACACTGTACAGAAGCTGGTAAATGTGGTTTTATATTAAGATACAGTAAACTAGACGAGGATAGTGGTATAGAAGAACTATCTACTAACAGTAAAGACTATGAGGGTACAGGACTACATCTACACGATGTCGTGTCTAGTAGTGACATGTACAGGTATAGTATATGCTCAGGTAACACAGCTCCTGATAACATTGTTCAAGTAGCAGGACGGTGGGGGTGGGAGTGGTGGTTACCAGATGTAACTAACTGGGTGTTTAAACAGCTCTGTGTTAAGTATGACATATCTGATTACGTTGTTACTAAAAGATAACAAGTTCGATTTTAAAAGAGAATTAGTATATTAGCTATTAGCAAGATGTACAATTCAGCTTGATTACGTAATATCAGAGTATCAGTTATCAATATTTATTTAGTTTCTTTTATAGTTCATGTTTAGTAGTTTAGTTCAAATACTTGAAAATTGCACGTAATTTTCTTGTATTTTACTCTTGTACAGAACATTTTGAATGCACAATATTTGGTATCCGTGCCAATAATTATGCTATTTTAGTTGCATGATTCAAAATATTCAATGATGTCAAGACAGTATTGTGACATATTTTCACTATTTTCAGTTTCGTGAATAATACTAGCATATTTAATACTGTGGACAAATTAACACATATTATGTGTATGAATGACATTTATTGTGTTACTGTTAAAATGTTATAATTATTGATTATCTCAGATCATATAAAATAAGTCGAATTCTGATATTATCAAAAAAGACAATAAGGTTCGTATTCCTATGTATCAATTATAAAATCTTCGAGAATTGGCAGATTTGGTTTTCTGAACTTATTTTATCGCGATGTTTCTTCAAGTGGTTTATGAGGTTGCTATCTATTTTGTGCCCGATAAAGTCAGCAAGCAGGTTAGCATGTCTTCAATAATATCCCTAGTAATCTTTCTTAATACGGGAGAATTGAATTATTAGCACCTGGAGTTACGTTCTTAGAATAACGACCATTACATTAATTATTAGTGTTAATGTTATCTTTCAAATAAGGGACTAAATGAACAATCGATACAAAAACTAGCAATCGCTTCATTTTGAATCCTTTTAAATGTATCTTTATCATAATATTGTAATGATAATGTACAAAAACAAGATTTTCATTGCACTCAAATAATGTAGACACTTTTTGAGACTGTCTTAAATTTTTCCCGATCCATGACTCTTGTGCCGTTACTTTGATATTAATAATTAAGTACAATTGATACTTTGACAATATACACATAATATATACATATCATACTATGTTATATGTTCTATATTATTACATTAAATATAATTATATATTATGGTCTCAAGTCCAGACGCCATCATTTCATTTTCATTACAATAACCCTGTGTAGTTATTGAGTATTGACTACTGATTAAATACATATGTATATATTTATATATCAAATATAATTATATACATAACATTAAATAAAATTGTATTGCTGTGTTGCGTTGACAAACCTTTGCTTGAATCAGCAGTGTATTCTTTCAGTAGATAAGCAGATTTGTGGATCTCCTCCTTCATGGACTGGGGCACCCCGAGGAAATGCATTTCCTGTTAAAATAGGGGTCTTAAACATGATACCATGCGAGTGAATAGATTAATGAGCCACCAGAGGGGGGGGGGGGGAGACGTTAACACGAGCTGGGGGAGGACCTTAATACGAGCTGGGGGGGGGGGGGGGGGGCGGACTTTAATACGAGCTGGGGTGGACTTTAATACGAGCTGGGGGGGGGGGACGTTAACACGAGCTGGGGGGCACGTTAATGCGAGCCGGGGGGGGGGACGGACTTTAATACGAGCTGGGGCGGACTTTAATACGAGCTGGGGGGGGGGGAGACGTTTACACGAGCTGGGGGGAACGTTAATACGAGCTGGGGGGGACGGACTTTAATACGAGCTGGGGCGGACTTTAATACGAGCTGGGGGGGGGGGACGTTAAAACGAGCTAGGGAAGGACCTTAACAAGAGCTGGGGCGGACTTTAATACAAGCTGGGGGGGGGGGGGGGGAGGGGGACGTTTACAAGAGCTGGGGGGGGGGGGGGAGTTAATACGAGCTGGTCCAGTAATATTTCGAAAATGAGTAGCACCCGACCGGACCCGGGGGGGGGGGGGGGGGACGTTAACACGAGCTGGGGGGAACGTTAATGCGAGCCGGGGGGACGGACTTTAATACGAGCTGGGGCGGACTTTAATACGAGCTGGGGGGGGGGGGGGGGGGGGGAGACGTTTACACGAGCTGGGGGGAACGTTAATACGAGCTGGGGGGGGGGGACGGACTTTAATAAGAGCTGGGGCGGACTTTAATACGAGCTGGGGGGGGGGGGCGTTAACACGAGCTAGGGGAGGACCTTAACAAGAGCTGGGGCGGACTTTAATACAAGCTGGGGGGGGGGGGGGGACGTTTACACGAGCTGGGGGGGGGGGGGGGGGGGGGGAGTTAATACGAGCTGGTCCAGTAATATTTCGAAAATGAGTAGCACCCGACCGGACCTGTCAAGTTAGAGTCAGCCGGGAGACACTGTTATAATTTGATACAAGTTGAGAAAAAAGTAATTAATAGTAGAAGCTGTTACGGGGATTTTCTGCTCGATACACCAGAGTCATCAGACATGTCTCAAAAGACGTATTTTTGGCCCCTGAATCGATTGGGGATAGTGGGAAGTGTTAAAAATGGGGTTAACCCGGTTTTATTTTGAAAAAACCGATTTTTTGCCCCAAAAATGGCCATTTTTTGAGGTTTTTTAGAAATTTCGACAGGTTAATTCAATAGAAAAGCTTGCATATTTTGGTTTCTTGTACATTTTCATTTGCCGCACTAGCTAATATCAATATAATAAGCACGCACAAGAGTTAACCCGGTCAAAATAAAAAACCTCCAAAAAAATGTTTTTTTGCGCGCTAAATTTTTTCGGCTCTTTATACATCCACAATGAAATATTTTTGCCCACAAAGTGTTTTAATACTGTTCAATAATACTATTGATAGTTTTTCAGCGTCAAAACAAGTTTTGAAAGCGGAAGAAAAAATTATATTTTTCGTGGTGCTGAGCACTTTGAAAATTGTTGAATAAAATCGAGCGCTACCGTAAAATTTTAGTAACCCTTCCCTGAAACTCATTTAAGTTTTTGTACCGTTAGTGTTTTGTCCTTTTCTGAAGTTCATGCCTTCTCTGGCTTAATTTCATTTAATATTGTTTAATACAGTACAGTAAAGTGTTTTATAATAGTAGAGTGCCATTTCTAATACTTCAATGTTACATTGTTGAGATACCTTTACTTGGCAGATTACCTTTTGTAAATACAATTTCACCAATTTAGTATTGCATTGCTTATATGACTATTTGGATTTATAATTTATCGATTGTGGGTATGAATAAACTTTTGGTTCACAATCAACAATATAATGTCTACTGTGTGGTACCCTTACAAGATAAATTATAGATCTTTTGACAGGAATGCCTGACTTAAACCCCCTCATCCATCACTCATTCCGTGTTACCTGTTGGATGTGGAGGAACCCTACCACAAACTGAAATATTGTAAAGGTACCCTTCAGTACATAAATAGAGCACTGTAAATAATATAGATTAGTTACTGCTATCTTCTCAATGCAATTTTGAATACATGTCAGGAACACCTGACTTAAACCCCCTCATCCATCACTCATTCAGTGTTGCCTGTTGGATATGGAGGAAATCTACACCACAAAGTGGAATATTGTAAAGGCACTCTTTAGTACACATAAAATAGAGCACGGTAAATAATATAGATTAGTTGCTGCTATCTTCTTAACATGATTTTGAATTTATAAATAGTAGTAGAGTAAATGTCAGGAATGCCTGACTTAAACCCCCTCATCCATCACTAATTTCGAATAAATGTATAGATGCTGCATTGAATTCATGAAGATATCATTCGTTTTGAGCAATCATTCCCTTAGCTCCCCCGTTCTTTGATTGTTTCAAAGAAGTAGTCAAACTACAATATATGTATTGTTTAGTTACATCTATTGCCAAGTTATTTAAGCCATTTCATCTCTAGTAGATTCAAATAATTTCTGTAATTCTGAATTATGTTGCTGAACAAACTTGACAATCACCATTAGAAAGAAGGTGACATGTTTATGGACCCAGAACTAGCTAAGACAGTTCTCTGTGTACATGCGGATCACTTCAAGAATCTTCTTGATGAAAGAAGCTTGTGTGGTTTGTTAAAAGACTTCGATCTGCTCACAGCCATGCAGATTAAGAAGAATTTAGATCGACATTATTTTGATAACAATGAAAACTCAAATGGTTTGATTTTTAGCTAAATTACCATAATTTTTATAATTAATTAAATACAGGCTGACAATGTTTCATTTCGCAAACTGTATCTGAATAATGTAATTTTAACTGAATCTTAAGCTGTTCAAACAGCTTTTTTAGATGATGTTATCGATGCTGTATAAGTTGAAACCTTTTGATGATGAGAGGTACATGAACAAACCTACACTAAACAATACTACATTCCAGCTTGGAACGAAATGAGTGGAGTTGAACGACGCCCTGTTTATCGAAACTACATCAATCAACTTTTCAACTATGCAGGTTATTAATGAAATGAAATGAAATACTACTACTTTGTCGGAACTAAGTCTGATCTACGCCAGATAACCCCCTCCATATATCCCTGTCCCGCATCAGGGTTCACAGTTCCTCTTTTGAGTTTGTCCCAATTTCCTTCAGTAACATAGACAAGTAGCTTTGTCTTGGTCGGCCTTGCTGTGCTCTACCATGCATAGGTTTCCATAAGACTAAATCACTGGCAAGTAGCTCAGGATGTCTGATGCAGTGTCCCGCCATTTTTAGTCTCCTGCTTCGTAACTTGTTTGACAGCCTTGGTAGACTACCATACAAAGTTATATTGCTGACCTTGTCCTTCCATGAGATACCCACTACCCAGCACCATGCGTAGCATCTTTGTGTATGTCCCGTCCAATACAAATGAAATAAATTATTTTTATCCCGCTTATATCAACAATCAAAATTAAAAACTTATGGACGTATATCACTCATTATTATGTATCACTCTCTAACATCTTGTCCTCACTACAAATATTACCACTTCTGATATAATAATGTTTTTTTTTGTGTCTTCTTTGGCTCAGGCATGGCTCCAGCTCAAAATCTTTGGGTGGGTGCAGCTTGGCGCACGGCGGGGGGGGGGGGGGGGGGGGGGGTGAAGCCCCCTGGGAAATTTTGGAATTTTACTCTCCTAAACGTATTTTAATATCTCCAAAACAGTCTCAATTGATTACAGAAGTCAATTGACCCTTAGTTTATACAAAATTTGACAATTTTTGTGTGAACATTTTCAAATCGTTTGGGTTGGTGCAACATCCTTTGGGTGGGTGCGCACCCACCCGAACCTACACGGTGGAGCCATGCCTGCTTTGGCTATCTGTTTCATTTCCAAGATCAACCGCTGATGGATAGCTCGATCTTCAGGTGATCGATCTGGAGAGATGATAACAGTCTTATGATCTTCACACAGTCTCAGCTTTTTGGCATTTACTAATATCTGATGAACGGTAAGTTAGAATTACCTAGCGAAACTTTGACTGGTCTCGTCTTGTTGGCTGATTTTCTTCCAACCCAGATAGCTTCAAAACGTGGTTTTTCTTCAATCTGCTGAAAAATCACGGTAACTTTATTGCACAGTTCCTCTTCATCAGTCTCCTTCAAACCAAAGATGAGCACATTCCTACTGCGATCCTCTTCCGATACAGCATTCTGTACAACCTTTTTAAAACTCTCTTCTGCAAGCACAGGTGCATTTTTAGTCACAGCTTGACTGTATGACTTCATCTCAGCTTGGACAGTGTCTTGAACGGCGGTCTTGACGGTGGAGTGCACGGATTCCAACTGCTTCGATTTAGTTTCCAGAAGTTCAGCCTGCAGCTTGATAACAGTACTTTGCGATCGGATAAGATCGCTCTTCAACTCCTCCATATCTTTCTTGTTATCCAGAAACGTACTTACATGATTATCGGTAGTCTGATACGCAGAATACAAATTACAAATGTTTTACTGAAACTGACTTCACTGGCTTTTTGAACGTTTCAACTGAAAACTCAGATTTATTGTCACTAACAGTTCGTAGCTTCCGCGAGTTCAGTGATCCAACCGTTATAGACCTCATACTCTTCAGTAATGTAGGTAGAATAAACTGACAATCTTTGAAGAGTATCCATTTCCTCCATCGTTTACTTGTACTTGTATAAAGTAAAAACACAGTACCAGCAAAATGGCAGTTGTAATGTAGCGATAAAATAGAGATAAGAGCTAGATTATCAACACGTAACAAAAACTGTAAAACTGTATCATAAGGTTTACAAGGTTTACAAGGTTTACAAGGTTTACAAGGTTTACAAGGTTTACAAGATTTACAAATATAGATCTATATATTACAGTATAATAACGTTAGATCGGCGTTGCTAAAATAAATCCAAATTCCGTAATCCAAATGGGAGAGAAAACCATTACCAAAATGTCGTGGTGTCACTCTAAAGCCAGAGGCGAGTGCAAATCGATCAAGATAGAAGCTACCAAAAAGAGCGAGAAAAGCACGCAAACCCTAGCAGAAAAACAACATCAAAGTGAAATGTGAAAAATGAAGATGCTTGATGTGTGATTGTGTAGTCGACGATGTGATTGTGTTGGAGTGGAGTGCAAATGTAGAGTGCAGATGAAGGTGATGCGGTGGAAAGGTGATGTCTCGTACTGTGATACTAGTGTTTGTGTTTCTTCTTCACAGGAAATCGTGTTCTGCATAGCTGAGCGACGAACTTGGTGAATTCCACTATGTGTTCCGGGAGAAAGAGGCTCTTCATGTCATGAAATAGCAAGGACTTTGTGGGCTCCTTCATGTTAGTCCTACTGGAATGGTACCTGGGACATGTTCTAAGGAAGTGTTCTTCATCTTCTATGATCGGGTCGACACCTGGAAGGTTAAGGAGGAGCTCCATCACGGGCTTCTCGCTGCAGAATTCACAGATTCTATAATGACGACTACCAGTTCGTCTCCCATATCTTCCTGTTTCTACGTTAAGCTTATGTCCACTCATTCGGATCCTAGCCACGAAGTAATATTATTATGCTGTTAACATCATCTGTTGTGATATACATGACAAAGGGTTGGAAATGTACAGTAACCTTACTATATTGCAATTACACAATATTATGTGAACGACCCCTAACCCCTTATAGGCTCTATAAGTATTGAATAATGATAACTGCAGGGTTTCAAAATGTACAAGGCATCATATCAAAGATTGCATATGCCCGAAAGAAGGACAAATCCAATTTGGCTCTCTGGATGTATGGAAAGTTCTCAACCTTCCAGAAAAGGACTGTTCAAAGGAACACTTAAATCCCTCCGACAGGTAATTATTATAAATAATAATTTAGTCTACACTTCATTATGTCAAATCACCTACTATAATGAAGAACTAACATTGTTGTGTTAACCAAGTTTAATGTGACTCAATTTTGGTGGAACTTTAGAATTTGGACGTTATATCTATCATGTTCATCTTAAATCTCATATTATATACTCAATATTCAATTAAACAGACAAAGATAACCTCTCTAGGCCCTCTGGTGGTGACGTATAAAAGTATAAGTGCTTTCTCAGTACTTTCTCTCGCTTTTGGACAAATCCAGTGAGTTAACTTTTTATCAGTGGTCGACCGGGGGCAGGATTCTGACCGGGGCCGGGGCTGACCACTGAGAATTGGCCGGGGCCGGGGTTTACCCCCGGCGAATTGCCAATTTTTGGCCGGGGCACCGGGCGACCACTGCTTTTTATGTCACGATTTTTAAAACTTTATTCATAAGTTTATGAAACATCAAAACTTTGCATGCTCTGCATTATGTAAAGTCAGTCATGCACTAGAGCACAGTTCACATATAACCTAATCCAGCCTAGGGGAGGGGGTTTGAAATCGCTTGTGCTAGAGTGATTTATACTCAATAGCTATGTGAAAAGTGGCTCAAGGAGGGGAGACCGACGTAAACAATTTTGAATTGGTAGAAGTTAAGTTTAGGCTTTAATGAAAAACTATTTAAAGAATATCATTCTTTTACCACAGACATAAGACTTTGCCGTAGGGTATACAAAAATGTGACCATTCATCAATTTTCAGAGTGCTGTATCTGTACCCGAATAGAAATAAAGGATTTTAATGAAACAGTTTTCTTCCGCTCTGAAAGTGAACGAATGACAAAACAGTCTAGAGAATTCCTCGCCCTGCTGCAGAAGATCAATCCTGGGTTGTGCTCACCAAAGCAAACCTCTTTTTTGTGTATTCAGTGTCTTAACTATGTAAAAGACAACTATAACAGGGTGAGTGGTTTCTTCCTGTTTTACTAACATTTAAAAACATTATTATTCAAAGGTAAATAGACAGCGAGTAGTAATTTTTAATCCATTTCTATCGGATTTGCAAACTTTTAAAATGACACTTGTACGATCTCAAACTTATGTGATATGATACTGTTGATATAAATGTGGGAAGTAATAAAGTATTTGCAGGTGTACAGTGCTGTTTCTGAAATTGACGAATCCTCTTGTGATGAAGATTGAAGAAGCTATTGCCATCCAAGTGGAAAAAGTCCCGCCTTTGTCACCCTCCTCGAATAGAACTAAGAAAATGTAGAGACTTTCTTCATTTAGTTCCCAATCAAGTGGACCAGATGTTGATTTGTTTGAAATGGGCTGAGACTTGTGTTTCATATGCCAGGTTGAACAGGTTTGTGTGGAACTTTTGCTCACAAATATAATTATTATACATATTATCTCGATTTAATTTTAAGAGTATGAGAGGTTATTCTTCTTTAACAATACGAATTTCCCTAGACGTTAGAAACGAAAAAGAATAGTCTGATTCAAGGAAAAGATAAAAGTTTCTTCGTCGATTTCGCAACTTACTATCTGTGGACATCTACAGAAATCGTCAGGATCTGTGCAACATCGATGTTAATCCTGATTCGCACATGATGAACAAGTGCCCTGTTCTTAACCCTGAGAGTCTCGGAAAATATCTCTATAGCAAGCTAGGTAGATATCACAAAACATGTCGTTTGAGGTACAGCAACTCGAGGGTGAAACAATTGAAGGGTAAATTATCTGAAGCTGTAAGTTTAAAACCTGTCTCTAAGGCAGGTTTTAAAATGGAAAGACACGTGTCCACGCACGACAACACCAATGCTGCATTAATGAGTGCAGGTATTGACGCTGTACGGACCTTTTAACTGGAGCAGGAGAATGTTTTACCAGAACTGTACCTCGTGTCTGACCCGAAGCTTAAGTACAATGACTATGTGACGTCTAATTTATCTGAGAACGCTGCAAACTCCAGCAATGTTTAATCTGATCACATCAGTTTTCAGAAAGACAATGTCGGTAAGACGAGTTTGTTTCTACAGCAGGATCGTATCTAATCTTGCCGCAACAGTATATGCGGATAGAGATGATAACACTTTAACAAAGACAGCACTCATAAAGGAGATTAGAAAAGAAATCTTTCAATGTAGAAACGAATTCTATCAGCTATGTTCGATTTACTGATCGGTGGCATCTGTAGAAATATAGTGTTTATGTGGATTAATCTGTTAAAGCAGGGCTATTGTATCATTTTAACATTAACTTTGCATAGTGATGATACTTTTATTGTGTCTCTTGTGATTATCTATTTCTACAGTGTTACGGTACCACGAGGTTTCTGGCGCAGTGACGCGCTTTTGAGCAAATATCGTGCTAGATACGTCACGCGCCGCAACCGAATCAGATTTAAGTGCACTTTTTTCATTGTAAACACTACATACGACGCGCAACACGTTCTACGAGGTCGAAATTTTCGAGGTCTCTAACACCGGAGTGGAGCAATATTTAGACGATCTGACACTTTCTAGGGCTTAAGCAACCTAAGAGAAATTAGGGGAACAACTCAGAAAAAATTTTTAGTCGATATTCCGGTGTCTGTAGATGTCCGAAGTTTTGGCAGTAAAGTGCTCACAACACAGCTTCTGAAGCCTCTAGAATGTTCCCGATACCGTCAGAGTGTTCAGTACACTCCATTCTATCATATAAGAACCCTAAAAGAAGTCCCAGGGCTCGAGCAGAAAAGCGTGATATTTGCCCGTAACAGCCTCTACTATAACAAGAATTGCGCCGGTTAGCGGACGCTAGATTTCCATCGACCGTAATTAATTACAATTAACGATTGTTTCATATTGGTTAAATTACCAAATTTCTTTGGGGCGTTACAGAGAACAAAATGGAATGGTTGCTGTTGTCAATTATTTGAATCGAAATTTAAACGACCGGACACCGTAGCGCAGCCTGTGCGGTGATATGCATGATGCAGTTAAAAGGACATCTGTCCGACAGCGACTCTTGTCCAAATCAATATGTTACCAGAAAAAAAGACATCTGTCCGAAATTTTGATCTAATTGCAATACGACACATTTCCATTTTCCAATTGGAGACATGATCTGAACTGAGATATGACCTGAGCTGAACTCTACCATAGTTTATTTTCATTTGATGTCAAAAATTGGACAATAGTTTAAATTTTATATAAATAACTCTCCATACCGCTCTCCTGTGTGTAATGTAGGCTGTGATGTGATTGGCACTTGGCACTTTGGCAGCTTGTTAGTGTATACGGCTAGCATGATCCTGTCCTCAAATAGTCAATCACGTATCGATGGATCAGATCTCAATTATGGATCAAATCAGCATTATATTAGGACTGTGGGAGCAACGTCACAAGATTACCCGTGAGCTTGTGAAATACGAACGTGATCCGAAATTACAAATGTGATCCGAAAGTTGGACAGATGTCGCCAAAAACGACTCCCATCTGACAGCGACTCTTGTCCGAAACCGGTAATTCGACTGTCGGACAGATGTCGCCCAATCAAATCTGTGGTAGGTAATACAATGTGAATCATAATAAAATGTATCGTTCATTTCGTATAATGAATCAATCTATTCGCGATCATGTTCAACATAACATCATAATTTATACAACAACATAACGGATTACTAATATCGCGATGATCGCGATCGGGAGCCAAGTCTGTGGTAGCACCAAGCACCCAAAACATAATAAGAAGTTTGTATCGTATGAAGTAAACAAAAGCTTAAACAACATTATCAATACGCAGTAAAATGTATAACAGTGGAAAGAAGTACATTACAAGCGCGACGCAAATAATTGCTCGATCGATTTGTGGTATAATAAAGAGTACACGACCTTGACATAAAAGCATTGTAAAATGCGCGCGCGCGACTATCACGTGATAATTTGTGAAGGAGCACGTGTTTGCGGAGGGTTATGCATGTTTTGCTTTGTGACACCACGAAAAAACCTAAACCCACTATACCCATTCTCAAATCCTACCACTTCTAACCATCTATTGCCTTTTTAAGGCGATGGAAAAAATTAAATAGATACTATTTAAGTAATAAAACTATAATATTCAACCTTTGTTCGACTTCACTGTTTCTTATTCTCCGAGAGCTTGGTTTACATTGGAAGCGATATTTGGATCCTCACTTTGTTTCCATGTCAGAGCTGGGAGTTTGAGCGTCCGGGTTAAACCGTCCCATTGCTAACTAATAAGTAAAATAGATTAAATTATGTCTGTCACCAAAATATTATCTTTCAAAGAAGATTTTATCGGTATCGTTGATATGGTGGCATATAATATTGTCACGTGACAATAGAGTATCATATAATTAAAATATTGCGTATGTTAAATTTAAATCGGAACAAATTGACTCTAAAAGATTGTCAATAGCAAAATATGTAACGAGTAAAAAGGAAACTAGTTTTCATTTGATTTAATAGGTGATTTAATTTTGAAATACATAATTGAGATTAATAATTTAGAAGGTTAAAATATACTGTGGTAAAAACATCAAAATATTCAAATTACCGTAAAAAAGTATTCTGAGAAACTTTTTCAAAAACTAAAAAATATTCATTTAATAACGTTAATAGATTTAGTACATTATTAAAAAGTCCTAATCCTATAAATGATATTTTAAAAACTAAAAAACGGGACCACATCTGTTGAGATTCGTCGTAAAAAGATATTACGCCATCTATATTTATATAGGGTTGGTTACATTAACTTTAACTATAAAAATAAATGCTAATACCATGCTTTGGTTAACATGAACTGGTAATTTATGATGCGAATACAAACAATTTACATACTTAAATTTGGCCTTCTGCGACAAACCAGAATTTCCATAATAACAATTAATAATTTGCAGCCATTTTAGCTCAAACACATTCTTTTCTATAGCTAGCCTCATGGTATTCAGAGAGCATTAATGTAATGTACTCCGAGCTGCTCTCAAATCTAAACGCCATTATTTCATTTTAATTACAATAACCCTGTCTAGTTATTCACTACAGATAATGTTGGAACCTAATGTTGTAAAATTACAATATTGAATGCCCTGTTTTAATTATGCTTATTTCCAGCTCAACTAGTCCCAGTCCGTAGTCATCCTGCCCGCCTAATTGTAAAACCTTCTATAAGGGTAATTCTAGAAGGTTGCATCTTGAATTGTCAGGAAACTCGGCGTAATACATTATCCTTGTATAGAGTGTTCACAAACATTGGTACGGTCTGTAGATTAATTTATGAAAGAGTAACCAGCTTTATTTACCTCTTACTTTCTTTGTAAATCGGTTACAATTTTGTTACGAGCAACAACCTGTCCAGATTAAAATATTTTACATAGCTCTCGAAATTTCGTATATTTTGCTGCAAGGCTCTTCAAATATGCTATTGTCAAATCCTACTTTGAGAATTATCCCTACCCATTTCTGACCAAAATGTTCCTTTAACTTACCCAAAAGCATAGTTTTCGGTTGCTCTACTTGTGGCTGATGGTCTCTTGAGTTCATACATACATTTTAATCAAAATTTGACAAAGCAAACTTATGAGCCCAAACTTTATGACCATTACTATGGGTTATAACTTATACCCCTTCCAATCGTACCAGTACAGTTATGTTAAATATTGTGTCTGTCATCGCGGTTTTTACAGGTGGTCACTCTTCCTGGCGCCAGGGTCTGCGTGTTTCTGCTCGCATACCAATGAGATTTTAGTAACACCAACGATCTTAATTTTCAAGACGGCTAGTTAAGGTTCTGTTATAACATATTGTTCTGGGCCTCACCGAACAATGTCCATGCTAAAATTATTCATCTTTTCAATTAAATTGGTTATAGTTAGATAGTTTTCAAGTGTTAGATGTTCCAACAACTCGACACTAGGAACTGCAGAACTTAATAATACAGTTGTACGCACTACGCACCTTCTTCGTTATCGTCATCTGCTCGAGAACTAAAACTTGCAGCTTTTACGTCGCCTCAGACTGTACTCCACCTGAAAGGGTTGATTAATCAGGCCACGCTCTTCTAAATCAGTTGTCATCAGAAAAGTATTTATATATATATATATATAAGGTTCGCATGTTGAAGCAATTCAATTAATCAATTTTTACGGTGCATTAAAACTTTAAATGAAGCTTTGTTCGGAAGCCACATGTACTAACCTTGTTGAGAATAGCCGGGTAAAGCTTGTTAATCTTGTTCTTACCCCACCGAACTTGTACCGTTTCCCTCAGAGGGGGCGCTTTGTCTCTCTCCAATTTTGGTATTCTCTCTGGGTCGACCCACTGGTGCCCTCCTGCATACTTGGAGGTTTGCCAAGTTATCAGGCATCTTGAGATTATTCGGGAGGGTCTTTTAGGTCGGGTACTAGGAGAGGTGACAGGCGACTCCATTTTTTCGTCTTCAGGGTTGGAAATGTTCATTCGTTCGGTTGATCGCCTGATCTTGTCAACATCCCCGTCAGTATCATTAGCGTGGTCGTCACGGTAACTAGCATCATTAGCGTGGTCGTCACGGTAACTAGCTCTTGCATCATGCAACACAATCCTTGCTGATAGAGGAATAATTTCTCTGTTCCTCATTTTTACTGGGAGGTTTTCCTTCTCGTGTCTTAGTTCAGGATCTATGTTCTCTTTGTTCTCGTCATCATAGTCCATCTCACTTGGAGGGTCACTGGGTGGTGGGTCACGTGATTCTCCAGTGGAAGGGAGGGTTTCAGTGGTTATTAGGTCGATGTTTGGCTCTTCCTCGGATTTTTCCTCTTTTTTGAAACTGAAAGATAATTTTTTAGTTTATAGCCTTTTGCAATTGGGGTTTCTTGTAGGACATGAATAACGTTTTTTTCTTTGCAATAACACCTGAATTATGTTTGCTTCAATAACATTTTAAGAGTTTTAAGTTGTTTTAAGGGTTTGAGCCATAACAAATTGTCTGTGTTTTTTGCAGCTGAAAAAGATCATGCATTGAGATTAAGTCTAACTTCTTAGATTTTTTAGAGATACTGACTTGTAACGTAACAATTAAGGGAACCTGTATCGATAGATTCAAACAACTGTAATATTGTTTAAAGTTTAAACAAATTATGATCACCGACTTTAGATAAACAAATCAAAAGGTTGTGCTCCATTGATATTAACATCGTTCTTTCATTCATAAAGTCCTGTCATCTTTATCATTGTATTTTGTTATTATCGTATTTTGTTATTATTATATTCTGTTATAATCAGATTTTGTTATCACTATTATTATATTTGTTTTAGTTGGTCACATGGTCAACGCAGAAATTTAATAGTAATTGCCTGTGGAAACATTGGCTATATAAAAAGCCAATAGTAGGACTCTAGGATAAATGGCTATGTGTCGACAACCTCTGGCTAAATTGAACTTGAAGGAAGAGGGCTGTTGAAAGCCAAAATTGCATCAAGACAAAGTTATGGTAACATTTCTTGTCTTTACTAATACCGATTAATTCACACCTAAATTATCGCCTATTGGAAAATGCCCAAAACAAGTTCGGGTTGTCAACAGGATGTTAATGATGTTTAAATTGTGTTTCTGTCTCTACTTCAGGCATTCGATACACCAGGTCAGTATTTATTTCTAAAAAGTGTTGCTCATTTTTTGATAACCAACATTCAGTATTGCATTTTTGTCAAAACAGAAGTTATTTTTAAATAACCGTTTAAAAACGGTTGCTAGCTCATAATGTGTAGCTAGATATTAACGATCCAATAAAAATATCTTATAATTTCATGCCTGTTTTTCTGAAAAACTAGATCCAGCTTCACAGCCGTGCTCGTTTGATGTTTTATCGTGTCCGTAAATATAATATACCGCCGAATCGTTATTATTACTGGGATTACTACTCAAGAATTATCAACATTTTAAACCGTATCACCAGTAATAGCAAATACGACTCACCTGGCAAGATAATCCTTGACGCTGTTGAACCCCCGTTCACGCGCAAAAGGATGCAATACACCAGTGGGGGCCTTGCCTTTCTTAGACAAGCACACTGAACAGTTACAGTATCCTTTACAAGGTGGACACACCCACGTCTGAAATAGATAATTATGAAACTAAGTTAATAAAATAAAAATTCAATTTTTCGGCCAGTCAGATATATCATTAATAATAATATCATCATTAATAATAATATCATTAAATATAATATTCCTATTTTAATAAAAATTAGTTAGAGTCTATAACTTATTAAACAACAAATTATGGTTCAGTACCCTTTACAGGGAGTACATGACCACGTCTGAAATAGATAATATAAATCATAAACGGAGAATATGTTTCATTTGTTGTATAATTTATTGTATTATATAGTAGAAGGCAGTGAATTTATTGTATTATATAGTAGAGGCAAGAGATTTTTATAATCTCAGGAAATAGTGATCGTGTAACTTATTATAACCTCTCCTATTTCAATGACCATAGTACACCCTTTACGAGGTGCCATTATTAAGTACAGTAATCTGTTCTGGGTGATTCCAGTTTAAACAGATGAGGTGCAACAAAAAACTATGGATCTAGACCAGTAAAGGTCGATAAAAAACTACCAGGTTCGAGGGGCCAGCTACCCTTCAACCTTAAAATAGCTACTGAAACATCAATGAATAACCAAAAGTGGAGTGACTCTCGGAGTTCAAGGCGGGGTGTAGCCAGGATGAAGTGCTCTGGGCAAAGCCGCAAGGACCCCAGTGTGTAGGTGAACCTAGAAGGAGCGAGGGAGATGGCTAGTGACCGCAAACTTTGGAGGGAGATGATAGTCACAAACGGGAGTTCATTGGTGCAGGCCACTCGAATGATTGAGGAGACCTAATCAAGTACAAGTAAGTATATAGTAGAAGGCAGTGAAACTAACGTGCTGAGATATATATCATATCACATAAATTATATTGCTATTGTTCGATTAAATCCGATATTTATTGTATGATAATTTTCGATTGTTCAATCGATGAGAGATTACGAATACTCAATTTACTAGTGTCATGAGACTCACAACTCAAAATTATTCATTGAATGAATGAAGTAGCAGAATCGTCATAATAAAATAATACCTTGGCTTAGTATTATTTTATTATTAACACCTCCGGCTTAGAATAATCAGCCGGGCGGGCGGGATGGATTCTGATAATCCCGGCTCTCGCTGTTAGTTTTTTCCCACTTAATAAATAACCCCGGCACAGTTTCTGTAATCCCGCCCCGCTTGGCTCGTAGTTAGAGTCTGATACCATTACAATTTTAAGAATAATACCCTCACAAGCAAATTGTCAATCGTGCACGGATGCCACATATTTATGGAATATTTCAGCTTATGGCGGATATGTAAATATTTTGCACTTTATTTCGAGTTAGTATTATCATTTTTATGCGTAATAGTTTTGTGCATTTGCATTGTTAGGCGCCAGTAATAATCTGGTTTTCGTTCCTAAAGTAGGAAACGAAAACCAGATTAATACTTTCAACACTACTATATAACAAATAATTTGAGTTTAGGGGATGTGCTAAGTAACACCCCGTATGGGGAGTATGTACTGATAACCTCTCATCTCTGGGGCGAGACATGATGTACCTGCTCAGTGGGTCTGGGAGTTGGATGGAATGCATCCGGCACTTCTTGCGAAGTGTCGGCCCAAACCTTTGGGACTAGGTAAGAGTGTGTCTGTCTGTATTGAGCCCTAATGGTAGTCTTTCGGATGTTGTTATTATTGAAATTGTTTTCCAAATGACTCAATTACATCGTGAGTCTTCTTAATTGCAATGATTTATTTAAAACTAAACTTTTCAATATCTCATTACCATTCCTTTTCTGCCGTTTATTCTCGTTTCAGATAGGCACATCATGCCGCTGTGTGTACCGTCTGACCCCTTGGGCTGCTGTGCTTGTGCTGACTGTCGACCCCTGGAGATGTTCTCCTTCTACAATGGAACTTGATAAACTGAAAGACCTTATAGTTCCCCAACTGGGAAATCTCGCTAACGAAGAACTTAGAAAAGTGCAGAATACATTGGAGAACCTTCTCCAATATACCAACACGCTACTTGATTCTGCACCCTCTCCAGTACCCAAAATACAGGAATCATCGAGTCCATCATCCTCTTCCCCACCTTCTCCATCTCCGCTGCTCCTTCACTATAATCTTCGACATGACCCCCTTAGTGAGCCTCTGGTTGAGGAAGTCCTTGAACACGTCAAGAAGATCAATTACAGCAGGTCTGGAACAAACTTAAGCCCAGATACCTTCCTGTACGGCAGCCAACGATACGCATACAATCGAAGATCTGCTGCCCTCTCACCAGTCTCTATCCAACCCAACACCATCATGGATAAACTGCTGAAGACTGTTAACTTAACACTAGGAACAGAGTATAACTCTATGTTAGTTAACAAGTACAGCTCATATGTGTGTTGCCTTCCTCCCCACAAGGATGATGAATCAGGCCTCGATCCAGGTGCACCAATATCAACACTCTCGATTGGTGCAACTCGGAAAATGAACATTTCCCTTGACAAAAAGAAATCCGTCAAGTACCTTACTCTTACTCCCGGGAGCATATTCACGATGTTGCCTGGTTTCCAGCAATCTTTTTACCATGAAATACTTGCTGGAGACAAAGATGTACAGAAAGAAAGGGGAGTCCGTTACAGTGTCACCTTCCGACGTCTGCTCCCACCTAAAGAAGCCCCTCCTATCCATTCTCCTCCCCCATCCTCCTCCCCTCCTCCCCCACAACCTTCTGCAGAACCGAATACCTTCCCTGCAACCAGCACCTCCAAAGATGCCACATACCCTGACACCTTTGTGTTTGGCAGCTCCCTCCTCAAGAGCTTGAAAACTGAAACACTTTCCAGGCGTGGAAAAATTTTTAAAGTTATCTCCCGGTCTGGAGCACACGCTTGTGACATTTATAACGAAGTTGAAAAGTGTGCCAAGCAATTTAATACATCTAATGTTTCCACTGTGTTCCTTCAAGTCGGGGGAAATGATGTTGAAAATTTGATTGTAGACTCTGACATAAAACGCATATTTGAAGACATTAATGACCTTATAATCCTAACAAAACAGGTATTTCCTGCAGCTAAGATTAATTTCTTTTCACTTGTCCCTAGGAAGGCAAGTTATCTTACACATATTAGAAATATGCATAAGTTTAATGATCTATTAAGTGAGATGTGTAAGAAAGAAAGTATAAGATTTGTTGACTTTTTCTCTTTTTTCCTAAAGAAGACACCTACTATGTGGCTTTTAGATTTTAATATGTTTAACAGGGATGGTATCCATCTTAATCCTGTTGGAACCAGTGTGTTAGCCAAAGTTCTTATTGGCGTTGCTAACCAACCTAGGTAGTCACCTTGTAACATGTTCAACTTATAGAATTCAGAGAACTCTTTCATTTTTAACGAACATTATAGCTTAACAATGCTCTCATAATTTGTTCCCATATTTATTAATTGACAATATTTTAATTCATTAACTTCTTGCTTCTTTAACAGAGTATAATCAGTACATATTTTCCAGTCTCCACCTAACTTTGAGTTTTAAACTAATTTATGGGAGTCACGTTTTTACAACACAGAACAGTGATTGGTCTATACTCTCCCAAAGTCAAATGCAATGCTAAATTAAATATAGATTCAATTACCACTATAGAGAAAAGTGCTATTTTAAAGATGATTTATGGAGTAGTGATTGTTGTATATGTGTATATGATCTGTCTGTTATTGGCGGGGGCCATTGAAACAGCAAGTGAATACTCAGACCAAACATTTCGTATGCATCGCTCGTACAAGATCGGACTACACCTGACCAATGACTGGGACTGCCTTATGAACAGTGCAAATCTTGTAGTCCTAATGATCATCTATTCAAAGAAACAAAATGGAATAGCCCTATGGATAGTGAAGTATGGTTGTCCCAGACGTTACTCCTCCGCTAAGTGTAGTGGACATCAGTTCCTAAGTAACATGTTCACCATCTGGACGACCATTCTGAACTTAGTTTTGCTTGTTATCTGCAATACAAGCATACTTAACCCAGGTCCAGTTGATAACAATAACCTCAGTCATCTAAAGGTAATGTACCAAAATTTGAGAGGGCTTGTCCCCTTTAGTGGCCTAGCATCTAAAAACATGCCGCTTGATGCTGGTAAACTACTAGAGCTCCAATCTAAGATCTATGAAGACAAGCCTGATGTTATTGTTCTGACTGAGACTTGGCTTTCAAAAGAGCACCTGGAAAATGAGATCCTCCCTGATAGCATCTACAAGATATATCGGAAGGATAGATCCAAAAGATCCCACCCCCCGGATCCTGATAACCCAAATAAGTTTCGAAGGAAGGGGGGTGGAGTCCTTATTGCAGTCAAGACTGGCATCAGTATTGAAAATGACAAGATTGATGTCAGCTCTAGGGCTGAAATGATCTCAGTCAGCCTAAAATCAAACAACACATGCTACTGCATAACTGCCTGCTATAGAGTTGGCACCCTTGGTGAAAATAATTTTAATGAAATTGAGAAACACCTCAGAAATGTGGTAGGACGGAGAAAGTTTAAGGCCCACTTTGTAGTTGGGGACTTCAATCTACCTGAAGTTAACTGGTTAGACGGTGTGTCCCCCACACTTCTTGGTGGCCGTTTTATAGATCTGTTTAATGACCTAGGCTTAACACAAATGATAAACCAACCCACTCATGATAAAGGGAAGGTCCTCGATCTTCTCTTCTGTAATATGATAAGTGTTGTTGAAAATTTGGCGGTCCTGGGGAAAAATGAGATATGCTCCTCAGATCACTTTGGAATAACTTTTAGTGCTAAAATGAAGTTTAGAAAGAAGGTCACCAAACGAAAAATCTTAAATTACAAAAAAGCAGACTGGATCGGCCTGAACAATGATCTGAAATCAGTTAGATGGGATGATCACCTTAACTGTGATGCAGAAACAGGATGGTTCCGTTTTAAGAAAATCCTGTTCCATCACATACAGAACCGAATCCCAACTATTACGATATCAGATAAGGATCAGCCACCCTGGTTTGACTCTGACACTTATCAGCTGTGTCTCAAAAAAGAAAAACTACGAGTCAAATCTAAAAGATCATGCCTAGCTGAGGACTATGAAAAGTTCTCACAATGTAGAAAAGATTTTCAAAATTTGGTCGACCAAAAAATGATATCAAATCTGAATGATGATGATGATCCAGCTCTTATATCAAAGAAATTCTGGAAACATGTCAAATCGACATCAAAATCTACTCGCATACCAGGAACAGTAAACTATAACGGCAGATTTAGAAACAATCACTTAGACCAAGCTGAAATGTTCAATGAATATTTTGCTGCACAGTTTTCCGAAGCGAGTAATTATGATGTTGATATTGATTATAGTAATGACTCAGTAAACGACATTGAGTTCAGTACCAGCAGAATCCGAAAAATTCTAAAAGATGTCAATGTTAATAAAGCTGCTGGTCCAGATGGTATCCATGGCAAAATTTTAAAGAACTGTAGAGATAGTATTGCATACCCACTCTCGAGCCTTTTTAAAATCTCTTATAATATAGGTCAGATACCATCTGAATGGAAATTTGCTAACGTAGTACCTGTGCATAAGAAAGGCCCCAAAACGTTAGTTGAAAATTATCGGCCAATCTCTCTCACAAGCCTTACAATGAAAATTTTTGAAAAAATAGTGAGAGATGAACTGTTGGCAAAATGCCAGCATAAAATACATGACAACCAGCATGGTTTTCTTCCTCAGAGGTCTTGTACTACACAAATGGTCGGGTATATAGACTGTCTTTCACTGTCTATTAACGATAATATCAGAACTGATGTGGTATACTTTGACTTTGCCAAGGCCTTTGACTCAGTTAACCATGATGTCATCCTAAAGAAATTAAAATCGGAATTTGAAATTGATGGTACACTGTTGAAGTTTATTATGAACTATCTCAAAGACCGCAAACAGTGTGTTATTATTGGGGGATCCCAATCAGAACAAAAGAATGTCCAATCAGGAGTTCCCCAAGGCTCCATTTTAGGACCTCTGTTTTTTGTACTCTTTATTAATGACATGTCAGAATGCGTAAGTGAAGGTACAAAAATTGCCCTGTACGCTGATGACACCAAAATATGGCGTAAAATTGTGGGCTGGAGGGACCATGAGATCCTACAAGCAGATATAGATGCCCTGCATTGCTGGGCAGTAAGAAACAAAATGAAGTTTCACCCCAATAAATGTAAGGTACTCTCTATATCAAGCAAATTGAGCGAAAAAGGAATTTTGAGTTTTTTCCCCTTTCAGCTCTTTGTCTACACCCTAGATGGAACGGCACTAGACTTCGTCCAGAGTGAAAAAGACCTTGGGGTCTTTGTTAGAACAGACCTTAAGTGGGAGGAGAACATAGTCAACCTTTGTACGAAAGCTAGTTCTCGTCTAGGTCTAATGAAAAGAACTCTACGGTTTATTAACGACCGTAAACAAAAACGGGCATTCTATCTAGCGCTGGTTAGGAGCCTTTTCGAAAATTGCAGTGTTGTCTGGAGACCAACAAGTGTTGTCTTGAATAACAAAGTTGAAAACATTCAGCGCAGAGCAGTTATGTGGATCCTTGGCGAACAGGATCATCACTATAATGACTTAGAATACTTGGCTCGATTAAGAGAGCTAGACATGTTGCCAATGGAGCTGAAGTTTGAATACACAGACTTACTATTATTCCATCAGATATACAATGGTCAATCTGTTCTGAAGCTCCCACCTTATTTAACCCCGATAACAACCAGTGAACAGGGTAGGTTGCGTTCAAACATAAGGCAACCCTCGAGATATAATGAAGTTGATACATCTCAAATGCCTGATATCAACCAGAGGCGACAGAACAGACACGACCACCTTTCCCTGAAGTGTACTGTGGAAGCAAAAGCTCACTCCTTTAAGAGAAGCTTCTTCTTCAGAACACACAGTGTCTGGAATGACCTACCAACTGACCTTAAAGAGATAAGTGATGCCGGAACTTTTAAGGCAAACCTGGCAAAACACTTTTGGGACAAATTGACAGACCCTGACTAAGTTAATGAGTGCAAATGATATTTATATGTGGGCCCCCGCCACTGATAGATCGGTCACGATACTGAATATAACAACTATAATATAAAAATAAATCTATTAAATAATATTAAATAACATTTACGTTCTGTCACCATGATTTGACCCTGGTGCAGTCCTCAGTTAATATACTTAACTGGATTACGCGAACTTTATATCCGACTGTAATCTTGCTTCTAAGCGCTGTGTGATGTTACGCGCGCAATTTTTGGCGCATTATGGGTCAGGTCATGGATACATTATGTATTTATTTTGATAATTCTAAATTTGCGTGTTTTAGATACATTTTGTGTATTTAGATGGAGGTGGTGTTAGTGAGTCTGGGAGTAGAACTATTACTTGTAATACATATACCCCCAGAACTTGTACCACTTAACCATGCTTTTAGTATTTATACAATATGGACTACAACTTTTACCCTACAAATGCCTCATGATAATAATGTCGTATATTTTTAATTCTCTTTGCTGTATTGTATAATGTACTATTTGTAAAAGTTTCAAATCAAATCGTATGAATTCTCAGCATTACTATTCGTTAGGGAACATAATTAAGTTAAATAACTTATTTGATGCTCAACCCAAATAAAATAATAAACACTAAGCTCCTATCAACCTATTACTGGACCAACGTGATCGTTGAAGCTGAAATGTTTTTATCTTTTTTATCTTGAGTAGTGACTATTGAGAAATGTTAACAACCAGTAACCATATCGTAAACAAAATCTAACAGGCACTAAGTCGACTAAACTATTTCCTCCTCCCTGGCCTCTTGACGCGATATTTCCCTCTTGTTTCTTCTTTACAACCTACTTTGTCTAACGAAGGTGTTTTATGTGTCATGTGAGTAACAACTCATCAATTAGTTCAAATGCTGCTTTAAGTTTAAGATTTATTATTCTGTCGTACCAGTTGCGAACTCGTGTAGTTCACTTACTTGTTACCATGGTTACACTACTAGTTACCATAGTCACTTATTTGTTACTTGTGGCCACTCCACAAAACTAACTCGTATTTACTTTTAACCAATTAGTCGGAGAAAAGTATAAAAAGTAGTTAAAAAGTTTAAGAAGAAAGATTACGTAAAACGGCTTCAATTCTCGTAAAAGTACAGAGAGTTATTTATGCTGGTATGTAATGAATGTCCTTTACGGGCTCAAGACTTACGCCGTAGAGTCCGGACCAACTTGGCACGCTGGCAACAGTCTACCAATGCGAGCTCTTTGCGATCCACATGGCAAGTATCTGGATCAATGATAACATAGGGTTACCAGCTACCATTAACTTTTTCTCAGATTCCCAGGCCTCGCTTAAAGCGCTTACCAGCACTAGCATTAGCTCCAGAATAGTACTGGACATCGTAGACCAACTTAATATATTAGGTACCTCCCACCGAGTAGAACTTAGGTGGGTCCCAGGACACGAAGGAGTACACGGTAACGAAATTGCCGACGAACTCGCAAGAGGGGGATCCAGCAGTATCCCCATAGGACCTGAACCATTCCTCCCACTACCTGAAGGAATCATCAACAACACAATCGATGAGTACCTATTCAAACTACACCTCAACGCATACCAACAGGTCGACCTCAGTGATAAAGGGAAAATCCCTCTTGGACTATTCCTTAACAAATACAAATACAGGAATATTAATATCACAGGAACTCACCTCAGATGGCTTACATGGCTACTATCAGGGCACAGCCCACTAGCTTACTTTCAGACTACGGCCAACAACGTCAACTTTGAGACACAAGACTGCGAACACTGCCCAGGGGAAGCAGAAACATCACAACATTTCCTCTGCGAATGTGTACAGCTGATGACTATCAGACTGAGGATATTTGGTAAACCTCTACTCATAACTCACAATGGAGGAAATTATCAACAGCAAACTCAACCACATCATAAAGTTTGTGGAACAGTCAAAAAGACTAGACAAGGAAGATCTTTTTGGGTAAACTACCAGGATTTAACACCAGGAAATAACACAATTTCAGGAAAACAACATCAGGAAATAACCCACTCCCAGGAAAACTAATAATAGCACCAATTCCAGGAGATGACCTGGCTTGGAAGTCCCTTGTCTGCCCACCGAAGTACCACAACCGAAGTGGGTTTGCTCTGAGACAGGTAGCGACAGCTTCAAGACTCCAGAGGTCTGTTGCATTGATATTTATTATTCTATGATTTCGTATATACTTTGGGAGTCCTGGAATGCAGCTAGCAGGAGTTGCATTCTGTGGGCACGGCGAGAAGGCCTCCATCTTTATAGTAAGAGACCAGAAACCGTTGACCAAAACAGAGAGAGAGTCCGGACCACCCACCCATCCCCCCCTCCCCCCCCCCCTCCCCCCCCCCCCCCCCCCCCCCCCCTTACGTTGTTTTTTAAGACCCTAGCTAGACGGTACGTAACGCGGTAGTAACCAGCGTACAGTGACCATTCTTTACGCTGCAGTTACTACGTTATCATATATGTGTAACTATCTCTACTATAATTCAAAGAATTATTTCTGTAGGATGTACGACCGCCCACGTGCAAATTAGACGAGAAATAGGTAGTTGCAAAGTAACCATGGTAACGAGGATTGTTACACGCACATGCACGTGCAATGATTGTTTTAACGTCATTTTGATCAGTTTTGTTGAGATTACGCCGTGTTTAGTACGAGCAACATTTTAATGCTGTATCTTCGGTTGTGACGGATATTTTTTGACGCGATTCAAACTCACCAACAAAAAATACTATCAGCTTCCTCCCTGTGACCACGGGTTTTCTAGTATATATATATTATAGTCAGAGAATTCTCTTTGTACGACCGCCCACGTGCAAATCAGACGAAAAATATGAACTTGCGTAGTTGGTAGTAACCATGGTAACGAAGGTTATTACGTGCACGTGCAATGATTGTTTTAACGTCATTTTGATCGGTTTTGTTGATATTACGCTGTGTTTAGTAAAAACAATATTTTAATTGGCTGTATCTTCGGTTTTGTAGGATATTTTTTGACGAGATTTAAACTTACTAATAAAAAAATACTATTAGCTTCCTAATAGTATTTTTTTGTATTATGTTTATAAACATGTAATGTATTTGCAGAGGAAAGTTAGATGTCATATAATTATATATTCCGCATTAACTAGCTTGTTAGTCTAGTAATTAGATTAGCTATAAATACTGAGCAGAGCTTGCTTTTAGATCAACCCTTCCGATCTTTCCGAACTTTTGAGATCAGACGATCTCGAAAGTTCCTCCCAGCTCCCCAGACCTCGCCAGACTTCTGTACTCATATACATAATATTATTAGTTAACTTGTGTCAATACTTTACAATTACCATACTGCACGTAATAAAACAAATAAACCCTGTTCATGAGATAATATCACGTGATCGAATCACGTGTTTTGATAACAAAGCTAGAGACTAAGGTATATATGGAGCACACTGCTTTTCATGTGTTTTATAGACTGACCATGATCATTGCATGAGTAATTCCTTTACACAAATTGTACTACTAGTCTTCTATATTATAATTCAAACGATTCTTTTTGTATGTACGACCGCCCACGTGCAAATTATGTAAACAAATAGAAGTTGCATAGTAACCACTAACCGAGGGTTATTACACGCACGTGCACGTGCAAAGATTGTTAGAACGGCATTTTGATCGGTTTTGTGGTAATTACGTTGTGTTCAGTGCTAGCTACATTATAATCGGCTGTATCTTTGGTTGTACTGACGGATATTTTTTGATGCGAAAAAAACTGACTACCAAAGAAATAGAATACTATTAGCTTCCTCCCTCTGACCAAAGGTTTTCTAGTATTACTATATTATTATATAGTCTGAGAGTTGGTATCTCAACTATAATAAATGTCTGAAATTAAGTAAGAGACTTGTAGTGGACAGAGCAATTTTATTTAAGCAACATTTTCAGAGGACTATCTTTCGTAATACATGTTACTTAATTAAGACATCTTTACTCGAAAAGTTTTCCGTCGTCCGATCAATTAAACGAAAGTATTATCACAGAGTTATTGACGTGGTTTGTCGTCATTTTGTTGACTCAATCGTGAATTACTGATTATGCAACGTGTCATAATAACATTTTGTAACAAGTTTAAAACGTATGTTTTTCTAAATCGCACAAATATTATCTACATATTACATATTTTACTTCAACAATTCTTTGTGTAGCACGTATTTTCTTTCTAGAATGTCGAAATTTCTTATTTTACCTAACAAGTAGTAGTACCAAATAAAAGGGAAGATAAGGATTATTATTTTGATAATCTGTTCTTTTAAAATCTGAAGAGCATTATATCAAGTGTACCGAATTACATTTTACATGCTTGTTGTCATAACAAATAATACGATATTAGTAAAAGAAGTTATTGGTGTTATAAAATTAACCTCGCCTCGCGATCACAAGGGTGGAGAGAGGGTACATACCTAGCCAGATAATTGGTGATGACGTCACGTGGTATGATGATGTCACGTGGTGTGATGACGCGATCACAAGGATGGAGGGTACATAGTACATACCTTGCCAGATAATTGGTGATCTAAAAGCTAAAGAATTTCCCTATTCCCTAGGATTAATCTAACGTCTCCAAATTTGTAATTCAAATGCTAAAGAATTTCGAGAGTTTCAAAATATTTTAGCGACATTCGTAATTATTAATACTTTACACATTCAAATTCCAGGCAAGAGAAAGAAATACCTGCGTGCAATGCATTCTCATGCTGCAGTATTTGTTAACAATAGTTCACAATATGTCGGCATGACATGTTTCGACGGTCATGCCGAATAATAGAGCCTCAGATGTTAAGCCGTCCAGTGTAATTCTCACGATTTCCCGATTTTAGTTTGTCTTAGTAGTCATCCACGTAATCATCAAATTTCATGCCCAAAAAAAGTAAAAGTAGGATATCAATAGTGACTTAATTAACCATGTTCCAATGTACCTATTGAGAATTGATGCGAGGAATTTATATAATTTATGCAGTGAAAACTAAAAACCCCAATTTACAAGACTGGATTTAAATTATCGTCCATTTATCAGTCTCAATTCCTTTATTAAGCATACCTCGCTCCAATCTCTATCTACAGTACTATTAGCTTTGGAATGATATGCCATTATGCCTAGCACATGTTCTGCTGTAACAGAAGCTTAATAACGTCTAACATGAGTAACTCGGGGGGGGGGGGGGGGGGGGGGGATGGGCAAATTATACCCACTATTTAGTAGGGGTTTCCCAAAATTGAAATTTGAGGTAAAATGAGTTTTTTGGGGGTTTTTTGGGTTGGAAACCCCCTATAGTACAATGTAGTTAACTGTTTTTCTGGGAAATGAGCAGCAGACCCACCACTTAGTACAAAAGTACTAACTGCGTTTTGGAAGAAAATATGACCCACCCACCCAACGTCACGCACGATTCTGACCCCCCCCCCCCCCCTCCCGATTAACTTAGTATTATACAATAGCCGCACCTAGTCTGTATTTTTTTACCGACTGTGTTAAAACAGATGTCAAGAGTCCTCTCATACACTATTTTTAAATTAAAGTTAAAAACTCAACGCATCAGTACTCACTACTTGCAAGTCATTCAATTAATTATAAATTTCGTTTCCTTTGTTTTTCTTAAGCTTAGTAACCTTCGGCGCCAGTCTTACAGTCGGATGAACTCATTTTGTCATTTATTTCAACCCTTAAAGTCAACCCTTCAAGGGATTAATAGTCCTTTATTACAAGATGTATCAGTTAAATGTTTAACAATTAATTTAACTTAATATTAACACTTAACAGGAAACAATGTAACAGAGTCAACATATTTTAATGCTTCCATGGGGTGGCAAGTCCCCACTCCCCATACATCGTAGTCCGTTAGTTTCACTGCATCCTAATATGTAAAACTTGGAGTTGGACACGTTTTCTTATTTCAAAATGTTTCTTTTGAACATGTTTCTCACCTTATCAGAGATAGCGGTTTAGTTATTTCAACATGTTTCTGTTGAACATGTTTCAGTTCTCACCTTATCAGCTATAGCAGTTTCCGCGTCCTCCCCGTACCTATTGAGGAGACAAACCCCACAGAACTGACCCCGTACCCCCACACAGTTCTTGTTGTTGCAGCGCGTCTTACCGTCCAGCGTCTTCTGCCTACACTGGTGACATGTTGTACCCTGGCAATGGTTTGTTATTTCTCATGGGTATATCCCTAATATTACCTGAAACCGAATATATTTGGGAAATTTATTGGTCATCAGCCTCAAGATTGGCCTGGACGAAAACAAGGCTTCATTATACTACTTAGAATTCTTTTTAAGCCGATGTTTTCCTGAGCTGATTTTTGTCAACAGTTTTACTTTAAGTCTTCTTACTGTATTTTTATGCATAATTCAGTACACCATCAGTGAACATTCCTAGACCATCCAAATACTTCTTAATAAATAAGACTGGTCGGTGTCCAGCACGTTCTCTTGAAGAGCCCTCTAAAAATAGTTTATATTTCCTGTATCAAAGAACTAAGCGAGTCTGAGCCATAGCCCGGATGGAGTTACCTACTGAGTCTTTGAAAGTAAAGAAAAACTCGGAGTCGGCTCGCAAGACAATTTGAAACCTGCCGAATGTGATTTGGTACTAAGTACCAAATCACACGTCCTTAAGGCCCCGTGACACCCTGGACATTGCGCTTTGGCGCAAAAAAGATGCCTGCTTAAGCTCAAAAGATGCATTTCTACGCTGAAATTTCTTAAAAAACCCGAGTCGTGAACGTGCATCTCTCGATTCTTTACTCGCATCTTTTGGAGTTAGTCTTAACGCCAAAAGATGCGCTTTACACCGAAAGCTAGAATCGTAATTCGTGTCGTTAACTCGAAAAGATGCGGTTTAAGAAATATTTTGAAAATTTTGTAACGCGTCGCTAAATCGCATCTTTTGGATTTAAGCTTAACGCCAAAAGATGCGGTTTTAGAAATATTTTGAAAATTTCACAACGCCTCGCTAAAACGCATCTTTTTGAGTTAAGCTTAACGCTAAAAGATGCGATTTGGCGTTACGAAATTAAATATTCATATTGAAATCTTTAAAACTCCCCACTAAAAAGTGAAAACTGAAATCTTACCTGACAACACAGATTATAATAGTACCATTTTAACTCTCGTGCAAGTTTACTCCTCTACTGCACTGATTTTTATTGAACTTCCAATGTTCCAAGAACTGTCCGGAAGATAAATCAGTCAAAAGCAAATGCCTAAATAGCTAAATTACAAATCTCATCCACGCCCCCGAATGAATTGTAGCAACATATAGTCGGGAGTTTTCCATATCAGCACAGTAGTGTACACAACCTTTGTATTTACCCAATTGTATTTGTACACTGTACAGACAGTTCTAATCAAATGCAGAAGAGTTGTTCCCACTTCCCAATTACAATCATGACAAACCCGAAATTGAGGATTGTATGCGGTACTAATTTCTGCCATATAAGCACGGTTCATGTCTTGCAAAAATATAGTCATCAAAATTTAGATTTGTGTAACACAGGAGTGGCGTGCAGCCTAGAGCGCTTGCCTTGCCAGCCAGGCGGGATGATCGCAGGTTCGATACCCCGTACAGTCAATGTTAATTTTTTTGCACAGATCACTCTGAGCAAAATCATTTTTCATGATAAATATATCATAAACAAAACTGACATGGGCTTTGCTAGGTAACTCGAGCAGCGGTAATGTGCCGATGAATTTTAGCAAGCTAGTGAATAAGTAGATAATGTATTAAAGATACAAATATAGTCTGATAGTAGTAAAAATTCTTATTTTCTTATTCGTACATTAAGAAAGTTCTAAGTCTAGGAAGTAAGGAGGAAGAACAGAAAGTGTAAAACGCTATATCTAATTTTAACAGGAGGTGACCGGGACATGATTTTAGGCCTGACCGGGACCGGGATACAAAATGTGACTTGACCGGGACCGGGACCGGGACTGAGATTATCAATTTACCGTGACCGGGACCGGGACCGGGACCAATAATTTCTGGGATTTCTATCTTACCGGGACCGGGACCGGGACCGGGACCAACAATCCAATTTGACCGGGATGACCGGGATGACCGAGATTTGACCGGGATGACCGGGATTTGACCGGGATGACCGGGATGACCGGGACCAAAACTGGTATTCTCATATTGAAAGCTGCAACTTTCATTTACATTATAATTGAACAATTTGAATAAGTAATAACTACAATATTAAATTAGAAAAAACTATAAAAAAACCGTCAATATGGGGCATGGGCCTAATGTACTACACCAATAATGTTCATGTACTGATTACTCAAGTTCACCCTCATTCCTCACTCCTCAATCAATGATCCCTCAAATTATTCAACAGTTTCATTCTCCAATTCCAATTGACAATTGGACGTAGCCCGAGTTGAAAACTTGATGTTAGTTTGCACTTATGAGTTATGTAACGATATTAGTTACCTAAACTTGTTTAGCAATTTTAAACATTGTTTTATTTGGCTCAGAGGTTGTTTAAAGATGAAATTCACAAAAACTTAAAATCACAGTGAATGAAATTATGTAAAAGATCCCGGTCAAAATCCCGGCAAATTTGAGTGATTGACCGGGACCGGGATCGGACCGGGACCAAGAATCCTGAATTAACCGGGACCGGGACCGGGATCATAAATCAGCATTTGACCGGGACCGGGACCGGGACCACGACCGGGATGAAAAATGTGACTTGACCCGGTTGACCGGGACCGAGACCGGGACTGGGATAGCTCAAAATTGCCAATCCCGGTACCGGGAATCCCGGTACCGGGATTCCCGGTCACCTCCTGAAACTGACATGGGCTTTGCTAGGTAAGCTATGGCACCAAACATGGCCCTGGATCAAAATGTGAGTTCGAGAGGTCGATGCAACTTCTAAATTAAACAGTCATCCCATTAAACATCGTGCAAAATCTTACAAAAAACTTTTACACGGAACCGCCAGTTTCAAGTGTGAGCACTTTAATTGGGAGTATTACATAACAGCATAGTATTGTATAGAATAGAAATATTGTACTTAATTGTTTACATACAGTCCCTATATCAGTACTTGTGTTTGGTACTATACAAACTCGAAATTGACTAATCCAGTTATTGACGATTATATGCGATGCTAATTTATGCCAAATAGGCATTTTTTACCAAAATATAAAGACAATTATATGATCATTAAAATTTTAGATAGGACATCTCTCAAGTAGCTCAGCGGCCAGAACGTTGTTGCAATAAACGGGAGGTTGGTTGTTCAAACCTGCGTGAGCGCTGTCTCAGCTTTTGCCCAAATCACTTTTGAGCACAATTTTTTTTTCGTGATAAATAGAAAATAAACTTTTGAACCTATCGAGCCAGTAGCATGAGCAAATAATTTAGATACGAGCAAAAACTAAGGTAATCCTAGTGCTCAGGATTGAGGACCTAATGAAGAATCGTCTGAAAATATCGGAAATTGCCGAAATTCACGACTAGCTGAAAAGGCCAAGGACTATTTGAAAATTGAATCCGGAAAAGCACTTGCCAGTTACAAAGAGGCTAGGCTTCGACTAGATAACAGACTCCAGTAATCAGTATCAGTACCCAGTGCAGAAGAAAAGAAGATATTTATCACACTCCACTCTTTCTGCTGTTCTTACTGTGTTTCATCTCTGTTTCAGTGTCATTAACCGCTGCTGGTTCTATCCTGAATGCTTGTTAAACCGGGGACCTGTATAAATATATAAGTTACAGTTATTTTTTAAAGTTACAAATATCAGCTGATTTGCAAAATGTAGCAATTCAAGAATTCGGAAGAAGAATTTTGAAATTTCGCGCGAAAGTTTTTCCTAAATCGCATCTTTTTGAGTTAAGGTTAACTCAAAAAGATGCCATTTGAAAACGCATTTTAAGATTTTACGACTTTATCCGTCAAACGGCATCTTTTGGCGTTAAGCTTAGCGCCAAAAGATGCGATTTGGGGATAAATCTTGATTATTTCAAGTCAAAATTATTTGATACGACGTCAAATCGCATCTTTTGGAGTTAAGCTTAACGCCAAAAGATGCGAGTTATTGTAAAAAGATGCGAATTGCTTTGCATTTTTTCAGATAATCGGCATTTTTTTGAGTTAACGTTAAGTCAAAAAGATGCGAATTACGAAAAAATGTCCATGCTGTCACGGGGCCTTCCTTACATATTTGCATGACTTTTCCCGGGAATAATATTTTACTTTCAAAAAGACTGTCGTGTTGAAACTAAAATATTAGTTCAAGGAAACTTCATTAACACACTTCATTTTTATACTTCTCTTAATAAATTTTATTTGTATGTTTCTCACGGTTTTGTTAAAGTTGATACCGTGGTGTCAGTAAAATGGCAACAAATATATAAATATATATCGTCTCGCTTTATGTGTAGTAAGATTACAAAGAGACTATTAATTTAGGACCGTTTTAATTTTTAAATAATATGATCATAATATTAGTATTTGAATATTATATTTAATAGTATGTAGTATATTATACTTAAATATTAAACTGTTCATTAATTACAGTTCAGATGTAAGGAGAACCAGTGTGCTTAAATGATGTCAGTTATTTCAACCACAGTTCTGATACTTAAATAATGTATTTAACATACCCGAACTACGTTACAAACTTAATTGTTCTTTTGTTCTTGATTGTTCTTAATCGTTCTTAATCGTTCTTAATTGTTCTTAATTGTTCTTAATTGTTCTTCATAACTAAATTAAAATAAGCAGTAAATACAGTTCATACTCCACAATCTGTAATTATACGTTTTACCCTTGTTAACCAGCGGCCATGAAAATTAACGACCACTTTTTATTATACAGAAAACGAGACATAAACTTTGTGAGGCGCTCTTTCTAGCGCATTTCTGGAATATTTTGTACTAGATTTCAACATGTACTCTTCTTGAAAAAACACTTGTTGGAAGCAGCTTATAAACAGCTTGAATGACCACAGATTCAGATATTTCGAGCATTCGCAACATTTCATTGAGTGATTTCTCATTACTTTTCCGTGATTTGTTACTGTTGCCAGTTGCTCCCTTGACAAGAAAAAAGGCACCAACGCAAACGTTTACTTTAATTTAACGAGAGTGAATGAACCATTGAACGGTGACGTCGTTAAAACGACCAAAATAACACCGATACATTGTGAGCATCCCACAGCCTTTAGTAAATATTGTGCCGCGCTTCCTCCCTCGAAACCAGAGTTATCAAATGATATGTTACTAGTAATGTTAATAGTGAGATGCCACCTTGTACTAAAAGTCAGAAGCAGCAGCAGCTCAATGTTATTATAGCAAGCAAGCTGTGGTTAAGTTCGCTCTGGTTCAGGCGATATTAATTTAGCAATCAGTCTCATCGGCTTTATTGATTATTTCTGTTGTTTTTTGTTGAAGTTGCGTTCTGAATTTTTTAAAGCAAGCGAGCGCAGATATTTAGTGTGTACGACTATTTTCGTGCAGTATATGCAGTGCATGTACTGATGCAATGCACCATGGAAGACAAGGAAATCAAAGTTTGGCGGGCATCAACCAATATTTGGAGACTAGATCAAAGCGGCGCAATTTTGTAATTTCAAATGAAACGTACAATTTATTCCTTGGCTGATTGCCACGGTTACTCGATTATGCACATTGCACGTGGGTTTACTTGAATCTGTAAGTAGACTGATGACTATAATTATATCCGTTGTACTGGCATCGCTATTGTTACGGCACGTTCAATTATGGAACTTGACTGATCTCCTAATATGATTTTATTTATCACAATTCACATTATGTCCTAATTATCAGGCGAACCGTTCTCCAATATATCTCAGTGTACTCGTTCATTCATTATTTAATATTAACGTAAACTTGCTGCATTCTTTAATCCCAGATAAACTTAATAATTATATGTAATACGAGGGGGTACAAGACACTCATAAGTTTCCCTTAGTTTGTAGATCGTTAACACTTTGTGTATTTAACTTCATTTCGTAAACCAATGACTACGATATCAACTTAACTTTGACGTAGATGATGTCCCATTCCAATGAAAACAGGAAATTGCGGAGAAAGAAACATGCTCTAACCGAATAACTACGACATAGGAACCTGGAACACTGAGTTAATCACATTTTGTACCTCTTTTTAAAACTTACATGTGTTCTATCGTATTTCTTCTCCATAACATGATGAGCTGGTTTCTGCATTAGTTTTATCCGTTCTTCTCTTTCCTCCTCTGTTTCCTCGTCACTGTCCAGGTCTATTTCCACCGGGTCGCTGGTGTAATTCTGGGCGATATTTTAGTTAATAGATTTACTAATTAGCTGTGCGATTGTTAATTAGTCAACAACGTTTTAAACGGGTAAAAGCCAGTCCAAACCATGAAGACCTCGAGGGAGAGAGCGGGAGAGGGAGAGAGAGGGATGGAGAGAGAGAGGGTGGGAGAGGGAGAGGGAGAGAGAGACGGAGGGAGATGGTGGGAGAGAGAGAGGGAGAGGGAGAGGGTGCAGTGGGAGAGAGAGAGAGGGAGAGAGGGAGAGAGGGAGGGAGGGAGAGGGAGAGGGAGAGGGCCCACTGCCAGAAACCATAGCAGACTAGCAGATAATCTGCGAGGAAATTTTTGGTGCCAAAGAGGAAATTTATAAAGTCTACGATCTGAATTTTGAAACATTTTACCATAAGTTTTCTGGGGTAAAGAGGGAAATTTCTAAAAACAATCCAAAATTGTTGACAAATGAAAGACAAGTTCAAAAGGAAATCGCGGCACGTGCAGAATCGCGATTTTTCCCATTCTCCGCGACAAATCGCGATTTTTGACGTTTGCAGAGACAAATCGCAATTTTATCCGATCCTCTTGACAAATCCTGATTATTCCAGGTCTCTGAAGACCAAATTTGCACATTCTCCTTTAAATCCGAGGCCCAAATATCACGTTCTTTATAATTATATGGAACTAATCACATCCACAGCCTTCTAAATGTAGGTACGGACCGAAAATGTATTTTCTGCTCACAATGATCAGGGTAGCATGAAACATGAACTTTAAGTAGTTTCCAGAAAAACTTTGAAAATAATATCGATTTAGAAAATTTTCGGTCCGAGTCATTCTCGATAGCTAGGTACAAGGAGAGTGCCTCGATATGTAAGTTACTGTCCTTGTTTCTATATAAACATAACTTTTACTTATCACTAGAAGCCGCACAGACCTTCTATCTACACACAAACCAACTAGCAATTGTCATTTCTCTAATCCTATGAACCAGTGTACCCCTAATTCATAATTCGTGTAACAAACTCAACGAATAAATGACCAATATAGCTTCCAGTATGCTGTTTGATAGCAATAATATATTCGAGATTATGTAATACTAGTGTAACCAAGGCCTACGTCCGGGACTTCACTATCGGAGTTGAAATGCAAAAGTATAAACCCGCCTATTGTATTCTAAAAACCCATTACATTTATTTTGGTAGTTAAAAGTTAAAACGGTGCAAAAGTATGAAATCACTCAGTCAAAGCATACTTCAATTCAATTCTGAGTGCCCCTCACGTATCTAATAGTAATACTAGATATAGCATATCTTTTGAGTATGAGAGAGAGAGAGAGAGAGAGAGAGAGAGAGAGAGAGAGAGAGAGAGAGAGAGAGAGAGAGAGAGAGAGAGAGAGAGAGAGAGAGAGAGAGAGAGAGAGAGAGAGAGAGAGAGAGAGAGAGAGAGAGAGAGAGAGAGAGAGAGAGAGAACGAGAGTAGGAGAGATAAGAGGGAGAGACATTTGGGTCACAAAATCATCAATTAAACCACTTATCACCGGCCGATTAAAAAACTTAGGCTCTTGTGCTTCGTCAGAGTTTTGTAGGCACTATACCGAAAAAAACAGCCACGTACCTCTTACCGTTTTCTAACTTAACAATGTGTCGATCGTAGGCATCATGAAGAAGAGTCTGTTTAGATCTTAACACTATTCCTTGGCTAACACACTAAAGATTATTAATATAGATGCTATTGTTTTGCCTGACGAGCCTGTCGCTCCCTAATCTTAAACTATACTAACAAGCTAGTTAATTGTTTTTGAAACTGTGTTTGAAAATGATCTCTATTGCCAAATTGCTTCTAGGCCTTCTGTGTGGGAAAATCATCAAGAATTTTTGGCTGCGGCAAACATAATATATATATATATCTTCAATTCCTGTCTGTGCGAAAGTTTAAGTTGTATGCACTCTACATTTCTCAGGATATGGTTGCCTCTACTCTGCAAGGCACATATAATAATTCGTGATAACTAAGGGGGGGGGGGGGGGGGGGGGGCCAATGGCATAAAATGGCATAAAATGGCATAAAATGGAGACTTTTTCTATGGAGAAAATGGAAAAACCCATGAGTAATTCTCCATTTTCTCCATTTTATGCCATGAATTTTGTCTTCGAAATTTCATCTTTAACACCATTTGACACCTAAATTGGACATCCTAACATGTTTATTTACGCTTACTATGGGCGTAACAAGCTTATGAAAGCTTATAGTAGGCTACTAGATGCTTATACTAGGTTGGTAGAGGCACACTTCAGGCAAACTCATAATTACTCAAGCCTAGTGTAAAGTTATTTCTACAGGCTACAGCAGGAGTAATAGGGGAGAGTAATAGGCACTGAGAAGTGAGACCTACATCCTCGACAGTCGAAACAAGCTCGCACTGCAAAGGGGAGCCCTGCCTTTAGAGATCGCATTACCAGGGGGAAGCCTCGAGTCCAAATTTGTGTATCGAGGGGTAGGTGCAGACTTCGATAAACCGAAAAAACCAAAAAAATATTTTCGGCTTATAATGAAGAGGGTAGCATGAAACGTGGAGAAAAGTGGTTTTTAGAAAAACTTTGAAAAATTTTGACTTATAAAATTTTCGGCCCGAGTCATTCTCGATACGTACCTCTCGTATCGAGAGCTCCCGATTCCGAGCTCGTGTTGCAAAGGGGAGGCCTGCCTTCCGAGATCGCATTACCAGGGGGAAGCCTCGAGTCCAAAATTGTGCACCGAGCGAGGGGTAATTTTCTAAGTCAAAATTTTTCAAAGTTTTTCTGAAAAACACTTTTCTCCACGTTTCATGCTACCTTGTTCATTATAAGCCGAAAATATTTTTTCGGTCAAAATTTTTCAAATTTTGTCTGAAAACCGCTTTTTTCCACGTTTCATGCTACTCTGTTCATTATTTGCCGAAAATATTTTTTCGGTTTTTCGAAGTCCACACCTTCCCCTCGATACACAATTTTGGACTCGAGGTAATGCGATCTCGGAAGGCAGGCCTCCCCTTTGCAACACGAGCTCGGAATCGGGAGCTCTCGATACGGGAGGTACGTATCGAAAATGACTCGGACCGAACATTTTCTAAGTCAACATTTTTCAAAGTTTTTCTGAAAACCACTTTTCTCCATGTTTCATGATACTCTGTTCATTATTGGCCGAAAATATCTTTTTTTTAAATAATTTTTCTCGAAATTCTAAATTTTTTAGGTTTTCCATGGCATAAAATGGCATAAAATGGCATAAAATGGCATAAAATGGAGACTATTTCTATGGAGAAAATGGAAAAACCCATGAGTAATTCTCCATTTTCTCCATTTATGCCATTGGCCCCCCCCCCTAACTAAGACAGGTGGTGCAAGCTGGCCATGTTTTACTTGTGGGTCATTTTGTAACTGGGTTGTAGGAGAAAGCCATTTTGTAACACACGATTTTGAAGGGCTTTAAATATTTTTTATTGTAGATTTTAATGTGGCCATTAAACATTTTCTGGGGCCTAGCTCCAAATGCTTAAGAACTGTCCTGCTTCACTCGCCGACATAGCGAAAGTGGAAAATTCGCGAGCGAAGCGAGCGGGCCACAAAAAACAGAAGATTTGTATCTGCGAGGAAATTTTTAACTTTCTGGATGTGGGGGAGAGGGAGAGGGAGAGGGAAGAGGGAGAGGGAGAGAGAGGGAGAGTGAGAGGGAGAGGGAGAGATGGAGAAAGGGAGAGAGGGAGAGGGAGAGGGAGAGGGAGAGGGAGAGGGAGAGTGAGAGGGAGAGGGAGAGATGGAGAAAGGGAGAGAGGGAGAGAGAGGGAGAGAGAGGGAGAGGGAGAGGGAGAGGGAGAGGGAGAGGGAGAGGGAGAGGGAGAGGGAGAGAGAGGGAGTTTATCTAGCAACTGAGTTGCCTATTATAACAGAGATATCCACATTCAACAGTTATTAGATTGAACAATAGCTAGAGATCGTTTGGAATTTAAATCGCGTGATTTAAGATTACTAAAGTGTGTAATTCTAAAGTGAACATAAATTAAGCAGTAGGCAAGCTGGCACATCTAACCTTTATGTTATGGATGACATTGTATATTAAGGCCACTTCCTGTAACTTACAGGAAGTAGCATTAACATACAATGTGTAAGGATATTAATAATTCATGATATGAACTTATATCTTATATTGTTATCTTGCTAACTTATTATATCTTATTGTTGACTATAATTATCTTCCTGTGCACCGTCGGTGTCTGGTAGCCACTAGCCATCTCATCTTTATCTAGGTGACATTGTATCTCGCTAAGAGCGGCCATCCGGATCCAAATTGAAAAGCAGCCGCATTTCTTGTTACTTGAATAGATTACGTTGGTAGATTCTTTACTTAACTTTTGATAATTTAGTGTTCTTCTTATGATTTCTATCGGGCGTAAGCGGTGCAATTATTTATCTTATGCAATGACGCACATTGTACGTGACGATTCCCCACATGCACATTGCACGTGACGATTCCCCACATTGCACGTGACGATTCCCCTGCTATGCTTCGTGACAATTTGAACACCACATTAAACGCTTCTTACCCAGTGGACAGTCAAATTTGAAATTTCTTACCTATTTTTTGTTCCGTACGAGACATAAGTTTGTACTTAATCCATATTTCCCTTCCCAAGAGAAAAAGTTCAGCTAAATGGTATCTGCTTGAACTTGTCTCTTCGTGAGATTATTAAATCTAATATGTGTGCGATTTCTTGACTTTCTTACTTCGCACTTGTTCTTTCCTTGCCGTGCAGACCACGATAAACCTTTCACATTCTCAGTAGTGTTGATTAGCCTTTTTAATCAGTCGTGGTTACAAAATCAAATGTAAAAAGAGGTAGCGAGAAGACAGTCAAAAACTCTGAATTACTTTATAATCACATTGGTGGATTTTTGTCATTAATTATTGATAATCCATCGTGTAGAGGAGAATTAGAATACTTACGATTGCGCCTGCTAATTATACTAGTCACTTATTTTCGTTTGATCGATCTCTTTAATTGCTTTCAAGAAAGTTCCGAGAAGGTTAACCAATGGTCATGCATCTAAATTCTACGCATAAGTCAACGTAATTAGATTCTGTGATTGAATTTTCTTTTGATTATAATGTTATGATTGCAAATTATATGCATATATTATGTGCTATCTAAAGTCACGTTTACTTTGATCTTTTACAAGGAAGTGATGGTTAAAAACCATTTATTACTTCCTTAAAGTTGATAAGTATGACGTCACATCTCTAAATCTAAATCTTTATAAATTTTAATAGTAATACGTTCGTTATTTTGGAGATAGAGCGGTATTGTGAGTTATAGCTTCAGCAAGCTCACCATATAAGGAACATGATGAAGCCATACCCACAATCCCGCCCTATCTCGTCCAACTTATACAGTTTTTAGTCGTAAAGCCTTCACATGTTGCAGTAGTCAAGGCAGCGAGTTTCACAAAGCACCATTAGCGCTACTTTCTCATACCTCTTCCTGGGTACCTACCCTGGGTACTTACCCCCCCCCCCCCCCCCCCCTCCTGCTTACAAGCTTAATTATATTTTACGAGAATGTATTACTCATGAGGCATGATTATGAAGGAATTTAAGGAAACGTGTCTTTTTAGTTTAAACCATTGTATACTGACTCTCCTATTTTCAGTTTAGTTGAAACCATGTCAAACATAACCGCTCAAGAACAAACCTACTTCAAAGTAAACGGAGTAATCGCCCTGACAGAGTTCACTGTAGGAGCCTCCCTGAACCTCCTCTGCTTCTGCTACTTCCTCCGCAGAAGCACCACCGCGGTAAACTCCCTATTTCTGGCTATCAGCTTCGTGGACATCTGCTTGTGTTCCAACATGCTGTTCTCTGCCATTTCCGCGCTCAACGAGGGAGCCAAGATGTGTTTCAGCAGTGCAATCCTGTGTAATATATGGGGGCTGGTGTGGCACACGGGGCAGGGTTTATCTATGTTCCTGGTGGCTCTGCTAGCTTTTGCTCGGTACAGATGCATGACCCAACCTTTGAAGAAGATAAAAAGAAGGACCATTCTCATGGCCATCCTGGTGTACTCAGCTTTCCAGATCTTCAAATCCACTCTGAACTATTGGTACATTAAATCGAGCTACCAATACTCCCCCCAATTTCTGGGCTGCACCGTCTCAAACATCAACACGACACGACTGTCCAGCGTCGACAAATCTCTATATTTCTCCCTCTACATCTGTGAAATCCTAGTACCGGCGATCCCCATTATAGCTTTCTCCATAGGGACAATGATTTGCCTGAAGAAGAGCAGCAAGAATCTTTCAGCCTTGGGAGAGGACAAGATGGTTTGTGTTAGGAAGCGAGATTCGGCTGTAACCATGTTGTTCCTGGTGGGGGCTTATCTCTTCTTCAACATCAGCTACTGGGGATTGCTCGTCGGGGATGCCCTCTATGTTTTCTCCGACGGGAAAGTGAAGTATTATATGGCAATATGGGGTAAGGACAACTTGAACACATATTACATGACCTATTATGCTGTATACATTCATTCGATCATCCTGAACTCGACTGCCAATGCGGTGATCTACTTCATCAGGCTAAAAACCTTGAGGGTTTCAATAAATGAGCTGGTGGTAGGGGTGGTGAGGAAAATAAGAGGACAGTGTCAGAGAAAACGGGAGTACAAGAATGGTAACATACTATCTCCTGTCTCTAATCGTAACCTTACACTATGTACTAAAACTAGTTCTAGTCCTTTCATCGGTCAGCATCAGACACCCCGGACATATAATAGACCACCTGGTATAAAAACAGCTTTAATCTTAAGTCCTCTTGCCGTGGAACATCAAATTCAATAACACATTTCAAAGCGAGTGGAAAGAGTTATATTTGGGTCAGGAACAATGATCTTCAACAGGAAACAAACTGACTCAGTCATGGAAATGAAAGAAAAAGAAGTCAATAAAATTATTAATTAGCTTAAACTAATTAATAACGTACCCGATAGACGCGGATCTTAGACTCGTATTTGTAATAGTCGTCGTCAAGAGAACAGGACTCAGTCTTTTGGCAGACAGTTGCTCCTGGAGGAATTTTACAAGTAACATAATTGTTAATTTAATACTTGAATGTTTTGTGTTGGGCGGGCGGAAATTAATGGAAGATTGAGATTCATGATTCAGCTCGGGCGTTATTTGAACTTGAAGCAAGTAAATTTAGATTAGTTTTCAAATAGAAGCTAGCATGATGAATCAAGATTGCTTCAGCTCACTTTAATCGCATCAAGCTATCTTCCTTTTCTTAATGTTTTCCCCAGTCATCTTTTTAGTTTAGCGGCCGTCCTAAGTAGATGGCCCCTTATTAGCCCATCAATTTTAGATTTGAAAACAGAAACGGTATCGTATATTTAACTCATTTCCTGTGTTCTGGCAGACTATAATTTTAAAAGGATTTAAAACATTGGTATTACCGTATAAGTGTTAAAAAATCTTATTCATGGATGTAAATAAAACTGAATCTATACTTGAGTATAACTAATTTATACAGGTATAAAATGAGTAAGAACTCACTCTTTAAAATAGCTCAAAGAAACTGATATTTTTCAGTAAATTGAAAGGTGCAGACTGCAGTAAGTTAATTCTATGAGTCGATGGGCGAGACTGGAGATACGAGCTATGTTCAATGTTTACCTGAATCCATTGACTGAATTTATTAACAAATAAATAAATACATGGAATATAATTAGAATTACCCGGAGGGCAGTGGGATGGAGTAAGGGAGTTCCTTGCTTTACGACCAGGGTTCCTTCTAACGACCACAGGGCCGGAAACTCTGTTGGGAACAGTGTACGGAGCGGAATCACTTCTCTAGGGAGAGGGGAGGTCAGGAGAAGATTATTGTAAGGAAGGAGTAGGATAGATTGTTTAAGTTTCATGAGGACAGTGGGGACTAAAAAGCAGATGCTGAAGCGAAGGTGATCATGGAATTTGGAAACACGAGAAAACTTAGACTCTATTAAACTCACTCGTCGCTGTTTTCGCTTCATTGACAGAGAAGATCTTATCTTTTCTTTGGACTCCTTCAAATCAGGAAATAAGCTGTCCAACTGAAAATAAGAACACCTTCAGGATCTGGTTCAATTTATTTTCCAGATTTATAAAATATTTTATGCATGCTTGAAGTATGCAGGTGTACTTTATATCCTTATACTGTATACGCTGCGCGGCACGATAGCACGTGTACATAGTCATAACTAATTATGGTAATCTCACCAGAGCTTTATTACGGCGTATTTTATCCAGTCGTGATCTCTCATACTCTGATATCTTTCCGCCTATCTTAAAATTCGTGCTTCGCTCCGATAACATAACATTGACAAGAGCTGGTGTGGTCAATATTTTATTTTATTTTAATGTGACGTTACTAATTAAATTACAATTGAAGATAATTTGATGATTCTAATTTTTTAAACTAGCATGATAGATCGACAACGTTACAATCATAAAACTATCTTAAATTGTAATAAAATTAGACCTAATATTTATCATATTATATATATTTATATGTGTTACATTTATTCATTTACTGAACTATCCTTAAATTTTCATGGCATTATCATTAAAACAGTAAATTGATGCGATGAAGACATGTCAGCATTCCAGCATTCCAGCAGTAAAAATCACATAACGAAGCTTCATATTAGGTTATCGCTCACGGAAAGTAAAACACACAACAAGTCGTTTGAGTTCGTCATATGGTTTCATACATCAACACAAATAATTACTACATATTCAAAAATCTTAAAATTCATATATAAATCAATTAAAAAGAAATGAAAATAATCCCACATTGAGATACTGATAAAATAAAGGTAAAAATTTGTATTTTAATAACGCGGCGGGTTGCATTTGCAACTCGTCATGATATTGGAACTTTGCTCCGGCGGTTGTTTTCTCTATTACAATCCCCAATCACAGGACAACTCAAGACATGGGCCTGTGTTTCTTCTTCTTCCTACTCGAAGTACTATCATCCGAACTATACTTCCGATCATCATCAAACTTAGCGCTGAACCTGAAACTGGACGGAATACCCGGTACATTAGTCCTGGCTGTCTGCCCCTTAAGGTCTATCACAACAGCGCAGTTATTAGTAGGCACGCACGTGGGCGTGGTCCTGCCGTATAACGTGTAGTATAGCTGTGCTAGACAACACCTCAAGTTAAAGTCCTGGTGCTCATTCAGCAGTCTCCACAGTCGCTCGACTAAGTGGAGGTTGTTGAGGAAACAGTCCTGGTGTTTTGTGAATAGTGGTAGTTTGTAGAGCTCCTGTACTGCGTGGCACCGGATAAAGGGAGACTGATCGAACTCTATCAGAGACAAAATAGTGTTCAGATCCCGCTCCGAGCTCTCGTTTTTTATGAACAGTGCGAGAAGTTGTATTGCCGTGCAGCGCACGTGGAACGACTGACCCCGCTTCAGATGCGCGCTAAATATCGAGCTATCCTTCAGATTGTCCATGATGTGCCCGTACTGAATAAGCTTTGAAATGAACCGTAAACAAGCCCCTGATATAATCTGCTGGTAACTGGGCATCTTCTTATCTATATTCAGATAACACACTATTTTAGGGAGGACTTGCTTAACATGTTTCAGATTTATCTCCATTTTGTAGTCTACTTTGTGGGGCACAGTGTGAGTTAGCCCATCTATTATAGCTACTATCATCCAGCTGTCATCGAATTCGTTCCGCTGGTTGTCGTTGTAGTAAAGCTGCTGGTAGAGGAATTGGACGATTCTTGGAGTTGTACTCCCAGCTACTTTTATCTGACCTGAAGTTGTTGTGATAGTTACACTTACAGTATTTTATTTGTTGCAAATTTAGCAAATTTAGCATCGGCAAAACGCTAGTATTGGCAAAATTTGTGATTTTTGTTTAAATATAAGTTTGTTAAAAGATTCTTTTTGAAATGTAAAAATGTAAAATATTATGTGTGTTAAAACTTAAATATCATAAGCAGTAAAGCAGTAAGCAGTAAACAGTAAGCCCAGTATTTAACAATAAATTCAAAAGCCCCCAAACCTATCGCTCTCATGAACTCTTGCTGTATAAAATAAAGCGGGAAATCGCTGAAGTCGTTCATTCTCGTGAACTTCTCGTTATCAACACTTCCGTATAACTTCCGGTAGAGACTGATCAGGACCTCCTCGTTAACAGTGGGGTCCCCTGAGATTGATATACAGGTTGCCAGGGACTTTAGGGCTTGTATCCGCACCTGGGCAAGGGGGAGAATGAAGGCAAAATGTTGGGGCAAAACAATATGTATTTTACAATCATATAAAAATCAAAATTAGCTGACCATTACAACGGATAGCGACCACTCTATTATATCACAGTATAAGAATGCAGTTCACTGCTAACCTGGTAGTAGCACTTCTCATCAAGAAGTACAGTGCTGAGGGTGGTGATGGTGCCTTGGGAGGGGAAATTCGGTAGCACCTGAAATAAGGTAAGAGTAAGTAATGGGACTACTTACCTGAAATAAGGTAAGAGTAAGTAATGGGACTACTTACCTGAAATAAGGTAAGAGTAAGTAATGGGACTACTTACCTGAAATAAGGTAAGAGTAAGTAATGGGACTACTTACCTGAAATAAGGTAAGAGTAAGTAATGGGACTACTTACCTGAAATAAGGTAAGAGTAAGTAATGAGACTACTTACCTGAAATAAGGTAAGAGTAAGTAATGGGACTACTTACCTGAAATAAGGTAAGAGTAAGTAATGGGACTACTTACCTGAAATAAGGTAAGAGTAAGTAATGGGACTACTTACCTGAAATAAAGTAAGAGTAAGTAATGAGACTACTTGAAGCTGAACAATGAGCATGTGTGTGTGGTTGGGAGTATTTAATGGTGGTCGTTGTATATCCGATTTCTAGGTTGATCATATGTTTAACACAAGTTTAATTCATTTTCCCAGACATGAAATAAGCCTCTAAAATACAGCATCAAACCGGAACGTTTGCTCCAACTCCAGCTTGAAGCAGACATTACATGTCTCCAATGCAGCCTCTCCGCATGAAACTTAGAAATAATGTGACTAGCTGATGACTAGCTGACGACTAATAAGCTAGCCCCACAATACTCCACTATGACGAAGTGTCTGAGCTGAATATCATAACACGCGAAGATAATAAAAGAGGGTGAATGCTAAAGAGGGTAACGACATAGTCTCGGTAAATCGCCTAGTGGTAAAGATTAAACATACAAACCTCAATGAGGGGTTTAGGCATATTTTAGTCACAATATTCAACAAGTGTATGGAATTGGAACCTGATAACAATTCAGATACTTACAAATTCAGCGTGATTCATGACCCAAACACGTAGATAAGCAGTCTTTAGTATTCTAACGTGGTGGATTAAAATGAACAGTTCCGGACTCACATTTCCGGACTCACAGTTCCGGACTCACAGTGCTAGTAGATGAGTAGATCACTTGCCAAAGAATAAACGCCGAGGAACAGTGGCATTATCCTACTTAATAACACCATTAGCTTGCCATCAGCAAGGTTTGTTGTTTATGGATCCAGACTCACGATAAATGGTCAAGTTTTACACAGGCTAACTGAATGCAAGGCTTCATTTTTAGAGAGCGCCAATGCCTTATGCGATGATTTACACATATTTTTGTCTGGGTAAGATTATTTAGCATTTTCACGATTAACTGCTCTTAGTCGTTACGATGAGAATCTTCTCTGTGTTGGTTCTAGTGACCTTACTGGACCTGCTCACAGGGAATCTTCATGGTAAAGGTAGGCACTATGTCTAAAATTGACGTTAATGGGCGAACAATGTTCCTACTTCCTTGCCATGTTTTGTCGTATTATTATTTTACCATTTTGCATTTCTGGGGTCCGAGTGTTATTGAGACCCCAGGACCCCTGTTGAGAAGAGAAAAGAAATTACACATCGTTTGTTTTATGTAAACATCTCGTCTTATATAAACATCTCGTCTTAAATCGGTCGACTGTTTGTGATCAATGACAACGTAATTACCATAATTTCAGAGTGGAAAATTCCCAAGGAAAGAACTAAATCGAAACTCAGAAAGACTCTATCATATGAAAGAGATCCTGATCTCTTCTTCTTCGACCCAGTAGAAGAATCTGTGGAATTTAAATTCGCCGTGAAAAACAAAGAATCTCTCCTAAAGGAAGATGTGAAATTTACCATCTACGCAACTCTCTACAACCAGAGCAGTGATCAAGTTCAAGGAACTCTCGATTACGTTGCATCTGTTCGAGTTTTTCATGACATTAACAGCGGAAAAGTTAGAAAATCGCAACTGGCTTTGATTGACGGACCCGAAAATATTAATAAGATTGTAGACACAACATCTCTAGGAACGATGTCAGTTGAAACTGAGTCTGTTTTGATCACGTGGGACGTTACAACGAAGCCCTTTGCTACATTAAACAACCTCCAGCCAGCAACAGGATTCAGAGACTCCTCTAAATTAAACCGATGGAAAGACATCATCTCAACCTCCAACATCAAGGCTATCAACGTCTACCTATACTCCTACAACAAAGGGAACAATAACCAACCACTCAACTTCTTCGACGTCACCTACAGGATATCCTCAAAAATCTACTGCACCTCTCTTTCCAGCTCCTCTCTCCCCAGCTCCTCTCTCCCCAGCACCTCTCTCCCCAGCTCCTCTCTCCCCAGCTCCTCTCTCCCCAGCTCCTCTCTCCCCAGCTCCTCTCTCCCCAGCTCCTCTCTCCCCAGCTCTTCTTTCCCCAGCTCTTCTTTCCCCAGTTCCTCTCTCCCCAGCTCCTCTCTCCCCAGCTCTTCTTTCCCCAGCTCTTCTTTCCCCAGCTCCTCTCTCCCCAGCTCCTCTCTCCCCAGCTCCTGGTCCCACATCACCCCCAACACCACTCCAGTCACTCCAGGACAAACTGTTCTAGTGGAATGTAGACAGGAGGGGTATGTTGTTATCTCGGGAGATAGTCATGTGACCTGTACTGTGAACTCAGAAGGCAGTTTGTTTTACTATCAGCAGGTACCGCGCTGCGGAATTAGACCAACAGGTATGTTTTCAGTTTTATTGTTCTAGATTTATCTACTGATATTATCATGTCCATTATTATTAATCTAAAATATTCGATTGATATACATATCAATATAAAGCATAATTAGCTATTATAGGGATTATGTAATCTTCAGCACTCCTTTGAATATAATTTGGGGAAATTTATTCAAAGGATGCTGGTCGATTAATTTAAGAAGATACATGACATTTTTAGATAACTTACAGCATTAAGAATATAATATAATATATTCATATCTTCGACAATCATTAGAACCAAGGCGTTGACCCTGGCCTTTATCGATGATGGGAACATTCACCTTATTCCAGTGTGAACAGAAAGTTTACCTCCTTACAGTGTTAGATGTGGCCAAAGAGTTTTCAGATAAACCAGCCAGTTGTAAATTTGGTGTATTAATCCAGACTCCAGAAGGCGATCTTGCTAGTTACCATCTAATTTCAGAGTGAAAATCACTCTTGTCCTCAGTTTGAAGGTTGACAAAACTTGTCCTTAGCCGTCGTTGTTGAAGAGACAGTAAAGCATTGATAAAACAGTATTAAAAGGCAACAGCTGTACCCCCCCCCCCCCCCCCCCTATAAGTATATATATAGTAAAGATAAAGATTATATTGTGATATTCAGCACTCCGTAGGACCGCTCTTGCTAGACATTCCATTTGAGAGTATTGTTGAAAAAATATGTCTCATCCTTTTATTAAAATTTGACAAACCTTGTCCTTAGCCGTATTGGTAGGAGATGTAGTAAAGCATTGATTGAAAGGTATTATAAGGCAACAGCTGTATGATTGTGGCGTTTCGCGAGTCAAGGTTCGCCACTTCACGTGCAGGCAGCACGTGCAGACAGCAGGCAGCACGTGGCATCAGCCTGACCAACCCTCTTCCTGATCGGTAACAGTACTTGAGCGTATTACTTCCTTAGTGAGGCCCAGGTCAGTTTAAAGGTCATTGCAGGATATAACATACATATTGTCCGGCGTCCCATATCGTCCTTAGGTTCAGGAATAAGGATGAATTAATAGGTCACGTTGAAATGCGGAACAAACTTTATTGTCATAATACAAAAATTATACATTATATCACCGAGTAAGTAGAAGAGTATCCCTCTTAAAAATTTGATAACCTTGTTGTTAGATATCGAGATTTTGTGTCTTTGCAGTAAGTTACTTTTAGTTAAATCCTCGCTACAAAACGCATAATTATCCTATTAGTGACCGTGAAGTTATCCCAAATATGATATCAGTATGTTTTTTGGCTGCTTTCATGGTTTTTAGCCACAAACGTTTCACTTTATTGATTTCCGGCACACGAACCTTTACAGGACATGTATTACAGATTGTTTGTGGATATCTTGGTTAAGAAGTATTCATAGTTATAATTAGTTTTATAACTTTGTTTGTATTGGAATCGTTTTTCTCGATTAATACGTAAAATGTACATTGTTTTTATCACGACTGGTTCCCCAGTTTTCTGATGTAATCGTTTAAGCGTAAAATATTGAATTCAACTGAATTCAATATTTGTTAACCTTCCATCTGCTCGCAGCTGGCCATAAAGTGATTATTAGCCAAAAATAAGAAGATATCATCTTTTTCATACCCGATTCATAAGACTCTAATTTCGATTATGACACTATGTTATTCTTGGAATTCACTTGAGATCACATGTCGAGTCATAATAGTGCGAAATATACCGCGTACAAGCATATTATGTGTTCAGAACGAAAAGGCTTCAGTTATAAATACATTTTTAAGAGGTCTCGAAGACTCATTTTTGTAAATCAGGTCATTGTTTTGCGGTTTAACACCTACATGATATTGTTGTCCTTGTTGATCTATCTCAGGCCGGACTGTATCGATTATTTTCTATAATTATTGACGAATTGGTCATCAGCATATTATGACCGACTGAAGGAGCATGTGATGTAAGAATATTGGACACGTTTATGTCACATGGGTAAGCGCTCAGTATATGTACTGTTCCATAACAATAGTAATTAATGTACATAGCGTTTCAGTAACTTGTATGCAGCTAATTAGCAATCTACTTTGTAGGACAACTTGAGGAAATGATATTTGTAAACTCAACCAGCCTCAACAACCCACTCGATCTCGGAATATCAAAACTAGGATTCAACCTCCTTCTTCTCTACCACACACTAGCAATAATGATAGGACTTATAGGAAACAGCCTGGTTCTCTACGGGTCTATAAAGTACAACAGTCTCGCAGTAGACTCTGTGTCAATAGTCCTGCTGCAGGGTCTTGCAGCGCTTGATCTGAGTGTTGTGTTGTTCTTCATGTCCTCGATCTGGTTATCCCTGATGGCGGGAGGCTGGGTTACAGGGCCTGTAGGCTGCTGGATCAGCGGGTTCGCGTCCTATGTCTGCACCCAGGCGGAGATGCATGTGGTGGCAGCTATCTCCCTGTACCGTTTGTTTACTCTTGTAGCTCCGTTCAGGGCACGTGACGTCACAAAACGTCACGGGGCAGTCTTGCTGGGTGTTATCGTGGGACTCTCTGCTGTCCTTAATTTCTGCTACCATGCTGTTGGAGCTCACTACGTGTTCGACCCACAGTTTGGTTCTTGTGAGATTTCTATATCACTTTCCCCGACTAAAACCACCATAACGTATCTCTTGTCTATGGTCTGCTACTGGGTCGTGCTACCTACTGTTATACTACCTATCTCCAATATAGCTATTCTGGTGATAGCCACGATCAAGGGTAAGTCTGGACGTTTGCCAGGGAGAGCTGCTCTGGTCACAGTGAGCTGTGTCACGTGGGCGTTTGTTTTCTCAGCTACACCAGTTGTAGTCAGGATAGGGTTGCAGACCCTGGACCCCACCCATCCCATCCCTTCATGGTACCTCCTTGCAGCTCAGGAGTTCCTCTTCCTCAACTCTGTTCTCAATCCAATTATCTACACTATCACTAACAGGTCAGTTAGGCTTAACAAAAAGATGTGATCTCACAGCACTTCCAATTTCCCGAATTCTAATATTTCAGCCTTGAAAGCTGTAGGCTGTACGACGGCTAAGAGTTAAGACTAAACACTTCCTAACACTACCCAAATTCCTTGCTCCTCTATCCAATCTACATTATTTTTTGACATTTCTCATTATTTTTTGACATTTCTCAATTTTCAGAAGTTTTAGAAGATTTCTGGTGCGAACTCTGACTGGAAGGTTAGACGAAGCAATGAGTTTAAATAGTGATAATAACAGACAGGGAGGGACTAGCATAAACGATACTGTTTACGTGACACGGAACGATTGTGCTTCTTGACAGTTTTGCAACAAGTGTTATCACCACTGTTAGCAATAAGATGGATAAAATGTGTGAGGTCATTTCACCTTGAAACAGTGAAAGTGGAATGATCTGAAAGAAAGTTGTGGCCCCAAACGTACAACACTGTGACAAATACCAGCTTGAACGTACTAAAAAGTAACTCCAAAAACAATAAACAATTGAACTGTGAGCTCCACAAACCTCTGCAGCCATGTGCTGGTAAACTACATCCCTCTCATGCAACAACATAGCCTGCCACATGTAGTCCGGCATCTCAATAGAGGTCTTACTGAGCCACAACATGTCAGGGTCTACTCGGAGCCAGATTACAGGGCTGTCCTGGTCACTGTGGGACAGGTCTATGTCTACCTCCTCTCCTGGAAATGGTACTGGTTTTAACACGAGCGATATAATGACATTGTTATTTCAACACAGGGGTCGTTCACATATTACGTAATCAATATTTGAGCAATTTTTACCCCCCTCCCCCCTTCCGTAATCAACCGTAATCAAGACCCAACCCCCCCCCCTCCTCCTGACAGCATCATTACGTAATCATGGCCTGACCTCCCCCCCCCCCCGGCCCCCTTGACTTTTTTCCTAGAAAACACTTTTCTCTACGTTTCATGCTACCCTGATCATGCTATCATGATGAGCCGAAATGATTGTTATGATATCCGGCCAAGCACATTCTAAACTACTTACTATTATTAGCCGGATATTCGATCAATTTCTAAATTTTATCACTGTCAGAGTGAAATATAGTGTAATTTAAATTGAAATATTGTCAAATTGTTATTATTCTAGAGAGTTACGTAATCAACGACCGAACCCCCCCCCCACCCCCCGTAATCAACCGTAAGCGTTTGAAAAACCCCCCTCCCCACTCGGCTGATTACGTAATATGTGAACGACCCCATATTATATTCAACTTGTGCCCACGGACAATGTGGTGTCCAAATATTCAAATAGTGGGTGTTTTTAGTGACCGACGACCACCTTTAGTATACACCCTTTAGTGAATTAGTGGGGTGGCCCAGAAGTAACTACCCACAATTCTGAGTTGATTGTTTACAACTAAGCCGAGTTAGACCATTTTAAGATCTGTCGGATGCATAATCCTGGCACTTAATCAATTATCAAAGCAAATGTGTCTAGAAACTTTGGAGTTCCTAGCTCAAAACGTTCTCACTTTATAGTGACAATATTGAGAATAGTGAAAAAGAGGGAGTGGCGTGCCCACACCCTCTGTAATTGATGAATCTAAGTTTCCCAAGTTTGACCCATATAGACTATATTCTCTGAAATTGTTTAGCAATTCTAAGAAGAATTAGGTGAGTTATAAAAGGGTTGCGTGTGAGTAGTTACTTCTGGGCCTGTACAATGTACATATAAAAGTATACACCTTTATTGCATAGATCTGTTTAATGAATAAAGAGTAAGGAGTGATGATTTAACTTTAGATACAATATTGTAAATAATTACCAGTAAATAGGGGGATTTTCTTCTTTTTGTTTCTTCTGCTCTTACTCTGACAGTTCAGTTCTTGCAAAACATCATTCTTTTCAACCTGATAACATTATAAACTTGTTAAAATCGGCAAATTATACTATTGAATCATTTCAGAAGTTTCGATATTTAAGGAAAGTCGTGTTTTATTTCGACCAAATATCAACAACATGAACAATATCATAAAATGTAACATGTATCCATTATCCTGTCAACAAATACAAATATAACCTGGAGAAGATTAGAGAAGCTGCCATCCAGTTCCTGCACCAGCACCGTCAGTTGACCCACATACTTCTCACAATCATGCAGCGTCTTTTGTTTTATCGTCACGTCCGCCACGTTCCTCTTCCTGTTGAACGCGAAACTGAAGTTGATGGTGGTGAAACCAGGCTGGTAAACGTACCGGGACATGAAATCTGACAGATCCTTCCCAGATACAACCTGAATGGTTTTCAGGAAGTCCTGGGTGGAGAGTAGAGCGTTTATACTGCTGCTTTCTCCCGATGGGTTTATCCAGGCCAGAGAGAGGAGTTTCTTGATGACATTCTGGATGAGTTCCTTGTTACCAAGCCTGTTCTCCACAATCCTCATAACCAACATGCTCTTCAGCTCCATTAGTTCCAGGATGTGGGGTGGGGTCAGCATGGGGTCCATGTGAAATATCTGGGAGTTGTTACCAGAGGTCAGAGGGTAACTTTGGGACTTGTCTTTGAGGTGGAGTGGGGGGAGAAGCTGATCGCATTCGAAGTTGTAAACTTTCATCATCTGCTGGTACACCCAGAACCTGCATTCGTTGTTACCGAATATCTTGTTCATGAACAGCAAGAACAGAATGTTCTTTATCCCTACTACTAGCCACGTGTCATTGTACGATTCCGGGACTATGAACACTCCGAAATACTGACTAGCGATGGCCATGCCAAGTGCCCGGCGAGTGTGGAGAGTCTGGTCTATGATCCTGGCAGAGTGGAGGAGGTTTATACTAGCAGTGGTGAGAGAAGCGTAGCTCTGATAATCACTTAACAGCTCATCTACAAACACTATCTTGTAGTCTCCGAAGGGGAGGGACATGTTCATGTAGTCCACGTATATAGGGTACACTCTCTGTAGGAACTCTGTAGTGTGCTGTAATAACGGTACCATCCCTTTCGGGCAGAAATACGCAACATTGTTCTTAGTCGGCTCAGCTACAACCTCAAAGTTCCCTATCGCAAAACCTATACCGGTGGCCGCAGTGGGGATAGCTAGATTGAAGACATAGCTCTTGTGTTTCTCGTCAGAGGACAAACTGTACTCTTTTAACTCTCCGGAGGAGACGACAGTAAGTTCGGCGTTTACACTGAATTCCAGTTGCCAGTGACAGCGTGCTGAAGCTGAGTCTATGCAGGGGAAACAGTAGCGGGCTGAGTTGGCGAACTGAGATGTGTACAGGTGGGCTTTCTCTGAAATTAAATTGATTGTCACGGTCAAATTGAAGACATTTTACAGTTAGCAAGTTGTGAATTTGCATTTAGTTTAAGTGAATTTGTTATAAAAGTTAACATTCTAAGTTGCTAGATTGACAAATTATTGAAATTATTCTCAAGGTTTACTAACTTATTCCGTCTGGCCCATCAGGAATATGGAAGTGTATCCCACAAATAGGATCCTCAATAGAGAACTCTACTCGAACCTTCACATTAGCCCTCGACGTGTTGGGGGACGCTAGCTTAGTCTGAATTTCCTTCGGGACGTCTATTTTCAATTCTCCCTGATTCTTGAAATCGTAATCATTCTTCAGGATAGCTCCTTGGTACTTGGTGAGGAAATAGTCAAGTTTACGCTTTGAGGGATCCCCACAGATCTGATGGAAGGGGTCATCATGAGTGAACTTAACATCTTGTATATCATCCACTGTGACGTTGTAGATCCTGGTTTGCTGAGTGTTCAGTGAGACGAAGGTTATAATATCGCTCAGCGGTCTAATCGTCAGCTCCGTAAACCCGGAAATGGATTTCCTGGTGAAATTCACAGAGCTGATGCTTACGATTTGGTGGAGGACTTCGTAGTCCTCCTCTGTCTTGTCTGAACCCATCGTGCGGAGTGCAAAACTAAGGCTTTGATTCCATACCTAGGCATGAAACTTTTGTAAAATTTCGAAAACTCAGCAAGTTTCGTTTCATTTTGATCAAAAATTATGTAAATGAATTGAGAGAACTCTACACGCAAATAAGGCTGCAAAATTTGATGAAATCATAAAATTCAAAACAATTCCCATATGTTCGACGTTAATCTTTGTAATACAATTAATACAATAATCAGTAATTCCACTGCCAGATACATCAATTATATGCTGTTCAGGGTGCCTCAAATAATTTAACTGCCAGTCACGGTGGGTGAAAGTTATAGCTAACGGACAATATGGCTAAATCTAGCTATAAAGTCTGTTAGCTAAATAGTCCGCTAGAATACCAGTTTGAGATCGTCCAGATCCAGGAATTCTGTCTGATCAACTCGGTTACAAATAGGAACCTCGACAGTTCATAGTGCGAAAATAATTCTTAAAAACTGTTTGTTTTTTTAAAGGGGAATACCATTCTTTAAAGAGGCTCAATCGTTTATTCGGCTCTATTTGAGCATATTACCCCCAGTTCACATATCAGTTACTTTCTGTTCTTGTAGTCAGCATTCAGTCCACTTTTAATAACATCAATACTCGTTCTTTAAAATAGGTTTATACAGCATGGTGGTGACGTATTTCCTTTTGTACCGGTGTGTAGCTCCGAGCACCATTACTCCATCTCTCACGGTCAGGGCGTATAGGTGATTCAATAAGACGTGCTGAAAAGAGGAGATAGTGAGTAAATCTGGAATAATCTCATAGTGTACGAACATTAATTGTCTCGCAGTAATTGGGTTGATATATTGGCCATGTCAGCGATGATAGACCAAGCGATATAGAATACAGATAGTAATATGGTTGGAAACCAAGGGAATAGGTATGGTTTGGGGCTTGGGCGCTTTGAGCCAGCCAGTACTAGACTGGACTTACCTTGAACCGGCCATCTGCTCGTTGACATGATTGATTTATGGAAAACACGAGCAAACGAAATCAAATGTGCGCGGCATCTTCGCGCAAAAATAGGTTTGCTTTCCACTGGAATATTGCGAAAGTCATCGCGCGTTCCATCAACCAGTAGATGAATCCATAAATTTGGAACATGGGCACATCGCAGTATTGGCCGTATTTGAGTGCTGGGAAGGCTCAGTTCGGTTTTCTAAGATGGATATAGCCGTAAGCTAGGCCTAGGAGCCATCAAAAGTCGTATAAAATTACCCATGGAATGACCAGAAATGAACGAAAATGAACATTATTCTCAAAGTGCTCAGAATGGTTTAAAATGGGTCGGAAAGTGTTTACATTGGTCCTAGGACCACTCAAACCAAGTTTGGGAATAACTGCATGTCTAGAACCGATGTGAAGGTGGTTCCAATTTTGATTTTTGTAACCATTTTGGGAACATGGGGACATCGAAGTATTGGCTGTATTTAAGTGCTGGGAAGCCTCAATTCGGTTTTCTAAGATGGATATAGGTAAAAACTAGGCCTAAGAGCCATCAAAACTCAAATAACATTACCCAGGTTCATGGAATGAACGAAAATGAACAAAAATGAATATTGTCCTAAAAATGCTCAGAACGGTTTAAAATTGGTCGGAAAATGTTTATATTAGTCCTAGGACCACTCAAACCAAGTTTGGGAATCACTGCATGTCTAGAACCGATGTTACCAATGTTCCAAAATGTTCCAATTTTTGCACAATAATCCTCCTGAGAATCCAGATTTTTGGAACATGGGCACATCGAAGTATTGGTTGTATTTAAGTGCTGGGAAGCCTCAATTCGGTTTTCTAAGATGGATATAGGTAAAAACTAGGTCTAAGAGCCATCAAAAGTCAAATAACATTACCCAGGTTCATGGAATTCTGTTGGACGAAAATATTGACTCTTTGCCACCATTTTCTTACCATTCTGAGCGCTTTAAGGATAATTTTCATTTTTGTTCATTTTCGTTCATGAACGAAAATGAACAAAAATGAAAATTATCCTTAAAGCGCTCAGAATGGTAAGAAAATGGTGGCAAAGAGTCAATATTTTCGTCCAACAGAGTCTTAAAGTTGCATTCAGAATTATGTACAATTAGCACACGTACCTCCAAGAGAAGGCAGAAATTATTTTATTGGGCAACTATTTTGGTTTTAATAATCCCCCAATATATTGATATAAATTTTTGACATCATTAGCTGTATTTGTTCGTTGAGGGATGAAGGTTGCAGGTGAAAGGGTTGGTTGAGCGGCGCGAGGTAGGTTGCTGGTGAAGGGGTTGGTTGCGTTAGGTAGGCTGGTGGTGAATGAGTTGGTTGAGGGATGAAGGTTGCTGGTAAAGGGGTTGGTTGAGGATTACACAGGATTTACACAGGATTTACACAGGATTAAAATTAAATTATAGATCCATTATCATGGACCGTCATAATTGTTTACAGAAGTTAATGAAAACAATCATCTTTGCTTGAAGTCAGGGCCAGGGTTATCCTTGAGTCTTAATTATGACTAATTCGCGAGGTTCTCACCAAATTGATAGTAAAATTGTTTAAGTTTCGTGCATTTGAATTACGCTGACGCGTATCTTCGGTGAAACTATTTCGCTCTTCGGAGCAGCGAAGGAAAAAAGTGCACACACAGTTGACAGCATAGGAGCGCCTTTCTTGAAATTGAATATACTGTGGGGTGTTTGGTTGAATATCAAGTGAGCGGTGGCAGTGAATATGGAGGCTCTGATGATTTTGAGGAATTACAGTTGAGTAAGGAGACAAAATTTCCATGAGATGATCTTTGAGATTTGTTTCATTGATATTGCTGGAGTCGGTGATTTCATTGCTTATTTCAATGATTGGCATTTGAGAAAGATTTTTGACTAATTTCGACCTCTGTTTTGAATACAAGTCACATATGTAAAGAACATGCGACTCGTCTTCGATGGTCTCAACGCCCATACTTGATTGGCACCAACCACATAGTCTTTGCTCACGGGGTGTGTTGGAGTATCTGCCTCTTTCAATATGGAGATCATGTGCGCTGATTCTAAGTTTGAGTGAGGTGGACTGCTGGTGCTTCTTTGAACTGGTAGATAAAGAGGTAGGCTCATCAATTTAGTGAAGGGATTCACTGTCGTTGTGTCTGTTGTGGTTAACAGAGAGGGAAAATGATTTGTATAACTTAATTATCTATTTATTCTCTTGTTATTCATTAACAAGCTTGCTAAGTTAATCCTATTGCTGATGACCTGATCTGATCTTACGCCTCTACATCCGATCACACCAAATAAGATCGGATAACCTTGCTACGCTCGGATCACCTTATTCAGATCACATCTTTATTTGCTTCCACACATCTATTACACGAAGTGATGTGATACAAATGAAACTGATGTGATCTAAATATAGGGTGTACATTGTGTGACTGTCTGACTGTTTATGGAATCACTGCATGCCCAGAACCGATACGAGGGGTGCAGAATACCGAACCATCTTAACAGTACAGTAAATGAATAGTCTGTTGATTGGCCTTATGACTCTTTCGTAAACTCTTTGGAATTGCTCAGAGCGGTTTAAAATTGGTCGGAAAGTGTTTGTATTGGTCCTAAGACCACTCGAATTGGAACATTTTGGAACATTGGTAACATCGGTTCTAGACATGCAGTGATTCCCAAACTTGGTTTGAGTGGTCCTAGGACCAATATAAACACTTACCGACCAATTTTAAACCGTTCTGAGAATTTTAAGGACATATATATCCATTTTTGTTCATTTTCGTTCATTCCATGAACCTGGGTAATATTATTTGACTTTTGTTGGCTCTTAGGCCTAGTTTTTACCTATATTCATCTTAGAAAAACGAATTGAGGCTTCCCAGCACTTAAATACAGCCAATACTTCGATGTGCCCATGTTCCAAAAATCTGGATTCTCAGGAGAATTATTGTGCAAAAATTGGAACATTTTGGAACATTGGTAACATCGGTTCTAGACATGCAGTGATTCCCAAACTTGGTTTGAGTGGTCCTAGGCCCAATATAAACACTTTCCGACCAATTTTAAACCATTCTGAGCACTTTGAGAAGAATGTTCATTTTTGTTCATTTCTGGTCATTTCATGGGTAATTTTATACGACTTTGATGACTCCTAGCTTACGGATATATTCATCTTAGAAAATCGAATTGAGGCTTCCCAGCACTTAAATACAGCCAATACTTCGATGTGCCCATGTTCCAAAAATCTGGATTCTCAGGAGAATTATTGTGACAAAATTGGAACATTTTGGAACATTGGTAACATCGGTTCTAGACATGCAGTGATTCCCAAACTTGGTTTGAGTGGTCATAGGACCAATATAAACACTTTCCGACCAATTTTAAACCGTTCTGAGCATTTTTAGGACAATATTCATTTTTGTTCATTTTCGTTCATTCCATGAACCTGGGTAATGTTATTTGAGTTTTGATGGCTCTTAGGCCTAGTTTTTACCTATATCCATCATTTACAATTATTTTTGGCACTATTTAGAGCTTATTAGGGCAAATAAATGCATGGGACACTTTTGGGACAATTTTGGGACAATTTTGGGACATGTTCCAAAAATGTTCCAAAAATGTTCCAAAAATCTGGATTCATCAACTCCCATCAACATCAAAGATCCTGTCAACCGCCTCCGACATCATCTTCGCTATAGATACGGGGTGCCACTTACAACAAATAACAACCGCAACCGTCATGTAAACAAAAACCTGGGGTTCTGGTAGCAAGGTGGGGTCTTTGCTCTGGTCGGTCTCTGAATTGAGGATACCTCTGCTCAATTGTACAGGAAGCTGGGGAGGAGGGCCGGCGTTATTGTACATGCCCATGTCCGGCACCTCCGATGTGAAGCCATCGTCAGAATACTTCTGATCTTCCTCTGAAATGTACAAATATTAATAACCGGCTACAATCTCTGTCACAACAGTATTGGTTACTAGTAGTGGTTACTACTAGTTACCAGTAGTGGTTACTAATGGTTACTAATACTGGTTATTATGAATACTTCTGATCCTCCTCTGAAATGTACAAATGTATAATGTATAATGTATAATGTACAAATATTAATAACCGGCTACAATCTCTGTCACAACAGACAACTTGTGGGATTTCTCAGTGTAATTATGCTCATTGGACCCCCAGAGTGCATATTTTGCAATGAAGTTATATTTGATTCTGACTCCTGAGGGTAATTTGAGCAGAATTTTATCGAAAAATCCGGAGAATTTTCATATATGAAGCAGGATTGACACCAGATAATCTAAAAGTTGGACATTTAACATGTATATGGGTTTTGTTGATTTTCTGCGCTCTCGTGATGCAAGACAACTAACCGTTCTAGAAAAGACACGAAACTGAAATTAGGACCACCGCACAGATTCTACAGACAATAATCATCGCTTTTAGATTAACTACTAATCGATCAGCACATGCGAAAACAAGCATTCATCATAGAGCAGTTATCACGATCATCAGCAAATAAAGTAAAAACACATCAGACTCACTGATACCAATCTAAAGAGGAGGTCGTGGAAATGCCTGCTCCTCATATATCACTGCTCTTCGTAAAATCGAGAATGGAGACCATAGAAATCTATAAATATTATAGCCCCCTGGGCAGGAATGCAAGTAAGCGTTACCATGTGAACCGTGCTAGGTGAATTAAAACTAACCTCCTAAATCCTTGTAGTTGAAGGTCCTGGCAGCACCTCCCTCAACTCCTTCCGTACAGGATATACAGAGCGAGCTATCATCTTTAGTTACCATTATAACGTTATTGAAACCACCTGGTTCTTTGAGAGTTAAGGAATTTGTGAAATGTTCGAATATCAAGACAGTCGTACTAACCACACTTGATTTGTAGGCTTAGCGTGGAATAATGTCCTAGATTTTCAGCAAGTATGACGTCAGAGAAATCATGATGACAATTTGACTGTGTTAACTAGTGCTTGATTTGATTTAATTTAGCACTCGAGAAGATAATTGTAAAAAGTGACCGTTATATTTTGTCTAGAAAAAATTTGCATTCAGTTTTTAATCTTTCTTATTTTCAATGCAAAAACAGCGCCTGCGAAATGTCATGATACATTCCAGGCATACCACAAGGCACAGTATCAAAAGAGAGGGAAAAATATACCATTTCTGGTTATAGAGTGTAGAAAATGTAGGCCAATTTTTCATTAGTCTATTGTTGGAGAGGGGCCAGCCAAAAAGCATAAAGTTAAGTAAGGTAAAGTAAGAGTTCAGTTCTAGGCAGATTTGAGGGAGATTGATAGCTCAACCTTCAAAATAAAATACTCAAGTAAAAATATTCGCCACAAATTCATCAACTGGATTCAAATGGGCAACTACCTAATTTGTTCGGAATGTTGTTCAACTTTGGATCATGTTTCCACTCGCCGTCAACGAAAAACTTGAATTCGTACGTTCCCGGCGTCAAATCTGAAAGTGAGACGCTCTGTAAATTTTTGTAACTAACTGGGGTAACTGTGTTTTACTATTTTTGCATAAATTCTACAGTCGTACTTTTTCATGCATTTTTGATGACAATAAAAAATCTCTATTCATATTTATTTTCACGTAATTTTTGGGATTCTTGTTTTTAAGACTGTTTTGTTCCACCTAAATATGAGTCAAACTTAATTCTATTCAGGAGGTTCTATAAAGATGATATTTTATTCGAAGAATTCAAGAGCTTAAAATGTGCATGATTCGCGTCTCCAAACAAATCTAAAGTTAAAAAAGAAACAAATGTGTATTAAATAACTTAAATAACCTAAGAACCTACCAACAGATTCAATGTACTCGTTATCACAGAACTTCATAGGAAGTCGTCCCCACTTGTTAAAGTTGCCACTCAGACACACTCCACTGTAGTGATCCATCACTGACTCCTGCCATTTAAACAGCACTGGTATCACGGGAACCTGGTCTCGCGGTCTCTCTGCTTGTTTTACCTGGCAATCCGTGATCAATTAATTAATTAATTACCTGACAATTAATTAATTAATTAATTAATTACCTGTACATGGCAATTAATCAATTAATTACATGTACCTGGCAATTAATTAATTAATTACATGTACCTGGCAATTAATTAATTAATTAATTAATTACCTGTACCTGGCAATTAATGCCTGGTTAGATTACTAAGTTAAAGAATGGGAAGCAAGATAATTTTATGTTTTCTTTGTCGTTTGATGTAAAACAATATACAATAAGTTTCCTTTTTAATTACAGTAATATAAAATATCATTTATAACTTGTAATATCATTTATAACTTGTAATATGTACATGCACACTACACGTCTTATATGACCCTAGAAAATTCTACTCCTCTGGTGGGGAGGTGAGGCATATTTGTTTACTTGAAAGTCGACATGACGTGATCAATCCATTAAATTATTCCATATTACATGGTATGCCCCACCAGAATCCACATCTATAACCTTCATTAAGCTGGAAATCTTTAATGCCAAACATTTAAAAGTTCTAATATTCTGAATTCTAGAACCTTCTTAACTGCTGAGCTCCCTAAACTTACCTCTCTTATAATAACCGGCTCATTAGAGCTTCCCTCAATCGCGTAGTCATCTTACCTCTCTTATGATAACCGGCTCATTAGAGCTTCCCTCAATCGCGTAGTCATCTTACCTCTCTTATAATAACCGGCTCATTAGAGCTTCCCTCAATCGCGTAGTCATCTTACCTCTCTTATAATAACCGGCTCATTAGAGCTTCCCTCAATCGCGTAGTCACATCTTACCTCTCTTATGATAACCGGCTCATTAGAGCTTCCCTCAATCGCGTAGTCATCTTGCCGTTGTGACTGCGCCTGACCCATCTATACACTCATCTTTTACTGTTGTAAGGATTATTTTATTATTTAAATCATTCATTACACACAGTTACTGCAAGATTGGAACGAGGAGTTTTTGAATTGACTGAGGAATGTGTACTTTACACAAACGCTAGTATGAAATTATTTTACACTGAAGGTATTTATTAAGTTACAGTGCAGTGTGGCATGGTCTTTTTCATTTTCTCGAAAATATATCATATGCTAATGCACAACAATGAAGTTTTAATTTTAACTGATCAAAATGTACGAATTGCTAATGTTTTGAATTCCAGTCAATTTTTGGATTGCAAAATTTGCTAGTATTTGCTCAAAATTTGCTCAAATTGTAAAGAAATATATGTAACAAAAGCTGGTACGTTCACATAATTTTTAGTAACTAGTAAACAACTGTTCTTTGACAGCTCAGCCTTTTAATCCAGGATTAGATAAAGTAACACTGATTTTATTTTCAAGAATACCAAAATCCACTACATTCAAATAAACAAATAGATCGAGGAAAACCAATGATGCTATAATAACAGTACTGGTAGATGGCTATGGGCAAATGAGTTTTACTAAATGTAAATACACAAGTTACATTTTAATGTAAGTAGGCTTTTACAGCAAAGGTAATAGAAAAATGTTCCGAAAACTTTTCAGCTTCTAGCTTCTAGCCCAACAGTGCAGCTGTTTCACATCCAACCCCATACACTCAGCAACAACTTTTATAATCAATACAAAACAAATGCTACAGTAAACAGTAAGCAAAATATATATTGCATTTATGAGTACTGCTCATGTTAAGAAATTTACTAAACTAATAAACATAGGTATTTTTTATAAACAATTTTGTGTAAAAGTTTTGAGAAGTCCACTAAACACTGTGCAGGGAAACAATCTAGGGATCTTCGCACCACTCATTCTCCTTGCGGATCTGTTCCTCTTCCTCGGGGGTAAAGTCGTTTTTTATATTGAACGTCTTACGAATCTCCTCTGCTTTCTTCCCTTTTATCATGTTGGCGACTGTCTTGCAGGTAACATCCAGTAATCCCTTGATGTCCAGATAGTTAGCAGCAAGGATCAACTCGAACAAGGTTCCTTGATCTACTTTGAGGAAATCCTGGTCCCAACTGTCAATATCATCGTTCTCTTCTCCATGTTCTCCTCATCTTCAGGCTTGGGAGGATCGTCCTTGTGGTGCTTACACCAAGTGATCACCTTCTTCAGAATCATAGCACTGACATTAGGAAGTGGCACGGGATCATCATCCTCCTCGTCCATACCAAGGTCTTCCAGCATGGTGCTGATAGTGCCAGATTGCTTGGCAATATTGATGTCAACATCAAAAATATCTCCATCACTACTCTGCAGCTTGATGTTTGGCATGGTTACCTAAGGTGGTATAAAGGTCATTGGAATGATTTCATGAAACAGAATCATAATGAAATGACTTCATAATAAATCTTAGTGAGAATTCCTTCTAAGAATGTTGTAGACGTTAAAGCTGCATGGTGGGCGGTGGCTCAAATTATAAGCAATACCAGCAATCAGCATGTCAATTGTCCACGGTTATAAATCTCATACAGCATATATTTGTATATAGGGGGGGTGTCATGTCCGTCTATGTCCGCCTATGTCCTGTCCTTTTTGGATTCTATGAGACAACGGACGTGTTTTTTGGGACATTGGCGGACACAGACGGACATTGGCGGACTCGGACGGACATTGGCGGACTCGGACGGACATTGACGGACCCGGACGGACATTGGCGGACTTGGATGGACATTGGTGGACATTAGCGGACATTGGTGGACATTAGCGGACAAAAATTTTGAGGACTGAAGAGTACTGAAGAGTACTGAGGACTGAGGAGGATGGCTGAGAAGGATGGCTGAGGAGGATGGCTGAGGAGGATGACTGAGGAGGATGACTGAGAGGGAGGAGAAGGATCAGGAAGTCCCAGGAGGAGGAGGACCCAGAAGGAAGACCTAGGAGGAGGAGGAGGATGACTGAGAGGGAGGAGGATGACTGAGAGGAGGAAGAGGACTGAGGAGGAAGAGGAGGAAGAGGACTGAGGAGGAGGAGGAGGAGAAGGACTGAGGAGGAGAAGGAGGACCCAGGAGGAGGAGGACCCAGGAGAAGGAGGACCCAGGAGGAGGACCCAGGAAAAGGCCCCAGGAGGAGGAGGAGGACTGGGGAGGAGGATAACTGTTGAGGACTGATGAGGAGGACTGAGGAGGGGAGGAGGAAGAGGATTGGGGAGGATCAGGAAGACCCAGGAGGACCCAGGAGGAGGAGGAGGAGGAGGACCCAGGAGGAGGAGGAGGACTGAGGAGGACTGAGGAATAGGACTGACGATGACTGAGAAGGAGGAGGACAGAGGAGTACTGAGGAGGATGGCTGAGGAGGATGGCTGGGGAGGATGGCTGAGGAGGATGACTGAGGAGGATGACTGAGAGTGAGGAGGAGGAGGACTCAGGAGGAGGATGTTATATCATTATTTATAACAATGCTCTTATTTAGGACAGGATGTCAAGTTTCGTTTCCACCTAGTGGTGAGTTTGTATGTTTTCGAGTACTATGTTTTAAAGTACTATTAGCCGTTTTATAAATCCCGTTTTATGATGTATTCTTGACTATTGAGCAATGAATATTGGATTATGTATTTCTAATACGTTTTCTATTTCAGATTGTTATAACTGTCATTTGGTCGTTTTATTGCATTAAACATTGGTAGCAGTGTGCAATATACGAAACGACAATGACGAGGAAAGCCAACACACCTAAGTTCTGTGGTGAGAACTACAAGCAATACAAGAAACTCGTCCAACTGTGGGAGAAAGTCACCGACATCGAAGAAGATGATAGAGGAGCCGCCCTTGTTCTTAACATGTCCGGAAGTGCCTTAGACATTGCATTGGCAATTGATAGCACCAAAACAAAGGTTAGCGACCTGATCGCCATTCTTGACGGAGTGTATGTTGAAGAGAACAATATATCGTTGAAATTCGACGAATTTGATCAGATGAAGAGGGAAAAAGACAAGAATATAAAGGAATTCATCCATGTGTATGAGCAAAAGCTCAATGAGCTGAAGGCCGAGAAACTTGTACTCCCTGATCTCGTTGTGGCGAATAAGCTTTTAAGAGCAGCTAACCTATCCCCCAATCGGTATCTTCTGGCTAGATCGACATGTCAGACTATGACCCTTGCAGAAGCAAAAGCTGCCTTATTAAGAGTATCTGATAACGGACCAAGCCAAGCTCAAGCAACCAATAACCTCATCAAGGTAAAGCAAGAAGTTCTGGAAAGTGATGATGCAATTTTCTATAATGGAGAGAATAGTAGTTATGAAAAAGATGAGATTTATTTTCAAAGTGGGAACCGCTTTAGGCGCAATCCTTATAATACCAAAAACCAGGGAAATAAAAGACCTCAGTGTTATGGCTGCGGTGACACATCCCATTGGCTAAGAGACTGCCCAAAGAACAAACAAAGGTATCAGAACTCCAACAGAAATGATGTTAACAGACAGTGTTACGGGTGTGGAGACAGAACACACTGGATAAAAGATTGTCCATTTATCCGTGATATCCAAAGTCTTATCAGAAACCGCAACATGATCCCCAATCAGCAGGGTAGACAGACATACTTTTCAGAAGAAAATGATGAACAAGGATCGCATTTTAACGATTCAGACAAGCAAAATCATGACCTCCCTGAAAAACCCATATTTTTCCAATCTAATGTTGGCAATGAGCTAGAAGAAATATGGCTAGTTGGAGAAACGGTCAACAAGGCTGTCCTAGACTCAGGTGCTTGCAAAACTGTATGCGGAAAAGAATGGTTCACATGTTATGTTGATAGTCTAAATCAGAAAGTTCGTGATGAAATGAAAGAATTCCATTCACAGACTATATTCAAATTCGGAGTTGGAAAACTCAAGGCAATGAAAATGGTTCATCTGCCAGTAGAGATGTGCGGAGAAAAGATAATCCTTGAAGTTCATGTTGTTGACACCGATATTCCACTGCTTCTTTCATTGAAGACTATGAAAAACCTAGGACTAAGGATCAACTTTGAAAAAGATCAAGCAGAAATCAATGGTAAATTATTTGAACTTGAAATGACTTCTACAGGACACTATACACTCCCACTTATTAAGAGTTTCACATTCTGCTCTGAAGCATGCGTTATCAATACTGTTGATTCATGTAACATGTCCCCACCAGAAGATACTAAGAAGAAGGCCCTTAAACTACACAGGAGATTTGCCCATGCTAGAAGTGAGAGAATCATCAACTTGTGGGATCATGCTGGTAAAAGAGATACAGCTTTGGAAACTGAACTAAGGCTTCTTGATAAATCGTGTGAATTTTGCTTAAAACATAGGCGCGCTGCCCCAAAACCAGTGGTTTCTTTACCCCTTGCAACTGAATTCAATGAACTTGTCTCAATGGATCTTAAGCTGATTCGAGGTGTTTGGGTTTTACACTGTGTTGATTACCTTACTAGATTTTCAGCAGTACACCCACTCAAATCAAAAACTGCAAAAGAAGTTATGGAAAAGTTCATGTTGATTTGGATCTCCTTTTTTGGACCACCAAAAAAGATACTGAGCGACAACGGAGGTGAGTTTAACAGCCATAGCTGGGATGCTTTCTGTGAGGCATTCAATGTGTTACACAAAACTACAGCTGCTGAAGCTCCATTCTCAAATGGTATTTGTGAGCGTCACAACGCACTAGTAGGAGAAATGACTGAAAAGATCATTGATGATGTTAAATGCTCGATTCATATTGCCTTGATGTGGGCAGTTCATGCAAAAAACTCTTTGATCAACATCTTCGGATTCTCACCATACCAACTCGTATTAGGTCGAAATCCTAATATACCAGGGAACTCTGCCAACAAACTTCCAGCCTTAACAGACCAATCAGCATCTCAACTTGTAGCTGATCATCTTAACAGCCTTCGAATTTCAAGACAGGCATATATTGAAGCAGAGTATTCTAATCGGGTTGCAAGAGCCTGAGAGGCAAAGTTTTTACCGGAACCCACCAAAAGTTTTGTGTTGGGGACACAGTTTACTACAAACGCCTTGACCAAAAATCATGGCATGGTCCAGCCTGTAAAGTGATCACCCAAGATGGAACTCAGGTTTTGATCAAAACTGGCTCAGGAACACTCATCAAAGTACACCCATGTAAGGTTATCCTTAAAGAAGACGGGGAAACCCAAATTAACTCTAAACCAATGACTCAAACGAAACCAGAAAGTCATGTTAGTAAAAGGAGTAATTTATCAGAATCAGAGAGTGATGATGACGATTCAGAGGAGGAAAGCAATGACCCTGTTGCTACCACACAATACAACAATGAAGCAGCAGACAATTCTACTGTAGGCTCAGAACTTCTAACAGTAGAAGAAAACGACAGAGAAGAGCATATTCCCCAACAAAAACCAAAAGTTGTTCGACCTGGTGATAGGATCTATGTCTGCCAAGGATCAAATGTCGACCAAAACAAGTGGAATACCATGACTGTTGTTAGCAGAGGAGGAAAATCAACCGGAAAGTTCTCTAATTACTGGAACATGGTAGATGTGAGTACTGGGGAAACAAAAGGTGTTGATCTCGATATGATGAATTGGATTAAAGAAGACAAAGCAGAAGCTGAATCACAGTGTTTTTCTGAGCAGATATATTATGAAGTGTATGTGCATTGTGCAGCACAATGAAACCAACTCAGATCTTTATTTAGATGCAAAAAGTGAAGAACTAGAGAAATGGAAGGAATTCAAAGTCTTTGATGAAGTAAGAAGAATAGACTTTCCTGAGGAAGATGTATTGTCCAGTCGTTGGGTCACGGAAACAAAAAACAAAAATGGCAATCAGATCTATAAAGCACGGCTTGTTATCCGCGGCTTTAAAGAACACAATGCACCCCCATCAGACTCACCAACCGCTCAAAAGAGTCTAGCCAGGATGTGTCTTTCTATATGCAACTGGAAGAAATGGGACATCCAATCAATTGATGTGCGAGCAGCGTTTCTTCAATCAAATGACTTAGAAAGAACAGTGCTAATGAAACCACCCAAGGAATTTAGGGTGAGTGATGACGTAGTATGGAAAATCAAAAACAGTGAAAGCAGTATTAATGACATTCTCACTTTTCAGAACTAAGTGCCTAATATAATTAAGATATAACATCTAAACAGTTTTATTCCTGTTCCATATGATCGAGGATAGTCAGGGCTACAAAACCTGACCAAGTTTAGCTCAATCCAGTACTGCGCGTTCGAGATATGAGGTTAAATATACCAAAAATAGGGGTTTTCTGGTGTGACATCATTGTAAATTTTTAAGAGTTAACCTCAATATCTCA